GTAGGGCTAGATAAGAAAGAGACAAGGAAATGGAAAGGAAATATCTGTTAGTGCTATTTACTATGACTCATTCCTCGTCACTCCGCGCTGCATTGACCGTTTCTGCCCCAAAGAGACGTACTGATGGCACGTCAACTCCTCTCAAGGCCTGTCTAACATTTCCTCTCTCGAGCTATTGATGAGAACAGGCGATCGGAATGCAAGCGTCAAACGGCGTTCTACGAGCTGGCATTGAGCGCGGAGATATCAGTACATAGAACAAGCAAAACAATGAGAGGAGATGGGGCCATGTGAGCGACGGTGACGAGGAGCGGAGAAGTTCCACTCGCCGATTTGGTCCCGTTCCGCCAGCAAAGCAGCTTCGCGCGTCGTTGATGGATCTCTGACTGCTTCTATTCATCCATTTTTCTTCTAGTCTCGTCTACCCGTCGCCCGCATCCTCCCTCCCTCCCCCATAAAACCACTTTTCTCAATCCTCAGGCGTGTAACACGTCTCGTACAACGTCACGACACCTGCCATACTGTAGGTATCTTCTGATTTGCCCACCCTCCAACCTATCACAACAACTGATTCCAGCCCTCGTCCAGCCTCGTCCAGGCTCAAGCCAATTCGTGATCGCTGCACAGGAGACGTCTCAGCTCCATAATTCTTTCCAACCTCCGATTACGCTCTTGCCCCTATCAATCAGAGGGCTTGGGACGGTCGCCGCCATGGCTACGGTTCCCCAATACTCAGGGACCTTATCCAACACCCTCGCGAGAATGCACCAGCTCCCCACACGATAAAGAATTTCCTCAAGAAGATCGATCAGGATCGTACGAAGGTAAAGTGCAGGAGCTATGGACTATCTGGCTGGGGAATTCACCGTTTCCTTTGGAGCCCCTGCAGCCCTCTCGGAGCATATCAGAAAGGGGAGAGAAATTTAGTGACTATCAGGAACTTTCCTCTCGATCGCATACGCTCCACGAAGGGCCCCGCAGGGCACCACTCGCTCGTAAGTGGAGCTCGTTCTGGAAAAATATACGAAACGGAGGAGCGAACACGGGTGGAAGACTACCTCAAAGACACAAACCAGATTCTAGTGTTTGCTGCCTCGCGCGCGCACGAGCAAAGTACCGTGAGTATCTGCATCCATTTCTGCACTGATTCAATTGACATGTATCTTCCCAGAAACGCGACAAAAAACGCCGTAAACCAAATGACCAGCCCGGACCAATCCAACCATTCCAAGACGTCCAAATTCATCAGGATTTCGAACTTGAGTCCAACGAGTATCTGGATTCGGATCCTGTCCTTGGTGTTTGAATTAAAGGGGCGAAGGAAACTTCCTTCCAAGCCTTTCCTGCAGAAGCTTGTTATCCTCATCGCAAAGCTATGGACGCATGTGGCGCTATCTCGGGGGTTTGCTGTGGGAAGGAGTTCGCTTGCATGGGTGTCATCAACAAGGAGACCATTCTGTTTGAGGTTCCTGAGGACACGCATTTGACAACCCTTGGATGATGACATGATGGCATTCCTGGCCCACGATTCTCCTTCCCCATGCGTTTAGCGATGACGCGGAGGACTTGACTTCATCTGGCGGTATTTCATATCGCTTGGATGCTATCCAAAGATCTACCCTTCGGCAGGCGTTGCCGCGGGTTCCGCAACCTCCGTGGCTGTCGCGGGAAGGGTGTTGGGGAGAAGTTGGATATACCCCTGGTGAATTGGGGGGTGTACACGAGAGATGCGGGACTTTCTGAAGCATGTGCACAGAGTGAAACCAAAAACGGCCACCACCTCCTCTAGTAATGTGTTGAGTGGAAATCTGGACTCTGTCCCTACCGCCTCCACCACGCTCCCAGAGCCCCCTCGCCAGTATGACTTGCAGGGCGAGCCTCCTCATCCCTCACTCCCATCAGCAACTCGAACAGGAAGAGAGAAATGAGCAAATGTAGAATGAAGATGGGTGCAGATGAGGAGCACGACGAGGAGGAGGAGGACGACGATGGGAGCGACAATCCAAACCCTGATTCAACCGGCAATGGCAAGAAGGACGACCCTGGCGATGACCCTTCCGGCAATCTTGGGGGCAGTGGTGATGGGGCCGATCCTGGCATGGGCGGTGGTATTGGGGGTGCTGCCAACACGACGAGTGACCCTGCACCCGGTGACCGGTGTTAGGCAGCTCACCAAGCAGAGAGTAGCTCTGACCATGCCGGAAGGGCTGACCAACGTGGCGTTGCTCGTGTGGGGGACAATGGTTTGAGTCTGGCGTTAGAGGACGGGGACATCGAAGGACTTCTTGACCGGCAAGACATCCGAAGAGGGTAAGTGGCAGCTTTTGATCAGCCATCGTCCATGGAGCTAACCAAAACGGCGTGTAGAAATCCTCAAAACGCCTACTTTCGACAATCACTGTTACGTCCTCCCATATGCCTGTTGTGATTGCCGCCACATAACGCCAGATACATACCATCAGATCTGGACCTTCTGTGTCAGCCTACAAAAGGACGTGATGATTGCTGGCTATCTTTCGATTCCGACTTTCCACACCCCACGACCTGCCTTTTCGGCGAGAAGACCAATCACCCTTCCTGACGAGCCTCCTCTATTCCAAAACCCACAGGCAGCAATAACACATCAGAGGGACAAGTCGTGGGATGGGTGAAGTCGATCGCACGGATGGCAGAGCCGCGGAAGACCAGGCCCGAGGACCCGGAAAGGTCTGAAAGCCCCCTGCCGAAAGTCGGAGAACCAGCGGGCCTGATTAGACTGCCTTTCCTCGAGATCCTTCGTGAGAGAAAACTCAAATTCGTGCTCACGGAGAAGAGGTCCTCTTAGGGCATAGTCGACAACATCAAGGCTAGCCCGAGAGTTTGAGTTTCGTTGCCCCCCAACGAGCCTGCATGCACGATGTCTCGCTTGGCTGCTGATTTCCCTACTCCTCCCGCCTATCCTATAAACAAACGTCTTCGGGCTAACCCCGAGTCGCCATCCCCCAGACTCCAGCCTCCTGCGCTCATCACGTCCTCGGTCGGTCCAAGCTCGCTTGCTCACTCTACTTGGATAGCCTCATTCTTTCATCCACGGCCGAGCTGTTATATACGACATGTCTTTTTTCACCTTCCCCCTTGTCCAACTAGCGCCACAGCCTTGCAACCGCACTGTAGGCACGCATATACCTCAGCCATACTTATCACTCGCTGATCTTGTTTTGACAGTGTCCTTGCCAAGCCGCTGAGCCATCGTTGAGGTCTAATTACCACCAAGCTACCAGCATTCACCAGATACGCTATATCCTCCCATACAACCGAGACCTGGAGCCCGCTGCTCCTCAGGGCTTCTCAGGACTCCTACGTGGTCTCTCATTGGTTCAGATGAAGCCCTGCCTGTAAGTATCCCCCCTGGGTTTCCGTACGTAGCCACTCGCTGCAATCTTGTTACCAGCCTCGCCAGTCTCTAAGAAAGCCGCACAGTCGACCGTTACTTAGTTCGCGCCTTCGGCAAGGGACACTGTCCAAAACAAGATCCAGCGACGTGATAATAGCTGAGGTATATGCGTGTTCCTACAGTGGTTCTGCAAGGCTGTGGCGCTTAGTTGGACAAAGGGGAAGTGAAAAAAGGACATGTCGTTATAAACAGCTCGGCCGTGGATGAAAGAATGAGGCTATCCAAGTAGAGTGAGCAAGCGAGCTTGACCGACGAGACGTGATGAGCGAGGCAGGCTGGGAGCTGGGGATGGCGACTCGGGGTTAGCACGAAGACGTGGTAGGATAGCGGGAGGAGTAGGGAAATCAGCAGCAAAGCAGAGACATCGCTGCATGCAGGCTCGTTGGGGAGGCACGGAAACTCAAACTCTCGGGCTAGCCTTGATGTTGTCGACTATAGCCCTAAAGAGACTCTTCTCCGTGAGCTACGGAATTAGTTTCTCTCCCCACGAAGGATCTCGAGGAAGGCAAGTCTATCAGGCCCGCCTGCGTTCTCGCTTTCGCAGGGGCTTTCAGACCTTTCCGGCGTCTCGGGCCTGTCTTCCCGCTCTGCCATCCTTGCGGGATCGACTTCACCCATCCCCAACGACTTGTCCTCTGATGTGTTATTGCTGCCTGTGGTTTTGGAATAAGAGGGAGGCTCGTCAGGAAGGGTGTTGTCATTCTCGCCGAAAAGCAGGTCGTGGGGTGTGAAGTCGAACGTAAGAGTAGCCAATCATCAACGTCTTTGTAGCTGACCCAGAGTCAGATTCTGAGTGTATTATCTGCGTATATTCGCCCCCAATTTTTTTTTGGGTTCCAACAAACAAGGCATATGGTATGGACGTACAAAAGATGATCTGTCGAAAGGTAGCGTTGAGGATTTCTACACGCGTTTGTGAGCTCCGATGACGGATGGCTGGATCAAAAGCTCCCACTTACCCCTCTTCGATGTCTGCCGTCAAAAGTCTCGATGTCCCGTCCTCTAACGCCAGACCTCAAACCATTGTCCCCACCACGAGCACGCCACGGTTGTCACCTTCCGCATGGTCCAGAAGCTACCCCTGCTGGCGAACTGCACTACCACCGTCACCCGGTGCAGGGGTCAACTCCGTCGTGTTGGGCAGCACCCCAATTTTACCACCGCCCATGCCAGGATCGGCCCCATCACCACTGCCCCCAAGATTGCCGGAAGGGTCATCGCCAGGGTCGTCCTTCTTGCCATTGCCGGTTGAATCAGGGTTTGGATTGTCGCTCCCATCGTCGTCCTCCTCCTCCTCGTCGTGCTCCTCATCTGCACCATCTTCATCATCTACATTGCTCATTTCCTCTTCCTGTTCGAGGTTGCTGATGGGAGTGAGGGATGAGGAGGCCTCGCCCTGCAAGTCATACTGGCGAGGGGGGCTCTGGGAGCGTGGTCGAGAGGCGGTAGGGACAGAGTCCAGATTTCCACTCAACACATTACTAGAGGAGGTGGTGGCCGTTTTTGGTTTCACTCTGTGCACATGCTTCAGAAAGTCCGCCAATCTCTCGTGTACACCCCCCAATTCAACCAGGGGTATATCCAACTTCTCCCCAACACCCTCCCGCGACAGCCACGGAGGTTGCGGAACCCGCGGCAACCGCCTGCCGAAGGGTAGATCTTTGATAGCATCCCAAGCGATATTGAAATACCGCCAGATGAAGTCCAAGTCCTCCGCGTCATCGCTAAACGCATGGGGGAAGGAGAAATCGTGGGCCAAGAATGCCATCATGTCATCAATCCCAAGGGTTGTCAAATGCGTGTCCTCAGGAACCTCAAACAGAATGGTCTCCTTGTTGATGACCACCATGCAAGCGAACTCCTTCCCCACAGCAAACCCACCGAGATAGCAGCCACATGCGTCATAGCTTGCGATGAGATACACAGCTTCCTGCAGGAAAGGCTTGGAAGGAAGTTCCCTTCGCCCCTTTAATTCAAACACCAAGGACAGGATCGAATCCAGATACTCGTTGGACTCAAGTTCGAAATCCTGATAGAATTTGGACGTCTTGGAATGGGTGGATTGGTCGGGCTGGTCATTTGGTTTACGGCGTTTTTTGTCGCGTTTCTGGGAAGATACATGTCAATTGAAATCAGTGCAGAAATGGATGCAGATACTCACGGTACTTTGCTCGTGCGCGCGCGAGGCAGCAAACACTAGATCTGGTTTGTGTCTTTTGAGGTAGTCTTCCACCCCGTGTTCGCTCCTCCGTTTCGTATACTTTTCACAGAACGAGCTCCCACTATACGAGCGAGTGGTGCCCTGCGGGCCCTCGTAGCGTATGCGATCGAGAGGAAAGTTCTGATAGTCACTAAATTCTCCTCCCTTTCTGATATGCTCGGAGAAGGGCTCCAGGGGCTCCAAAGAACCGGTGAATTCCCCAGCCAGATAGTCCCATAGCTCCTGCACTTTACCTTCGTACGATCTCTGATCGATCTTCTTGAGGAAATTCTTTATCGTGTGGGGAGCTGGTGCATTCTCGCAGGGTGTTGGATAAAGGTCCCTGAAGTATTGGGGAACCGTAGCCATGGCGGCGACCGTCAAGCCTCTGATTGATAGGGGCAAGAGCGTATCGGAGGTTGGAAAGAATTATGGAGCTGAGACGTCTCCTGTGCAGCCGATCACGAATACGGCTTGAGCCTGGACGAGGCTGGACGAGGCTGAATCAGTGTGTGATAGGTGAGGGTGGCAACAAGAAGATACCTACAGTATGGCAGGTGTCGTGACGTGTACGAGACGTGTTACACGCCTGAGGGATATGAGAAGTGGTTTATGGGGAGGAAGGGGAGGATGACGGGCGACGGGTAGCGAGAACTAGAAGAAAAATGGATGAAAGAAGAGTCAGAGATCATCAACACGCCGCGACAGCTGCTTTGCTGGCGGAACGGGACCAAATCGGCGAGTGGACTTCTCCGCTCCTCGTCAACCGCTCCTCCACATGGCCCCATCTCCTCCTCATTGTTCTTGCATTGTTCTATGTATGTATCTCCGCATCACATGCCAGCTCGTAGAACGCCTTTTGACCCTTGCATTCGATCCTGTTCTCATCATGCTCGAGAGAGGAATGTTGACCAGCCTTGAGGAGAGAGTGACGTCCATCAAGTACGTCTTTGGCAGAAACACGGTCATGCAGCGCGGAGTGGACGAAATGTAGAAAGTACATAGTAAATAGCACTAACAGATATTTCCTTTCCATTTCCTTGTCCTCTTTCTCTATCTAGCCCTACCACCCTACACCCACCCCACAGCACCACCGCAAAAAAAAACCTTCACTCTCCTCCGAACGAAGCATGGTAGTCCGCCTGTCACGGCCTGCTGGGACGCAGCAGGGGAGGGGACTGGAAAAGGTGTTTTTGGAGGGGAGAAGACCTTTTCGGTATTATCGCATAAGGAAAGAGTAGACAACGAGATATGAATTGAGTATGTACACCGCGCGTCCTTCAACCATCCACACAACTTAGCGCCATGCCACTTCAGGGAATTACTACGTGTGACACCGCCCCTGATCCTTCCGCTCCCGCTGAGTGAACATACAGTTCAGTTGATTTGATGATGGTTGTTGTCGTGGTGGTTGTTGGTGTACAGGTGGATGATGAGGGTAGAAAAGTCGCAAGGCGAAAGGGAGAAGGCAAAGAAAGAGAATATGTAAGTGATGGTGAGATGAGTTCAGTCGTCGTAAGACTCTTCGGCGGATCGCCTCGCCAGTCGCTTGACTCTCTTCTTCTAGGCTAATATGACAAATCATAAGCACAAACAGCCATGTATTTTGTTAAGAGAAAGAAAGCGTACCAGGATAATCTTCCCGTACTTCCTTGGCGGCATCAACGTTGGTAGGAGAGTTCAAGTCGGGAACGTCAACGCTCAGGAGGGAGATGACAGAGATGAGCTATCATGCGAATCAGCTTCTGACCACTCGCGAAGAATAAGAAAGAAGAGGGACGTACAACAGACTCCATGGTATGCACGGCCAGCCACCTCTCAGACGCATGCTCATATCCCCACTCATCCTCTCCAGACGCGTGCTACAAGTCGCACCACCCGCAACAGCGCCCACTCCAAAGTCTTCTCAGACAACCTTATACTCACTAGGATGGACACAAACTCTTCGCCCTTCTTTTCTCCCGAATCGTACACTAGAGAAGAACGTCAGTCGGGTTCGATATAGTGAGGAGGAAGGGACGGACCATTTGGGTGCCACATTTCCGAGTCAAAGATCATTTTGGGCGGGAGGAGTGGATATTCCTATGCACATCATCAGCACCAAATCATGGGAAAGTGTGAGAACTCGATACATACAGGAGGGAAGATGAGTCGAGTCTTCAAGGTGGCGCCCTCCCAAAGAGTGTCGGCGGGGCTGCAACAACGTCAGCTCAATATCGATACAGCACCAGATATGGACTTGCGCCATGATCACAATGCCCCACTCGAGGATATTATCGTCGTCAACAAGACCGGCGGAGAATCCGTCCACCGGATGCTTTTGCATATCTACTGTATTCCGCAGATTGAGTAGTCAGCTCGGTCCTCATCTTTCGCGCGCCTCTCCATCTTCCTCGCATCGCTACATCGTACTCCTCCTGATAGCCTTCTTATCTTCGTGCAAGACCCGACATACCGACGAACTGCTCGCGCAATATAGGTGCCCCTGTTCGCCAGTGTTAAATCGTGGCTGGTACTGGTCTCAGTCTCACTCCAACTATGGTCAGATGCATAACTCACCTGGTACTGGTCTCAGTCTCACTCCAGCTATGGTCAGATGGGAGAGGAGAATCCCAGTTACCAGGCGCTATCTACGACGGCTACACAATTTGATCCCGTCCTCCGTTTCTCCGCATGTCGCCGACATTGTCCTGGCGTCACCATTCTAACAGCCAGCAAGCCCTGGTAGTGCCAAGCCTGTCAGCTAGACCTTTCAGTACGTTCGGCGTGGGACTTACTTTACAAGATTGTGCAACGCTTCGTTATTAGGCATCGCACGTGCGGGCGTCCCCGGCGCAACTTTCCCATCCTTCCTCCCCAGCCTCGCAAACTTGTCCTTCAACTCCTCCCTCCTTCCCATCATCTCCCTCCCCGATGCGACCTTCCATCTCATGCATGACCTTCTCAACACCAGGCAAGCTCGAACCCTCGGCAGCACCGCCCATAGGCCCACGGCGGTATCGTTGAACCCACCCGCGCCGGGGTTAGTAGCAGAGGGCACGTTGGCAAAGGGAACGTTGGAGGGTGAGGTGGCGGAAGCGGTGTGGCAGAAAGATTGGCTGGGGTTTCGGTTGTGGTCTTTCATGAGGAGGTCGAGTTGGCGGGAGAGGAAGTTTTGGGAGGGCGAGGTGACTGTCGTAAGATTGGCAGAAGATTGCGGGGGAGGAGACGCGAAAGAAGGAAGAAGCGCCTGCCAGAGCTCTTCGAGAGGTTCTCCATCACCCTCTTCGTTGTTTTGGACAAAGCGCGGACATTCCGGACATGGAACCGACGTCCGGACCCGAATGGCAATATACCTGCTCAAGCTGACTTTCCAACCATTCTCCACCAGTGCGGGGTCGAAACCGTCTCTCAAAACATCGATCTTGCCCCAACTAATCCATCCGCCGGGTATCATGACAGCATCCCTGTCAAACACGTTGGCTCGGTGGTCGAAGGGTGATTTGGTAGAGCCGACGATGGCGGGAGTCGATACGATGTTTGAGGAGGTTGGTGGCGAATTCAGTGGAGGCGGGACGGTATACGGTTTGTGGAGGATATAGCTCTTCAGGAGAGCGTATGTCGTAGGCTGGGTAGGGGCAGTGTAGAACAGAGCGGCGCCAACTAAGTAGATGATCAGTATGATAGTCAATGAGGATGGGATGAACATACAGGCCAAACAGACAGTTCTCAGTGCCTGTTGTGCTCGATCTGTCTTTTTTTCCCAGTGTCCACCTTTAACTTACACATTCTCGGCAGCATTATCCATGTGATCGGCCGGCGCAAACCACAGCGATAGGAATTCCCGGGCTGTGATATCGTCAGTGTGCTTTGAATGTGTGACGTTGGGAGAGGACGAAAGCGTTGAAGTACCAGAGCCAAGTGGCAATAGAGGCCCGACACCAGCATATGTGGTCGTAGCAGCATTAGCGGGTGACGGCTCGATAAAGTGCTGCAAGTGTGATTGCACTACTCGTTGTCAGTCTTCATGATTCTCTCGAGATGGGGTTGACTCACGTCGCTCATGCAGCTCTTCTACCTCACCCCTCTCGCCTGCCTCGGATGCCCATGTCTCTACCCATGAGAGTCATGTTAATAGCTCTTGGAGCTGTCCATGTATGCAATTAGCCTACGACATCATCCGTGAAGAGGTCAAACTTTCCAAACCACGGCAGTATCCTGTACGCAAATGAGTCAGCGCCCAGACACGTTTGTACGAGGGAAAACCCAACTGAGAGAGACTTTGCGGACAAAGCACTGGGGACCAGCCTCAGCAGGCTTGGATGGGACGGAGGAGGATAGAAAATCGAGAGCGGCGGCGCCGAATCTACAAGCTGTAAGCGACCAATCCACCATGCAAATTGAAAAGAGCTCACCCTCATCCTAGCCAACTTCAATCACTTCGTATCCCAGGGCAAGACCCTTCCTGCTCCTTCTCTCTTGCCCGGCTTGGGCAGCTCTGGCAGCTGGGGTTTGTGGTTGCGATGGTTTGGCCGGCTAGCTTCTTTTTCCGAAAAGAGGCGGTCAGCTGGGGGAGGAGATTTGTTCCTCCGCGATTCCGTTCTGCTGATAGTTTCCAGTCAGGAGGAGAGCAAGAAGGAGGAGGAGGGCGAACAGTCAGTGCTTGATGTACGTAATGACTGAGTTGGTCCGGTGGTCGAGTCCGTCTCTTGCGGACTTCGCCGAGACCGGTGGCAATTACAAGTATCTTTTGAGTATCTTCAATCGTCATCGTCATTACTCGATCATTACTTTATTGCTGCATATCACTCTGCACTCCTTTTTGCCATTCTGTATCTATCTATACATACATATGTCCAGACAAGCCGACATGGTAAGTCTCATCTACTCTCAGCTACTCGCTGAGCACTCGCGCTGACCGACGCCCCAAAATAGAGCTTTCAAGTCCTCAATCATGTGGAGGCCTATCGATAAACAGATTTCATCAGGGCCCTGATGTCTGCTGAATATGATTCATACCGCCAGATATGGGGGCCGATAGTAACTGAGGTACGTGAGTAAAGCGGCGTGTGGTGCCGGCTGACATGTCATGTTGCAGCAAATTGGAAACTCGTAAGTCATAACACCACCAACACTATCCTCCATCCGTCCTTTCTTTATCACTTTCGAAGCGGCCGCCATTGAGATGCCCTATGACCGGAATGGCTGAAGACGGAAGCCGACTTTGGACACAAGGCGAACAAGGTAGAATCGACGTAGCTACAGGTACTTTGTGCCTACCTAGCTGCTATTCAAGCGCTTGTCCTCTTCCAGCACCGGATAGACGAGATCGATCGCAGCCATGGGTGAGTTCTCCTACTATCTGCTCCGTCTTATATGCCAATGTCTCGCCAGCTTTTGGAGTGGATAAGCGCCCAAGCAGTCGTTCATGCACTTTGGGGCGGTCGGGTGGATGGCAGCACCGCCAGGTCATTGTACACACCGAAAATTCGGTCCGCGATACCATGGCCATCCCAGGTGCTCCTCCGCTGCTTGTAGCTCGCAGCGGCGCGCGACAGGTAAGCCTTTCTCTACCATGTGGCTTCCCAGCAAGGGCAATGCACTCACTGACGCCTTGTCTCGTCAATAGTGGACCAAGGTTTGTCGCCTCGACCGCCCGGCCTTCTGGTCAGTGCGTTGGCGTCAGTCCCTCCATCTCCCGCTGTCATCTTCGACCGCCGTCTCCCACCCACCTGCCCACTTCCTGACCGTCATACAGTCCGCCATTGGCCTCTCCGCCGACCCTATCTTCTATCTCCGCAATGGGCTCAGGCCTAGCACCCGCCGGTTCTACGTTACGTCCCGAATCATATACGAATGTTACTCGAGTAGAGTACCGTATATCCGAGGATGCATGACAAAGCGACATTACAACAAATCTTGTACCGTATTCAGACAATTCTAAAGCGGACCAAACAGCCCATCATTCAAAAAGGAAAAGTTGGCAGCCCATTCCGAACCCGACGCTGGCGCATTCGTCGGCACCATCTGCGGCATCCCTGACACCATAAACTCGGCAATCTGCTGCGTCTGCGCTTGCAACGCCGCGTCCTGCCCCTCCTGGCCTTCACGCCCTGAACCCTCCGCCAGCGCACTCCCCTGCCACTCACTTCCCGGCTGACTCATCGGCGTCTCTTGCCCGTTATACCCCATGCTCCCCTCATACTCCATATACTCTCCATTCACCGCGTAAGATCCTGCTTGCTGCTGCTGCTCCCCATTCAGCTCTGCCTCCAGCCCTCCACTTCCATTCGCGCCCCATCGAGGAGGCGGTTCGTATCGCGCCGAGGACACATTCGAAGGCGACTGAATACTGAAGAGCGATTGGGTGGGAGAGAAATGGGCCGGGCGGGGAGGGGGCATGTTGCGGGTATCGCTATCGGCTGAGCGGGCGATGGGGTATTCGGATTGAGACTGAAGAGCTGGATCGATGCGCGAAGAGGGGATGGAGCTGGGATGGAAAGCTTGGCCGGGATAATTTGCCTGGGCTTGGGGAGGATATGCGCCGGGAGGAGGGGGAGGTTGGGAAGAGGGGGAAGCAGATCGGGATATAGGCGGAAGAGGGATGGGCGCTGCTGCCGAAGGGGAGACTGCCATTTTTCTCGCAAGTACTCTGATCGCCACCGCCTCTCTGTCCGACGACGACCCTCCTTGCCTATTGTTGAGATCGAGACTCTTCGTGAGGTCGAGAAGAAGTACAGCAGCCGGCTCCGAGCACGTGAATCGCCTCGACAACAACCGCAGAAGATCGATAGCCGACATCAACTCTTGTCGATGCGCCTGGGCCAGCTGCGTGCTTCGAACCATACACGCGATAAGCGTATGCGCTGCCGCAGTGATGTGCGAGACAGAGTAGAACCCGCTGTACTGGAGGTAGTCGAGGTGCTTGAGCCGTGCGTACATGGAGATGCAGTCGATGGAAAGCCGACAGGCAGTGATAGTAGCGTCGGTGGGAGCAGGCGAGCCCGTGTGGGAGGATGATTCGAACTCTTCGACAAGGGCTTGGCGGGCCATGAGGATGCGAACGAAGAGGAGGCTGGAGCGGATACGGCTCGAGACGATGTAGTGCACGCTAACTTCGTTGTTGGAGGGTACTCTTTCTTCGCGCAGGTAGGGGGGAAGGGAGCGCTCGATCTAAATCGTCGTTAGTCATACCACCGACTGGAAAGAAGACGAAGGCCTTACCTCTTGTAGACGGGTCTCTGCTCTCTGGAACCTATCACCTTTACGACTATCCGCTGAATCCACCGAGTACCTCTGAGAGATCGGGTTCGCCGGCGCATTGATGATCGACAGCACCTTCAGTCTATCAGCTTTGGGTCTTCGGGGCTAACAGAAAGGCGACGCACCTGCTCCAAAACCATAAATGTCTCTAGATTTTTTACAGCTCCCGCCATAATCACCGACGGACGATCGTCGGGCTGAGGACCCATGGCCGATTTGGTAATATATTCGTTGTCGATGATAGCAGGGAAGTCGACCGAGCCTGAAATACCATCAGTAAGTGGAGTATAGGGCGCGAGAGGGTGATGAAACTCACAGTCGGACAAGAGAATGAGGGATGGGCGGCCTTGCGAGTACGCGAGGGAGATGTTGATCCGGTAGAGAGCCCAGAAGAGGCGTGTGCGAATCTATTGTTGTTCATGAGCCAAGGAGGATATGGAAGGCGAAAGTAGTCTTACCTGAGAAGTGACGGGATCCATCTGGAATTCTGAGGCATTGCGGTGCAGCCCAGTGGTGAACCCCAAGCCGATGGCCTCGGAAACGAAGCTCGATGCCTCCCCTGTAGATGTATAAGTAGATGTGCAGCCAAGAGAAGAAGTCAGACTCACCAGCTGACGACTTTTTACACTCTGCAAATGTCGCAAGATCTATTACCCTTGTCAGTGACCGACCTCGTCCCTTTCCCAGAATGACTTACGATAGAGCGCCAAGATATGCCTGATGTCCAACTTGTTCGTGCTAATCTTTAACAAGTCCTGCGCAACCTCGTAGAACAGTTCTCCCTGCCTATCCTTCTCGTGTAAGAAGGGACGGGCGCTCTCGACCAGGCGGGCGGTGACGGCGAGGATGCTCATGAGAAGAGCGCCGTATTGCGGTGTACATCGAAGTCGGCGTTGGGTGCAGGCGACAAACTCCTACAAGAGGTCAGCCACGCCAAGATCGATAATGAAGGGACGTACAGAGTAGAAAGATGGGAAGTGGAGGAGCGGGAAAAAGGCGGCTGCGGTTTATCAGTCGAGATCGGGAATCCAAGACGGTGACTTACAAGACTGGAAATGTATCTTGATGAGCTGGTGCATCGACTCCACCGGACACTTCTGTGCACACAGATCGAAATAATCCCTACTCGCCCCATGAGCCCCCGCATAGCCGAGAGCAGAGCCGGGAGGCGGCGGAATGTTTCCATTAGACGCTTGGCCCTCCGAGATCTCGACCGTCTTCAAAACACCCATCTGATCAAACATTGGCATGCCGCTGGACGGTCCAGAGTACACGAGCTGGTCGTCTTTGTCGACGAGAAGTAGGTGGCGTTTGTGAGAGGGGGACTGATCGATGGCGAGCTGCGACACGGTTTGTTAGCGCAATCTACATTGTAAGTGAAAAGTCACCTACTCGGCGGGGTGGAATACTGGCACTGGCGTTGGGCATGTGTGTCCTCGGAACAGTGGCGGGGATAGCGGAGGTGGATGCGACGGGCATCATCTGAGCTGGCTCGGCGGAGGACGTGGCGCGTCGTTTGTTGCCATCGAACTCGTCGCCCCTGAGTGACCCCGGTGCCTTGCGCTTCGCGCTGTAACAGAGTATCAGCACAAGGGTACAGTGTAAAGACGAGAGGGTTACCCAACATCGGTCGCCTTCTTGATAACATGTTTACTAGATGATGGACGTGAGACCGAGGCGACGATGGGAGTGGATGGGGTATCTTACGGCAAAGAGAATGTACACTCTATGTTGGCCTTGGCGCAACGAGAACATGGTCGCTCGCCATCACATCGCACCTGAAAAATGGTCAGAGATGTCCTTAGAGTCGATAGTAAACGTACTTTTCTCCTCCTGCAAACGTCACAAGCGACGGCCATCTTCCACCGTATTTCCGAGGGGTCGAGCACACGCTCCTCGCCTTTCTTGTCGTCGCTCATCGTGGTGGGTCAAGTGGCGGTAGCTGTCTGTGTACAAGGGGTGATGGATGGATGGGCACAGGTAGCAGAGAGGGGTGGATGGATGTTTGAGGGATGCGGGAAAGCGAATGAGAGGGGAGAATTGGGTGACTTTCGTTCGGTACGCCGGCTCGCGCCTAGCTCGGTGAAAAATCTTTTTGACGCGCCTACATTTAACAGGCGCCCCGCGCGCTCCCGCTCTTGCTCTTTTTTTCGGCGTGCAATTGGCGCATGCTACAGACGTGCTGCGTATAATCGTTGGTGCTTCGTCAGTAGACCATAGTATGGTAACGACATGCACTATATTTGCCCCGTTATTCTGCTTGTGCACATACTTTCCCTCGCGGAAGTGTACCTCTCGGATCACATTCGGAACCCCGAGAGCCAAACAATGTCAAGAGTGGCATCTCGTCAGGGATACTCCTCTTGCTCGTCGACTGCATGAGACAAGTGTTGTCAAAATGTTCTATGGATATGTCTTCTATACCCTCGTCTTTCATCGTTGCCGAATATAGCTAGTTCGCTCGGAATACGAAAGGCGATTCGACGTCGATCGCCGAGAAGTGTCGATGCGTCGGCAGATTTCGTGATTGTGGGGGGCGTCTTTCTTTATAAGATGACTGGAGCTATGAGTATCTCTTTGGAGGAAGAATCGGTGTAACCAGAGTGGTCATGGAGAAGAGAACATGTGACAAGACTCCCAAGATTCGCCTGTTCTTCTCCTCCGTAGTCTGCGTGCGCTGAACAAAGGGGTCCAGCTACATGGGCCGAGTCGTGCTTTATAGCTCGATGATCACTTCATCTTCAAGCATGCAGACCACCACCCATTTTGGTGTCTCCAGGGAGCGGGGATCGATGAGTTGAGTTATTCCGGTGTCTCCGCGTCATCACTTGCTGAAGCTACATACTTCGTCCGGGCGGCTAATGTCTTGATATCCAGTGAATCACTTCTGGTGTATAGCTACGGCTTGAACCCTCTCAACAATCAGTCTTTGACCCCTCATGGGCCATAGACGCTTTCTTCTGCTTTAGCAAACTCGTCTCTAGCGGCGCAAGTCTACGTCCACGTATAAGAATGCTGTGATGCATGCGCTCTCATGACCATTCGTAATGTAAAGCTGACTGTTCACGGCTGAAGAGTGATTCAACATTTGAAACTATGAACCCCCAACTTTAATACGCGTCAGGGCGGTCCAAGCGCAGCAAAGTCAATCGGCGGTGACATTGAGGCAGGCGATCAAGGAATAATCGCGTTTCTCTCTCAGGTCACTACCAGTATGTACCCATGAGCGGTTCGCTCTTTTACCACAGTATCCACCTCTATACTCCCAACAGCATCTTCCGAATCTATACCCGCCATAGACAACTCCCTCATATATGGTCGCTCTTCTAACACCTCGTCGCGCCTTTCGCCTCCTCCCTCCCGCCATCTTATCCTTTATCGCCCTCCATTTTCGGTCACCGGCGGATCCATCTTACCTCACAACCTCCAGTCTTTGCTATCCACCAACGACAATGCCGAGCCATTCCCTCTCGTAACTCTCGTCATGTTCTACGAAGGCGACAAGTTTCCGTCCATGGCGCCGTACTTCTGGCAAAGCATAAAACGACAAGAGAGGAAGATGGAGGTTTTGTTCATGCAGAGAGGTGGATGTAGTGACTTGAGGGATATACCGAACGTCAAGGTGAGTCGTATTGATCTTACGCTTAACGCTTTGGGTTGATACTGACGTCTGAGAATTTCTCGCCGATACTAGCAAGTGTGTCTATCCCACAAGAGATGTAAGTCGACGTTCTCATACATCACGAAACCCTCCCAGTTGATACGCTACCATACTGACTATGCGTATAGTCTGGGCTGCCCACCGCGACTACTTTTGCGCTCGATGGAAACGCGGCTGTTCGAGAAGTCAAAGAAGACTCATGCTGGACGACATGATCACATTGGATCATCTCTCAGTACGTCATATTTCCTCTTTGCTTGTCGAGGTGTGCTGCAACAATGTCATAGACGCCACAATCGGTATATCCAATATTGGTATCTTTGTCGGAGAGTGAGTACATGCTGGACTAGGTACGATCGCTGACACATTTCTTGCGATAGCTTCTCTCGAACCTGTACGTCATCATGTCACATCCCGGTGCTAGCATTAAGAGCTGACACACGCGACAGTCCCTTACGGGCCCTCCCCCTTTCGTCAGGTCATTCTCTCCCGCCGGCATCCTCACCCACCCCGACTCCCTTTCTCCAAAGAAGAACGAGCTCCCTACCTTCCCACTATCCACAGCTCGCCATCTCTCCAGCGCTGTGCCCCTCACCGAACCCCCGACCGTCTCTTCCTTCACCGACAAATCCAAATCCTTCGCCATCACCGTCAGCCAAGGCTACACCCCTCCCGACTACGACGTATGGTTCAACTCGTCTTTCTGCAGCTGGTACTTTGCCAACGCCATACCCGTTGACGACAACCGTGCGCCGGCAGTGGTGGGAAAGCAAGAGTGGAAGCGGTATCTTACAAAGATAGGATGCGTTTGGCGAGAGATATTGGAGCCTGAGAATGAGTGGGACGGAAGTGTCGGTGGCGTAGATGGCGGCGAGAAGATCAGGGGGAGCTATACGTGGCTCTATGCCCATTGGCAGGAGGACAAGAAAAGGGTACGTTTTTTTTGTCATTCGTTACATCAATCAACCAATGTAATCCAGTCACATTGGCGCGCTCTTCCCTCACATCCTCCGCTACCCGACATCCTTGTCTCCTACTTTTACGAAGGTCTAGCGGCATTTGACGGAGACGCAGGCGAGCGGATATTCTGGTTACCAAAGAAAGAAGAGTCGTGTACGCATTCTGGATGTGTCGAAATTGGTGAGCGTTAACAGATACATCTGAATCATATAATCTAGAGGCATTGTCTGACAAGGTATGCGTAGGATCTCCATTACCTGGCTCGCGTCCCGAAATGCTCCCATTGCACGAAGCCCGAATCGACTTTGAACAATGGTATGTTCACTCGAAGCAAGTGAGCTTAGGGGTAAGACAGGTACTGTAGGGCCTGAGCCAATTGAGTGGATACTTGTCCGTCCTGTCTTTCGGATTGACGAGCTGATCATTGCCTCTTCTCTCGTGTTTACAGCCATCCCTCCAAAAAAAAAAAATGAGCCTTTCCGATGTATACTTGGCTGTGTCGATGCATTTCCATATATATCGTGTATAAGTAGACATGAGAGCAGGCTATCGATCCTTTCTCAGGACGGCGGAGACGGCGTAACGGAAGCCTATCTTGGCATTGCTGATCGGTTGCCCGAACCCATCGGAAGTATTTTCTCGGTTAAACCCGACACCTTATCGGTCGGTCCACGTCCATCTTTTCCCATCTCAACTTTTACATATCTCGCAATCCTTAACTCCATTTGTCGAATGTACATAGTACATCCAACACCATGCCTTACATCGAACCCCCCATGAGAAAAGCTACAACCCTCTTCGGCATCCCCAACGCCCGCCTCCCCTCCGACCCGGACCCTTCCTCCTTCCTCATCTACACCCCCGGCCTGCCCGAGAACCCTCGCCCCCCGAGAGACGATCAGCATCCAGCTACACGATATCCGACATGAGATGGTCGAGGGTCCGAGGGGAGTCTATGATCGAGTGCACGAAAGAGGGTGGGCTGTTGCGGGGCATGAAAGTCAGTTTTTGGGGGAGATTGGGAGTCTTGAGGGCGCTGAGAGGTATCGGGAGGAGACTTGCGAGTACGCCATCTTCCGCTTCCACTTCCATTTTTTTAGAGACTGACATATGATCAGATTGATGCGAAGCTATCTAAACTGTATCAAAGTCTTTCAATGGAATTCCACCGTCCGCAAATCCGACCATCAACAGGCCACCATCGTTGACCGATAAAATGGGCCCGAAGAAGGTTTCTTACCGACTAGTATCATACAGCCCCCTGCGAAACATGCTCATGTGGATCAGGATGAAGTATGTTTCGTTTTTCGCCGCAATGGCTGTGTTCTGCGCTGATGAGGGGTGTAGATATGGGGGCCGAATTTTGTACGGATGGCTACGAGGCAAGATCCTACAACGTTCAAGCGGAGTGTGATCATCAACATCTGGCGGCCTCTCAAAGGCAAGTCTCCCCCTCCTCCATCTTGCCCCCCATCACTGAACATTCAAGCAGGCCCCGTGACCACCTCCCCGCTCTGCATGCTCCACTTCCCCACCCTCTCCCCCTCCGACACCGCCAAACAAGAATCCCACTTCGGCACCGGTATCCAGACCAAATCCACTATGCCCCCTCCCAGAAATGGTGTTACCTCCGACACATGACACCCGACGAGATACTCGTGTTGGAATGCTATGACAGTTTGCAAGGCTCGGATGGGGGTGCGTTGTATGCGGGGCATGTGGCGGCGGAGATCGATGATTCGGAGGGGGTTTTGAGAGGGACTGGTGGGGCCGAGGGAGGGAGAGTATTGAAGTCAGGATGGTTGCTGTTTGGGAGTAGATGTATGCTTTACAAAGGGGCCTTGATATGTAATGCTTTGCTCTTGCGGCTTGCTGAGTAGCTGCGACCTTTACAGAACCCCATACCAATGATGATGCTAACGACTCCGTTTCCAATGCAAGATTTTTGATAGCTGGTGCTCGAAGTGCTCAACGAGCAAGGCAAGACCGAAGACCGGTAACCCAACGCAAACATTACACACCCAAATGGACGCGTTCAATTCCGGCCACATGGCGCGATTTTGATAAGCGGCCCAGAACGAACCTCCACTTTTTCAATCCCATCAGCAAGCGTCAAAAGCGACGCTCCGCTTGCACTCCTCCTCATCTTGACCAGTCCACCGCCCTGCCCCGCATCCCCCGATCCCACTCGGCTACCACCACAATGAGCGATACAGAACTCGAAGCCCCCGTCGAGCACGCCTCAGCTTTCGGCCAGCTCGTCACCGGTCCCCCTGGCGCGGGCAAATCCACCTACTGCAACGGTCTGCATCAAGTACGCTCCCCCTTCATCTCACACAAGCACATCCTGATACGTCCACAGTTCCTCTCAGCCCTCGGCCGCCCAGTCCACATTATCAACCTCGACCCCGCCATATCCTCCCCCCCCTACCCCTGCTCCATAAACATCCAAGACCTCATCACCCTCGACTCTGTCATGTCTGAATTCTCCCTCGGCCCCAACGGCGCCATGCTCTACTGCATAGAATACCTTGAAGCGAACTTCGACTGGCTGGTGGAGAGGCTGGATGAGGTGCTAGGGGAGGAGGGAGGGAATGGGTATGTGGTGTTTGATACGCCGGGTCAGGCAGAGCTGTGGACGAATCACGATAGTTTGAAGAATGTGGTAGACAAGTTGGTCAAGATGGATTATAGAGTGCGTACCCCTTCCCCCCTCCATCAAAGACGAGATGAGGGAAAAGCTGATGGTTTTGATCAGTTGGCGGCGGTACATCTCAGCGACTCGCATTATATCACCGACGCTTCCAAATTCATCTCTGTCACCCTCCTGGCTTTGCGGGCGATGCTGCAGATGGAAATGCCCCATCTCAACGTGCTGAGTAAGATCGACCTACTATCGACATACGGCCAACTTCGTGAGCGCCTCCTATCTCGCCTTGCGCGTACGCTGACTTGGGCGCAGCGTTCGACCTGAGTTATTACACCGAGGTGCAAGATTTGTCATACCTACTAGGAAGTCTAGACTCGGATCCTCGGACAGCAAAGTACAGCAAGCTGAATAAAGCTATGGTCGAGCTCGTCGAAGGCTTTTCGCTAGTCGGCTTCCAGACATTAGCCGTCGAAGTACGTCCATTTCCCCACTTCTCATCCCACCTTCTGACCCCACTTTGTAGGATAAAGAATCCATGCTCAATATTGTCCGCACCATCGACAAGATGACAGGCTACATCTTCATCCCCTCCGGCGACCTCGACGGCACCTCCGCCGCCAACACCCAAGCCCTCTTTGGCAGCGCCATGTCTTCCGCCAAGATCCTCGGCCGCGCGGGCGGTGATGTCAGAGACGTGCAGGAGAGGTGGGGGGAGAATAAGGAAGAGTATGATGATTGGGAGAGGGAGCAGTGGGCGAAGGAGTTTCAGATGCGGAAGCAGGGCGAGCAGGCGGCTGGGGCGGGGCGGCAGGCGGGGGAAGCTTGAGGAGATTATAATACGAGCACTCTCCATCATCATTGTATCTTCACATCTGCATATGCATAGTTCTATAGTATAGCTTCTCCGGTTCATCGGTTCATACTACTACGTTAGCACGCATACCTGTGAATTTACGTAAGGAGCGCGGCCATCGATCATTTCCTTCATGCATGTACTTGTACGTACGAGTTGCCCGTTGTGCTCTGTACGTCGTTCTGCCTGCGCGCCTGCCCCGCGCCTGCCCCGCGCCTGCCCCGCTTCAGCCTCGACGGCCCATCTCTCTGCTACTCTGTATTCTGAATTCAGCCCGCTACGACACCCCGCTGCCTCTGACGTCCGCTTACGACAAGCCCACGCACCACACTGCTTATTCCCTATCACATCACATTGAACCACCACCCGCTTGCCTGACTCTACCCTAGTATACCAGCGTGCCATATACAGCTCCATCCCTCTGCTACTCTGTCGCCCTCTCAAATCCCAGTTCACATACTCCCGACATGAGCCTCCCCTCACCTCGTGTGCCCGCCTCCCCCACCACCACCACCCCTCGCTCCCTCATCCAAATCCCCTCCACCCCCCCTCTCACAAAACACCGCTCCGACACCATACTCAGCACCTCCTCCTCCTCTTCCTACCCCAACGTCCACACACCAGAGACTCCGTCTATTCTTAGCAGCTTGTCTTTTGCTGGGGCGGGACACGATTTGTTTCGGGATGAGGGGAAAGAAACGGGGGAGGATCAAGGATCGCTGGGGATGTATACGCTCAAGAGAAGGGCGAGCAGTTATGAGTTTGGGGCTTTGGAAGAGGCGGCCGTGATCGAGAGGGGTAGGGGGAGGGGATGGAGTGGGGTTTCTGGGTGGGGTTTTGGTGCTGATGAGGCTGGTCCGTCCCATGTAAGCTTCTTCGTCAACTGTCCGACCAGTGCTGACAATTTCTCCAGCAAGAGCAAGAGAGGGCGAACATGCCTTTTGTCGAAAGCCCGACGGAGGAATCGACAGGCTTTCACTACCCCCATCCAAATGCCTCTCCTACGTCTCCGCCCGACGAGCCTCACTTTTCCCATGCTCCCAGTGACCCACCCACAGAGCCGCTCTCTCTCCCCACCTCCACTCCAGCACTCACATCCAAGCCCGCCCCGGAACGCCGACCATCCTGGTTCCAGAAGACCGCCCTTGACAAGCTCCCCCGAAGCCGCTCGTCTTTCAAGTTGTTCAGCTCCTCTGCAACCCCGCAGTCTACCTTCGGAACCAGCTCGCAATCACCCTCCATTTCTTCCATCTCCGCCACCAGCCAATCCACCCACCCCCGTCCCAAACGCGAAAAGTTCAAGTCCCTCATCTCCTTCTCGCGTCCTCGCAAAGCTTCGTACTCGTCGCAATCGTCTTTCGCCGACGCTCCTCCGCCCCCGCCTCCCCAGACACAAGACGATCCCAACCATGAGCCTTCTCACCCTGTGGCAGGGGGCTACAGGCCTTGGTCTCCACCGCCGATGCTTCCGAGCGCAGGACCGAGCCGCGATCGAGTCACAGTCCAGCGATTCGACTTACGCGAGCGGACCGACGACGACTCGCAAACGCCAGGAGCGGGGGATGAAGACTGGATGGTCAAGGTGGATAGGAAAGGAAAAGGAAGAGCTGTACCTCTACCTCTCGGGTACAAACCCCCTATGGGGATCCATAACCGACATCACAGCCTGCCCCTTCCTGCCCATTTCACCCCGTTCACGACGGGTGAGACGAAAGACAAAGACAAACCTGTATCTTTGACGTTTGAACAGCTGCCGCATGAGATACGGGTGATGGTGATGCGGGGGGTGATGGAAGGGTGGCCGGAGATCTCGAGGACGAGAATGGCGGGAGAATTGAGGGGGAGGAAAGAGCTCATCCGTCTCAGTGTTGCAAGTCTTCTTCCATTTCGCTGCTCGATCGCTCTAACAGAAGGTGTAGGTCTCCAAATCATGGGAATCCCTCTGCTTCGACGGCCAACTCTGGCCCCACCTAGCCCTGTCCTCCTTCGCCCACCTCCTCCACCCCTCCACCCTCTACCGCATCCTCCGCCACTCTGCCTCCTTCATCACTCACCTCTCCCTCCGCGGTATGGACAAAGTGGGCGGATACACCATCCTCACAGCGCTCGGCGGGCTCTCACCAGATGATGGCTTCCAGCTGGGGCTTGAGACGATCGACCTGCAGGGGTGTTTGGGTATCTCGTCGAAGGATATATGTTCACTTGTCGGTCGGTCGGGTCGTTTGCGCCGGATCTGTCTGCGGAGCGTGCCTCATGTCACGGTCGAGACGCTCATATCGATCTTGTCCAACGCTCCTTTGCTTGAAGAGCTCGACGTTTCCTACTGCTCCAACATCCTCCTCCCCGACATTGCCCATGCTTTCGCTCACTCATCGCACCATTCTTCTCGCCTGAGGAAACTGCGTATGGCGGGCGTAAACGGAACGTTCCCAGAGGACATCTGGACCATCCTCACCGACTCTGGCGTCCTGCCCGGTCTCGAAGTATTAGACCTTCAAAACTGCCCCGGCCTCTCCGAAAGCACCTTCGCCCCCCTCCTCTCCTCCAACCCCACCGCCCTCTCCTCCCTCACCCACCTCAACCTCTCCTCCACCCCCCTCACCCCCTCCATCTTCACCCACCTCACCCACCTCCTCCTCAACCTCCAAATCCTCCAAGTCGCGCGTATCCACCGCTTCTACGACCCCGATGATGATGACGATGGACACGCACTGGCGGAGATGTTGAAGAGTATGCCAAAGTTGAGGAAGGTGGATTTGGAGGATACGGCGGGGATGTCGGGGGTTTGTGATTTGGTGTTGAAGGCGATGACGCCGGGGAAGTATGCGTATGAGGATGTGGATGGGGAGCTGGTGGTGGGGATGGAGTTGGAGGAGCTGAATATTGGGTATGGGGATGTGACTTCGGAAGCTGTTGTTGATCTCATCCACGGTTGTAAAAAGCTGCGTGTTTTGGACGTTGACGTGAGTATGTCTTTCTTGTGAAGGGAAAGTAGCTGACGCATGATTGTAGAACACCTCGGTCGGAAACACCGTCATGCGCGCATTCAACCGCCACACCCCCTCCCCCTCCTCTTCCTCTTCCTCTTCCTCCCCCTCACACCTCCGCCGCCTATCCCTAATCGACTGCCGCTCCATAACATCCCAAGCCTACGCGCCCCTCTCCCCCCGTACGCGCCCCCGCCAAGGCTGGCCCGGATGGCAAGCCGTGCCCTTTGGCTACGACCCCAATGGGGATGAGATGGAGGAGGAGAAGGTGGTGTTGAAGACGTTCTGGAGTTGGAGGAGGGTGGCGGTGCCGAAGGGATGGAGGGAGGTGATCAAGGAGGCTGAGAGGGTTGCGGAGGTGGAGGAGCGGAAGATGAAGGATGTTGGTGCTGGCGCTGTCGATGAAGGAAGTGCCGGGGCCAGATCGATACCTAACGCGCGTGCGAAGGAGAGTGTATCTAGGATGAAGATGAGGAGGAGTAAGAGCGAAGGGCTGTATGATGAGAGGGTTGGTTGTGTTATCGCTTAACGTCTTGGCTTGTATTCATAGCTGTATCGTCTTGTATCGTCTCGTGTTTTATCGCTTTCTTGCTATGCTTGCTTGTTATATTTTTCTTACATGTTGTACCTAGATGCTTTAATATGTATAGATATATGCGTATCGCCATGCTGTGACCACATGTGACCACAGCCGTAAAGAAGAGAAGCAGACACCGCCACACTCAAGCCCAGCAGCTCGAACTTTTGAGGAAAAGCCACGTCGTTGGGGGTCGGCGATCCGGCGGTCGGGGATCCGGCGGGTCGCCGGCCGGGGTGTCCCATGACGTCTATATATGAACTAGGCTTGATGCCAATTCTCTCCTGCATCACATCTCCTCTGACACCATGGCCCCTCTCCCGCACACCCCCACCATCCCCATAGAGCCTTTCACTTTCCACGTCCCCGACACAGAGCTGCGCGAGCTCCAAGACGCCATCAAAGCCTCCCGTATCGCCAAACAGAGCTACGAGAACGTTTCCGCCGATGAGAACGACTTTGGCGTTACCAGGAAATGGCTCATTGACACCAAGGATGAATGGATGAAATTTGACTGGTACGTCCTACGCCGTATGTGCATTCTTGCTCTGACGATAGGCGTCAGGCGCAAGCAGGAAGAACGCATCAACGCTTTCCCAGCTTACAAAGCCAAGATCAAGAACAAGGACGGTCTCGACTATTCTATTCACTTCACAGGCTTAATTTCTGAGAAGAAGGACGCTATCCCTGTCATCTTGAGCCACGGTTGGCCCGGATGTTTCTTTGAATTCATTCCTTTCTTGGAACTGGTTAGCAAGCGGTATGCGCCTTCTGAGCTTCCGTAAGTTCCTTGTTTACCCTTTGTTATGTTTCGAGCACTAAATCATGAGCTGCAGATACCACCTCGTCGTCCCCTCCCTCCCCGGATGGCTCTTCTCCTCCCCTCCGCCCACAGATCGCGAGTTCAGCGTCATTGACGTCGGATACCTCTTCCACTCACTAATGGTCGGCCTGGGCTTCGGCGGTGGCTACGTGGCTCAAGGCGGCGATATCGGGGCTCTGGTCACAAACGAGCTCGGCGCAACATACGACGCTTGTAAACGTACGTTTCACCCCTCCCCGTTGACTCTCCATTGTCCTCATCTGATTCCCGTTCTAGTGGTGCACCTAAACTTTTTCAATATCCAATCCTCCTCCTCCTCCCCTCCTCCCCCTCCTCCCCCCCCGGACGTCATGATTGAAATCTTCCAGAAATACGCATACGCCCTCGAACAAGCCTCCCGCCCTTCCACGGTCGGCCTCGTCGTCGGCTCCAACCCCATCTCGCTCCTCGCTTGGATCGGCGAAAAGTACCTCGCATGGACGGATCAGTCGCCCAGCACGGAGACGATCTTGACTATAATCAGCTTGTATTGGTTTACGGACTGCTTTACTACATCGCTTTACACTTACCGTTATGTGAGTCTCCTCATTGCCCCTCGACGCAACAAAAGCTGATCTTTTTCGTAGGGTTTGGGCGTAAGGCGAAACGACCCCGCTACAAAGACTTCCACCGAATACCAATCATGTCCCACCGGCTTCTCCAACTTTCCCAAAGAGATTTCGCCCATTTCCATCGAAGCTGCCAAGAAGCGTAGCAACATCATCTGGTCCAGGGAACATGATTCGGTACGTCCCTTCCATTCCTTCTTTTTTCATCTTGAACGTTCGCTGACGTATGAGTCAAGGGAGGACACTTTGCCGCGCTCGAAAAACCGGCAGAGCTCTGGCAAGACGTGGAAGACTATCTCGGGGCAAACTGGGACAAGTATACGACGAAGTGAGATGTTCATTATGGTCGCGTCCTCTTTTTTCGCGTACTCGGATTGTGTATCCTTGGATGTAGATACTATCTGTACCGATGTATGTGAATTATTTCTTTCAGCCTTTCCGATAGCTTAGGCTTCGGGCGTATGAGTAACGTAGCGTTACATCACATATATCTTCCTCCCACTCTACTCCTCAGCTCTTCACGCTCCCCTTCCCATCATGATAAATCGCTCCCAACAACACTTCCGCCGCAACAGCCCCCAAAAACACCCCCACCGCCAACAACATAACACATCTCATCCCTCTCACCCCAACCACCATCCTTCCTCTTTCCCCTTCTTCTTGTTCTTCTTCCCCTTCCCCTTCCGACCTGAAAAAGAAGGCGAAGGCGGGGCAATCAAAACATACTGCTGATACCCCAGCTTGATATCATCTAGCGTATGCAGGTGGGCATCGGAGAAGACTTCTAGTGTTGCATTCTTTTTCCCTCGGACGACCATCGGAGGAGCAGGAGGAGGGTCGATGAGGAGGGTGCCACTGGAGGAGATGCTAGAGCAGCAAGAGTGTTCGTACGAGGGAGGTGGTGAGCGGTGGATTCGTGCAGGACCGGGAGGTGGGGGGAGGGAGGGAGGGGATGACGATTCGTCGGAAAGAAAAGAGGCGAGTTCAATGACAGTCTACCAAGTCTGTAAGCGCATATGCAAGCGTTGAAGACACACAAAGCCACTATAAAAAGCTCTTTCGCATAGCTGAGGGCTCTCGAGATCACTGCTGCTGGTACAAGCCCTCCAATCGCCCCGTCGGGCTTGCTTGTGGGTGGGATTCTTGTGGAAAACTCCAATCAGCACGATTGTTCTTACGATGTAGACGACAGTGATACTTACGATACCACTATCCCCATCGCATGCGGGCTCCGAATTGCTTAAGCGGTCTTTTGTCTTGGAGGACTCGCCTGGTGACGACGCCACCAAAAGAGCCGTAGAAAGAGGGGAGCGGGGACGCGCCAAAAGAGCCGTAGAAAGAGGGGAGCGGGTACTCGGGGTGTTCGCGCTCTCAGCCATGTGTGTTCGAAGCTTGTTTCTTGACAGGGCTTGTGAATGGCAAGATCAGTATATTTTATGAGAGATATGGGTGATTCGGTCATAGTCAGATTATTTCTAGAGGGGTTTTTTTCGTGCCGATGTACGAGGTGGGCCGTGGAGTAAACAAGGCGTACATATCGAGATCCCTCCGCAACCTCCCGACAATGTCAAAGTATTGGCGAGCCTCGGAGATACATTGCCTCACCTCTATCAGATCTCCGCGAGTTCTCAGACCTGAGCGTCTCACAGACGTTCGTGCCACTGACATCTTCTTCGCAGCATTCCAATGGAGGGAGATCGAAAAGGCAGAGGACCGAGATACTGTAGGTGTAGGATGGCCAATGGCCGAGTGCCTGGACGGGCAGCCGAGCTTCCTCGCTTACTGTCCGGCCGGCGGTATCATGCAAACGACCCTAGCTCCGTAGCGCTGGCACGTCACTCTGACAACAAAAGTATGTACCATCTCTCTCTCTCCCCATCCCATCCACCCCCCAAGAAAGACACCCACCAACCATGGCCTACTCCACCCTCCCCACCACCCCCACCATCCCCATCGAGCCATTCCAAGTCTCCATCCCCTCCACCGCCATCGACGACCTCCGCACCCTCCTCCGTCTCTCCCGTATCCCACGCAAGACTTTTGAGAGTGTCAATGCGGATAGGGAAAACAAGTTTGGTATGACGACCGCCCGTCTTGTGCAGTTGCGGGATGCTTGGTTGGACTTTGATTGGTGCGTATCCATCTCCCCCTGCTCTCCTTCTATATCACAGTAGAGTTTAAAGCTGATGTCTATTGGGAAAAAGGCGGAAACAAGAGTCCTATATCAACTCCCACCCCCAATACCTCGCCACCCCCAAAACGAGCGACGGCAAAGAGCTCAAAATCCACTTTGCAGCCCTCTTCTCCAAGAAGAAGGACGCGATCCCGATCATTCTGAGCCACGGCTGGCCTGGGAGTTTTATGGAATTCTATGGGATTTTGGATCTTGTCAAGAAACAATACACGCCCGAGACGCTTCCGTACGTCCAAGTTCTATCCATGGCCTGATAAAAGGGGGTGAAGCTGATCTACTTTTGGTTGTTAGATACCACCTCATTGTCCCCTCTTTACCCGGGTACGCATTCTCCTCCCCTCCGCCTCTCGACCGCGACTTTAGCGTGCAAGATATCGCGTTTGTGTTCAACAACCTCATGACCGGATTGGGCTTTGGTGGCGGGTATGCAGCGCAGGGAGGGGATATCGGGAGTTTCGTGACGAATGCTTTGGGGGTGTATCATGAGGAGTGTAAAAGTCTGTCCTTTTTCCCCTCCCCCCGAACCCTCGGATCCTCGGAGGATCTCTAGAGGGTAGGGAGCTGATGATGAAGCATAGTCATACACCTCAATTTCCGTCTCCTCCTCGGCAAACCCACCGGCTCCACCCCCACCCCCACCCCCTCCCCCTCTTCCACCCAATCTCAAACACCCGCCGATCCCCTCCTCCCCCTCCAAACATTCGGCTACGCCCTCGAACAAGGCACCCGCCCCTCCACCATCGGCATCACCGTATCCACCAATCCCCTCTCCCTCATCTCCTGGATCGGCGAGAAATACGACGCTTGTCCGGACCAGCCGTTTACGATGGAGCGGTTGTTGACGTTTGCGAGTTTGTATTGGTTTACGGATAGTTTTTCGTCTTCGATTTATCCTTATCGATATGTGAGTCTTTTCAGCTTTTGGGAAAGGGGAAGGGAACGGGTGGCTGATGGGTGATAGGCGTTTGGTATCAACCGACATGTCCCGACAGCGGAGAAACAGTTCCAAAAGACGCCCACGGGGTACAGCGTCTTTCCCTACGAACTTTTCCAGCCATCGGAGGAAGACCTCAAACGTACTCTCAACCTCGTCTACTATAGACAACACAAGGCTGTGAGTATAGTAACTTTGCGGGTAAAGCACGGCGCTGATGGGTTGGGATGTAGGGCGGTCATTTCGCGGCGTTGGGCGAGCCAGAGACGCTCTGGGGCGACGTTGAGGAGTTTGTCAGGGAGAATTGGGATAAGAGCAAGATTTCGGCACATCTTTGATTGTCTACTGTGGTTCTCATTGTCTCTGTATATGCACTCCCCTCGCCCTATGGACCCGGACCAAACAAAGGTCAGGCATTTACAACCGCGGATGAACCGCGGATGCCAAATGGAGGGTGCCTGGGCAAACGATAAACACAGCCACCAAACGCAATGCGAGCGCGTGCGTGTGCTGTTTTTTGCTGTTCCCTTGTCCATCTTTCTCCCGTCTTTCTCCCATCTCCATAATCCCACTATGCGCCTCGCCGCCCCCCTCGCCCTCGCGGGCCTCCACCTCCTCTCCCTCGCCGCCGCCCTCCCCTCCATCACCCGCGCAGGCAAGTATCTCTACGACCAGTCTGGCGATCGATTCTATATCAAAGCAAGTCTTGGACTCGGGCAAGAGAGCATAGCTGACTCGTAGCTAGGGAGTAGCATACCAGCCTCAAGGTGAACTCGCCGCGAGCTCAGAGGCAAACTCTGCCAAGTACGTGCCCCATCATGTTCCGCACAGTTTCCGCGCCCCTGCTGACTCCTCTGCCTCTACAGCGGTGGCTTCCCCGAGCCGTACGCCCCCCTCCGTTCCTTCACAAAACCACGCTGACATCAGAACAGATCATCATTCCACGACCCCCTATCCTCGCCGGAAAACTGTACGCGAGACGTGCCGTACCTCCAGCAGCTTGGCATCAATGCTGTCCGGGTGTACAGCGTCAATTCAAGCTTGGATCATGACGCTTGTATGAAAACCCTCAGCGACGCTGGTATCTACCTCTTGTGAGTCCTCCCTCTTTCTCTCTCTTTGCCACCGGCGGCCCATCCTGGCGCTTGGCGATCGCCCCCCACGAGGCAGGGCCCAAGGAAGACCAAGAAGAAAGGAAACATCTGCTGACCTATCTGCGCAGACTCGATCTCTCATTACCCCTCAACGGAAGCATCGACCGCTCCTCCCCCTCATGGACTACCAATCTCCTCGACCAATACACTGCCACCATCAACGTCTTTAACGCGTACGACAATGTTCTGGGGTACAATGTCGGGAATGAAGTCGTCAATCTGGCGTCAAACACCGATGCTCTTCGTGAGTCTTCTTTTTCTTTTGCGAGAGGGGGATGCTGATGGTGGGATAGCTTTCGTCAAGGCTGCTGCGCGTGATACCAAGGCCTACCTCAAGTCTATCGGTTCATCGGCCTTTGTAGGGTACGCCGCCGTAGACGGCGATGCCGATTTTAGAAACTCTGTCGCGGAATACTTGACTTGTGGCGACGACGACACTATCCTCGATATCTACGGTGACTTCCTTCCACCCTCCCTCGGTGTGTCGAGCTGACTTGTATATAGGTTTCAACAACTACGAATGGTGCGGTGACCAAGATCTCAGCGCTTCCCACTGGGACACCATCACCTCGGGCTTTAGCGATCTCCCCATCCCCACCTACATGTCCGAATTTGGGTACGTCCACCCCTCTTCCTCTTCCCATGTATTTCACTAACAACATGAGTAGATGTATCACCAGTCCCCCTCGACTCTGGACCGAAGTCGCCGCCCTCTACGTTTCGCCCGTCTCTGACGTCTTTAGCGGCGGTGTCGCCTTCTCCTACTTTCCCACTTCAGACGGCTACGGTATCGTCACCATCTCCGACGACGGCAAAACGTACGCCCTCCCCCTTCTCTCCATCTCCCTCCCTTCTTCTCCTTCCATTACTAACACCCCCCAGCATCTCCATAACTGACGACTTCACCCGCCTCTCCACCCAATTCAACGCCACCTCTCCCGCCAACTCTCCCTCCCAATCATCCTCCAACTCATCCACCACCACTTGCCCCGCCGAATCTTCTTCCCTCCTCGCCAGTTCGGACCTCCCGCCGACACCGGATTCGAGCGTTTGTGGTTGTTTGGAGGATAAGGCGTTTGCTTGTCATTTGACGGAGGCTGCGGCGAATTCGCCTACTATCATTGGGGCTTTGCTCGAGTACGTCCCCCTCCCCTCCTCTCCCCCCTCTCCTCCTCCCCATCCCACCTCTCCTCCAACCCAAATGCTGACCCCTCATATAGCTACACCTGCTCCCTCCTCGGTTCCTCCAACTCCTCCGCATCCTGCGACACAATCTCCAGCAACGGCACCTCCGGCTCATACGGCCAGCTCTCCTTCTGCTCCCCCGCCATCAAGCTCGAATACGTCATGTCGGTCTACTACCAGTCCAACCCTGTTTCTACGAGCTGTGATTTCGCCGGGAATGCGACGTTGAGTACTTCGTCTTCTAGTACGTCCCCTTCCCCTTCCCTTTCCCTTTCCCTTTCCCCTCCCTCGGTGTGTGTCAGGGTGCAAAGCTGATAAAAGTTACAGAACCGAATACAGCTTCCGACGCAGACACCGCGGCCCAAAGCTGCCTCGCCGCCGAAAAGTCCGGAGGCGTCTTTACACCCTCCGCCTCCTCTGCCGCCGCTTCCTCCACCGCCACTTCTACCTCCTCTTCCTCGTCTGCGGCATCGGGCGCTGCAACTAGCGATAGCTCTTCTTCTGCTGGCGTTCGGGCGGTCTCCGTGGGAGGGGGTGGGGTTGTGAGTGTGGTGTTGGGCGTTGTGGGGATGTTGGTAGGTGGCGGGGCTGTTTTGATGTGAGAGTGAGAGATGTGGCGAGATGTGGATAGATCAGCAAAACATCTCTGCAGGACAAGTGCAGAGAAGGGGAAGGATCTATAATGGACAATTGTACAGCATTTTTAGTCATTCATCTAACGCACAAAATCTCTTGCTTTTCTCTTTCTTCATGGTGGGATCTGTATGCATGATCATCTTGCTTGCACTACGTCTTTCTTCATCCTTGTCCACTGTGCTGAAGAACACTTGCAGACCGAAGAAGAGATGGTGTGAAAAGATGAAACGCGTCGACGCTGTTCCGTCTTATCATTCCGCAAATCCATCGTCCAAAATGACGCGGCGGTAGCGCTCTCTTGATCCGCCGTTCTCCCATGTACCCGCAATCCCTCTATGAGATATAAGACCCCTCAACCAAATGTATCTCCATCCCCATCCCACCCATCCATCTTTCTGTGCATCCACGAGCTCAAGACGATCAAACAACAACAAAGTCTCAACATGTCTGCTCGCGCCACCACCCCCAACAGCCTTCTTCCCCTCTCTACTACCACTGCCCCCGAGGAGGAGACCTTTATCAGAGATCTCAATGTCCGCCTCGCCGCTGTCCAGGCTGAAGTCGAGCGACTCGAGGATACCAACAACGCGAGTTTCTTCATCTACCATCACGAGTCGCAGATGCTAACGACACCTGACTAGTAGAACGTCGTCAGGCCCATCCGACAGATATCCCCGGTGTACTTCCCCGGCGCCCCCATCGGGACCCCCCATCCCTCCTACCCCTCCCACCCCTCTCGAACCACCCCCGTCGGCTGGTCCGAGAAATCGACTCTCGACATCTTCTCTCACGCCCATATCCACACATATGGCGATATCGAGCTCGGCCTCCAGGCCTCCAACAGTATCGCTCCCCCTACCAGTGCCAAGAGGCAGCGAAAGGCCCCGAGGTGGGTGGCGTATGTTGCGGCGTCGTTGTTTATGGGGGGCGTCGTTGTGGGATCGGTCGTTGGGTTGGTTTACTATATGACGAAGCACCGCGATGTGAGCAGTTAGACTTGGGGAGACGGACATTATTATTCGCGATACTGTTATGCATCTATATAGAGAGAGTCGAATGTGGGGTGTGTGCATGCTCTCGTCGGTCGCCTCTGTGTGTCTTTTTAAGCTCGTCGCGCCTCGCGTCACCACCCCCAACAATCTTCCTCTCTCCACTGCTACTTCCCCCGAGGAAGAGACTTTTATCAGAGATCTCAATGTCCGCCTCGCCGCTGTTCAGGCTGAAGTCGAGCGGCAGTCGAGAATACCTGTTGTGGGAAGAAGGTTGGAAGAAAGGATGCGGACATGGCCGCCGGACGCCCTCGCCGGTGTGTTCCATATAGTAGTTATCCATCTGTCTTCTTCTTCCTTATCTATGAAATCTAGAAAACATTACAACAGATTAGTGTCTCTGTCTGCTAGTGGATCCCCTTACCTCTCACCTCATGCCTACCACTCTCCCCTCCACATCCCTCTCTGTAGAGAACTGGAGCCACCTCAACGCCACCCTTGCTCTTGCTCTCGTGGGCTTACTTAGCCCCGATCTCGCCTCCCTCTTTGATTCTATCGTCCTCGACAGTCCTTCTTGCACCGCTCGCACCCTCTGGCTCAAATTGGAGGCCGATCACGGCACTCGCTCTTCATACGATCTGTGGAAGTCGACAAGGCGAGTTTCGCACCCATCTTCCATCACCGAGTGTGTCAGATGCTAACGACTCTTGCCTTTTTGAACGTCGTCAGGCCTATCCGAAGGGACTCTTTGACTGGTTTGACCGGCTTTGCTTCTTTCAAAAAAAGTCTCAGAACTGCCGATGGTGCTGATGCTGTGAGTATCGTATGCGTTGAGGTTTGATGAGGTGTTGACGAGGTTGTTAGGTCATCAACGACATGCCCACCTCCACCAACGTCGACGTCGAGGGCTCCGATGCAAAGGTTATGCACGCCCAGTTGACCCCGGTGTACTTTCCTGGCCCCCCCATCGGCACCCCCCACCCCAACTACCCCTTTCACATCTCTCTCGAGAAACCCCCTCTCGACATCTTCTCCCATGCCCACATCCACACCTCTGACGATATCGAGCTCGGCCTCCAGACTTACAACCGCATCGCTCCCCCTATCAGCACCAACACCAGCGCCAAGGGCGAGTCGGTCAAGGCACGAGCGAGGACGTTGTGGATGTGAGGAGAAGGAGAATAATTGACCCCTGTGTACTTCCCCGCCGCCCCCATCGGCACCCCCTACCCCACCTACCCCTCCCACCCCTCCCACACCACCCCCGTCGGCTCGTCCGAGAAATCGACTCTCGACATCTTCTCTCACGCCCATATCCACACTTATGGCGATATCGAACTCGGCCTCCAGGCCTACAACAGCATCGCTCCCCCTACCAGTGCCAAGAGCAGCGAAAGGCCCCGAGGTGGGTGGCGTATGTGGCAGCGTCGGTGTTTATGGGGGGCGTGGTTGTGGGATCGGTCGTTGGGTTGGCTTATTATATGAGCAGGCAGCATGATGTGAAGAGTTAGGCTCTGGGAGATGGACATCATTATTCGCAATATTAGTATGCATATACTTGTATATAGAGAGAGATGATGTGGGATATGCTTTCGTCGGCCGCCACTATGTCTAACGCTCGACACGCGCGCAATCAGAAAAAGATGCTCCCCAACGCTTGTCGAAAGAACCATCTGGTCGAGTACGGTGGCAAAGTGGCTTGTGGGATCCTCATTCTTCGACCTCCGTCGACCCATAGCGTGAAACCTGACCAGACAGCAACGTGCTACTCGACGATCTCATTTCCGCCCATCCCGCCGCCGAAAAAACGAGCGATGTGATCATGACAAGCCTCTTTCCGCCCTCGTTCCGGGTGGGCTCTTTCCGTCAGTACGTATAACACCAGAGATGCATTCACATCTCATCTTCAACTACTCTCCCATCTTCCAAACATACAGAAGCCAAAAAGAAACCACCAAAAACGATGTCTGCTCGTCGCGCCGCCACCCCTTCTCCCATGCCTCTTCCCCTTCCCACCCCACCCGTGGATGCCGCTGTTCAAGATCTCGAGCAAGGTCTCGTCCCCTCTCTTCACCAGAACCCGCCTATCCAAAACTCGGACATTGTGAGTACTAGTTCTCCCTCTACACAGATCATCACGCTGACAAAAGTTCAGACCGATGTCCTCGGCAGGCCGATCCGTCGAGAATCTCTGAATGCGTGCGCTGATCGCACTGGCGGGGTGCGAGAGTCCGAGAGGGTCAAGCCTGGCTTTGTGTGTCTATCCTACTCTCAGTAAGACAGAAGCTGACGCTAGTAGACCATCATGAGCATTACTACCGTATCTGAGCCCTCCGCCGTCGAACTCGCCTCCACCCGTCCCGCACCTGCCTTCTTTCCCACCCCCGCCGCTCCCACCTCCGACAGCTCCATGCACTCCTCCCTCTCCTCTGCGACTACCGAAACCACCCTCGCCTCTACCGCAACTGCATACGACGTCGACCCCAAGAGGTCTCCCCTCGAAGTCTTCACCAACGCGCATTTCCACAGCTCGGCGGATATCGAGCTCGGCGTACAGCGTTACAACAAGGTGGCGCCTTCTGGTATCAAGGAGAAGCGGGAGAACTGTATGAAGGCGCCTCGATGGATCGCGTATGCTGCGGCGTCGCTGTTCTTGGTGTCTATCATTGGGGGGTGTACTTATGCGTTGGTTCACCACGTCAAGAGGGAGCAGGACGTGAAGGGCTAGAGACATATCCTATCGAGTTTTGTGGACATTATACCTATACCTGGATGATATTAGTCATGAATACTATGATTGTTCTCTCTATGCACTCGTCACATCGACTCGGGCTGACTTGAAGGCAAGTTGATATGTGGAGCTCACCACCCGAGATCCCGGAAACAACGAAATGATCTTCGCGTGCCTTACGGTGCCTGAGCGAGGCGCCAAAATGTGCCGTCGGCCCGGGAGCGTGCAGGATTTTTATCAGAGATGGCAGGCACCGATCCGCGGCTCGCGAGGGCCACTGCTTCCCGTGCCCAGTACTCTCCCCGCTGTATGTACTCTCCCCCTCACGTTATCTTCTTTCCAGCAATTCTTGTCAACATCAACACTACTGGGGGGTGAGAGGGGGTACTACACAAATGAAGTTCTTCCTGAGTGAACAAGACGCGTGGGGTCAAAGACCGACGCGCCTGAACATTAGCGATTCAGGGGTAAAGAGGCGTTTTCTAAGGTCATTGCCAGTCCGAAAGACGTTGTTCTGCGGAACAGACGGTTGTTCTCCGGGGCCTTGAACAATGGAGGCTCCCATCCCAATAAACGCAAGACTGCTCGGTCACGTAAACCTCCGACCCGACACTGCCCCTGGGATTCATGACCCGCTCACTGATCAGGTTTACCATTATCCTGTGAAAAGTGCAGCTGATGCGAAGGCGTATATAGAGGCCGGGCTAGACGTCGGCTCTCGTCTGTCTTTTCAATTCTTCTTCATCCACGCTTGACGCGTTTCCGGACCTCAATCACCGCCTGTATCTCTATCATACCAACCCTCTTTCCCTCCCTTTCACTATGGACCCCAACGCGCACGGCGAGCCCGAGCTCCTCCCAAGTCCCACCAGCCCCACATACACCCCCTTCTCCACCACCTCAGCGTCCCCATCTATCACAGGCCTCGTCCCTTCCTCCGCTGGCGAGATCCCGGATAATAGACGATGGTGGATGAAACAGCCTGCGAAGCCGGGGAAGAACGTGAGTGATCTTTTCATCCTTCGCGTCCGCATAGAGCTGACCGTGTGACTAGTCTACCGAGTCTGCTCTTGAATCCCAACCACCACCTTCCCAAACACGTACCGCCCCCTCCCAAGTACCCCAAGTACCCCCAGAACCAGCCTCTCCCGTCCCTTCCTCCTCCTCTTCTTCCTCGGCAGATTCCACCACCCCCTTCGAAGCCGACATCGAAAAGACCGCCGGTCTTCCCCCTTCATCCACCCCTTCCCGAACCGTCCAGCCTGTCATAGAGGAGAAGAAGAAATTCTCATTCTCTCTGCGGCGCAAAAAAGGCGTCAGAGATATCCTCCCCGCCCGACTGTATAAAGACAGACACAATTCGATCTCTATGATCCACATCACCGCTTTTGGTACGGCTTTTGTCGTAGCTGGTTTACTTGGGGGGTTGTTCTATTGGATGGTGAATAAGGATAATCATGACAATGTACAATAGGCTTATAGATAGCACGTTGATCGTTGCTTCCAATTTGTAGAATAGTTTGACGACGGTGTTTAGTATAGTGTACTTGTACGAGTTGGTGAAGACCTTGAAGCATATGCTCGATGCATCCTATAGTAGTTGGACGGCTCTTTCATTCACTACTCCATATCACTGGCGTTATCATTTTGGCCATCGCAATCTCGCCTCCTACAAGCACATAACCTGCCACCCCCTCTCTTCCTCACGCTCATCAAACAACCACGCCCCTCTCTCAAAATCACAAGCTCAACCAGATCTCGAACCCTGCACCCGCGGGCCTGCCACCAGGCTTCAGCCGCCCGCCAGACTGTGCGCCCGGTCAGAGACCGCGAGGCAATCGAACAAGCAAAAGAGACACGACGCGAAGAGATAGGAACAACAGAGATATACTTCTTGTACAGGCACGCACCAAAATGCAAAAAAAAAAACAAAGTTTAAAAGTGGGCGATGTCTCGTATGTATGGGTACCTCAATCAACCTTATCAGCAACCTCTGCGCCTGCCCTCTTGCCGTCTTTCTGGATCGAACGACTGCAGCAGCTGTGCCGACGTACGACGTAGATGCATGATGACGTGACAGATTACGGATCAGGGAGAGACATTAAGATCTTTTGGAGTTTTTGAGACATGGAACGACGCGTCTACTCTACGCGTCAGCCGTCAGACTGGTTGTTCACAAAGATGAAATGGAAAACAAGCAAAGCTGCCGATGATGTATATGCATTTGAGGCTCTTCCAGCCCATTTCTTCTTCTCTTTGAATGTTTCGGATGTTTTTGCTATGATACAAGCGCCATATGGACATGTCACTTCTCCTCTCCCCTACTCCCCAAAACTATCTCCCCTCTCCCAAGTCCCAACCCCCCCACCCCTTCCTATCCCTCCTACAACGCCTTCTCAACCTCCTCCCTCCTCCCCTCCACCAACCCCCTCAAAGTCTTTAACCCCTTCAACACCCCCTCATCAGGCCCCTCCCCCTCCGCAAGCCACGTATGCGCAAAATCAATCATCTTGACCGTCAACGGCGGGCACCTCCTCGCCCTTCTCTCGTCTTCCCTCACACCGTCAAGGTCCAGGTCTTCGTCTTCCTCTGACTCGTCATCCGACTCCTCTTCAGAGAAAGACGAAGTAGACGAGCCGTCATCAGAGAATGCAGAACGCTGGCTCATAGGGTCAACATCCTCCCCAGCAGCCGCCCTCAAAGCCCTCACCGCCCGCCTCGCCTCCGCCCGATCCAGCGCCGCCTCCAACCTCCCCACATCGGCCTCATAGACGATCAACACCGAGCTCCCAACGAACCGCATTTCGAGCTGGCTGAGCACTTGGGTGAGGCGGTCGAGCTCCGCGAGGAGGAGGGTGAGGATGCGGAGTAGGAGTCTAGGGGGGATGGCGTGGGAGGAGTAGGATGATGGAGGGGAGAGTTTGCGAGGGTTGGCGGTTACCGGGGTAGGAGGTAGCCCCGCGGTTTGGGTTTCAGAAGTCGAGGGCTCGGCCGGGAGCAAGTGTGCGGCGGCTTCGGAAGAAGAGGCAGCTTCGCCGGCGCTCGTTGCCGTTGGGGGCGGGGAAGGAGGGGTGGCGAGGGAAGGGATCTCGTCGCTAGGCAGAGGGAAGAACCGGACCATACCCGAAGGAAGCTGGGAGGCGGTGATGGTCTTGCCGAACGATTTGGGGGTGGAGATGTATGATCCCGTTGGGGCGTGCCAGGTCTATTCTTCATCAGTTTCTTAACACTATAGGGCCAGGAGGGGGAGCTGACCTGGCAGCCAGTGAGACGGAGGCCAGTCTCGTGTGTCGTAGTCTCTCGCGCTTGTTTGTCCATACGCTTGCGTTTCTCGTCATTGGCGTCTGGGCCAAAGAGGACGGTGCCGAGTTTGGCGTCCATAATGTTTGGGCGGGTATACGCATATGAAAGGTTCTCCAGCACCACGCTCTACTCCCATCAGCCCCATGTTGTTGACATGATCTGGGAAGACTTGCCTCGGGAACATCATCCTTGACGCTCGTATCCACGTCCCCGGAAGGCTGCAGCTGTCCTTCCAACCTCAACGTCCCATAGCTCTGCGGCACAAACCCCTTGAGGGCGTAGATAGGGTCTTCCCGGTCGGCAGTGGTTAGCATCTGGTAGAAGGCGATTTCCCTCGGCAAGGCGGGCTATGACAAGGTCAGCTCGGAGGACACGAGGCGAGGCGAGGTGGGGGGACGGACCTTGATGACGAGGCTCCCGGAGGCGTCTGACATGACGCCGTCGTGGCCTGCTACCTGATTTGCGAGGGGGGCGGAGGAGGAGATGGCAAGGTCGGGGGGCGGCATGCTGCTAGGTGGGGTGGAGGGGAGAGATGGAGTGTTGTTGTTGTCGCGTCGGGCGGCGCGAGGTGGAGGGATTAGGAATTGCAGGGGTCTGATTAGCGGGACCAGATGGGATTACAAGTCAGACCAGATATTTGAACCGTCAGTGATAACATGGCCTGCATCCTTCTACGAGTCCAGCCGGGGTCGATGCATAGGGGATGCCAGCATGCAACATTCCAGCGCATCCCCGAGCGGTATACTGTCGCCGATGCAGTGACCAGCTCAAACTCACCATTGCTCGCGTTTCCCGCCTGAGCCCTGTCCCCTGCCAAGCCAAACAGCTGTCCTTTCAGATCCATTAGTACGATATCGAGTACAGCTTCGGTACAGCATTACCACTGCTCCATCCGATCTTTCGTTCTCTTCTGCCCTACATATTGCTACCCTCCGGCCTCTACACTGTGGCATAACTCATCAACAGCAGCAACACCTCGGCGATCCGGTCCGACGTCATGCCCAAGCTCTTTCCCAAATCAGACGCTCGTGCGACAACAACCCCCACCCGCCGGAAACGTCTCTTTCTCAGCTATGCCCCAGACTGGGCCGTCACCATCCTCCTATGGGTACATCCTCTTCCCTTCTTCTCCTTCTGATCATAATTGCGGCTGATGAACGCGCAACAGGGCCTCTTCTACCTCCTCGATAAAATCGACGGCTACAGACGTCTCTTCGACGTCACAGACACTTCCCTAGCGCATCCTTATGCCGACCCGGAGCGAGTCCCCGTATGGCTTGCAGGCGTGCTTTGTGGGGCTGTACCTGCTATTTTGATCATCCTTGTCGCGTGAGTGTTTGGTTCCATTCGCGGGTCTCGCGAGAGAGAGGGGTTTTTGGCTTACTGAAAGCATAGTGCGTTCGAGAGGAGGTCGTTCTGGGATGGACATAATGGGTTACTCGGCCTGATACTCGGCTTGGGCCTGACGGTGACCTTTACAAACATCATCAAAGTGCGTCCTCCTCTTCCATGCCCCCTTGTCCAGTAACCAACTCCCAGCGCTCGTAGATCACAGCAGGCCGCCCCCGCCCCGACCTCTTCGCCCGCTGCATCCTCCCCCCCACCCTCACCTCCAACCCCACCCACTCCCTCACCTCTTGGACCGCCTGCACCACGACCGATAAGCACCGTCTGCAGGAAGGGTTCAGGAGTTTTCCGAGTGGGCATAGTAGTTTTGCATGGTGTGGGATGTGGTATCTGATCTTGTATCTCGCTGCTAGTGGGTCCCCCTCCTCTTCTCCTTCTCCTTCTCTCCTTCATCTGCCCCTTTTCATTTTTTCAAAGCTGACGGTCCGAAAAAGAAATGCGCATAAACAACCGCCAAGGCTTCACCTACAAATCCTGGCTCCTCCTCGCCCCTCTCTCCTGCGCCTCCCTCATCACCGTCTCCCGCACCATGGACTATCGCCACCACGCTACCGACGTCATCGCCGGGTCCTTGATCGGGGTTGCGGGTGGGTGGTATAGTTATCGGCAGTATTATCCTGTGAGTTCTTTTTCTTGTTCTTCTGCTTTTCGAGGACTGGGGAGGGGAGGGGCGGGAAAAGAGACAAGGCTGATGGGAATAAATAGCCGTTATCGCATCCTCAAGCATACAAACCACACTCCCCCCGAATCCCGCGAGACGACCCCTCCCTACCCCTCCACCACCACCACCACCCCCACCACCCTTCCTCCCCTTCCTCTCATCCAGGAAGAGACAGCCAAGAAGTCATGCTCAAACCTCTGCCTCCTCAGCATCTCAATGCCAACGGGAACGGACAACACTCTCCATTCGGCGGACAGCCTGGGTTTGGGGGGCGGTACCAAAGCCGAGGGAAAGGAGGGGGAGGGGAAGGGGGGCATCATCAGTCGAGTATGGGTACGGGGATGACGAGTTCCAGCGGGGGTGTCATCCAGGAGCAGGAGCGGCAGCAGGAGCAGGGGCAGCAGGTGGTGGGGGAGGCGGATCTGGGGGCGCGGGGGGAGATGGTTGGGAGGTAAGACCGTCTTGCCGAGTTGTGTAAAGAATGCAAGAAGACATGTATCATATACCTACCGCAGCTTCGCAGACTCTTTTTCATGAGGCGGGTCAGCTGGGTAGATGCGCCAGCTTACTGCACTGGATTGTCGGGGCATCGTTCAGGCAGAATGTGTACACCATACGCCTACTACTCTTGTTGACTTGTCTCCTCTCGTCAGCAGTACCGCTGGATTCCACTTCTGCTTGAACGCCGCCATCTTCTCCTCTTCTACTCGTTTTAGTCTTGACATACACTCGTAGTAAGGGCCTAGATCCTGTTCGTTCACGCGTTCACGGCTAGCTCAAGTCTCGTTATCCTGACATTTGTCTCCCGTATATTCACGTAGGACGAAAGGTGATCAACTTACTAGACGCTCGAAAGCACCGTGTCTCATGTCAGTTTATTTGGAGTACCCGTTCAGCACCGTAGTGGAGAGCGCCTTGTCTGGAGTCTTTAGGAGGCAGACACCGCTTTGGCAGAAGAGGGATCATACAGCAACAAACAGCATCGGTCTGGCGGCTCATCCCGCTGATGTGATGTGGAGGCGATTGTGAACGTCAACAACAGTATATAAAGCTAAAAAGCTGATACTTTCTCAAAAGCATCTCTACAAACAACCCACTTTCCCACTATGCTTCTCCTCACCGCCCTCCTCCCCTGCCTCCTCCTCACCTCCGCCCACCCCCACCACACCCGCTCCCCTTCGCCCGCCCGTCGCTCAGTCCCCGGTGAAGTATCCGCCCACTCCAGCATCGACCTCACCCTCCTGCCCACTCGTCAATTCTCAGACTGTCTCGAAGACCGCCAAGCATGGCTCCACGAGCAGACCGACACGCTCTTGCACAAGTACGCGGCGCTCATCGACGATAGCTGGAAGAAGAATACGAGCTTGGTGAAGAAGGATGTTGGAATCGCACAGTACGTTTGCTTTACTTGCTTTCTGGAAACTGTTCTGAGATTCTTCACAGGCTCACGGACGTCAACTATGATGCCTCCTACCTCGGCACAGTCCACATCGGTACCCCTCCTCAAGAGCTTCTTCTCGTGCTGGACACTGGCTCTGCCGACCTGTACGTCGCCCACTTTCCACACCGCCAAGACTTGGTGCTAATAAACGCGTAGATGGGCTGCAGGCGCCGACTGCGCCAACTGTGGAGACGGGGAGCGATTCAACCCCTCTGCATCATCGACATATAAAGCCAGCAGCGGTACCTTCTCCATCACCTACGGCTCTGGCAGCGCGTCCGGTGATCTTGGCACCGATGTCGTCGAGCTCGCCAACTTTACCGTCCCCGACATCACTCTCGGTACGTCTCCTCTCTCACACGGGGAGCTGTACTGACTATACCCTAGCCGTGGTAGACCAAGCGAGCACCGGTCTCATCCGCGCCCCTCTTTCCGGCATCATGGGCCTGGCCTTCTCCGGATTGTCCAACGCCAAAGCTACCCCCTGGTGGGAGACGCTCGTCAATGCTGGTCGGTGGGACTCTCCCGAGTTTGGCGTCTACTTGGCGAGGTATAGAAACGACCCTAGTGCTTCAACGGTCGAGGGAGATGGCGGTGCTATCACTTTTGGGTAAGTCGTCGTTTGGTATCAATGTGGCGAAAGGCGAGGCTGATGGTATCTCAAAGCGGTACCGATACGACAAAGTTCGCTGGCGAGCTCAACTACGTACCCATCAACGATTCTGCTCGCGACTACTGGCGAATCCCACTCGAAGGTTTGACCATCAACAACAACACCGTCACCATCGCCACATCCTCCTCCTCCTCTACCCTTCCCACTTGGTTCCAGCCCCTCAACCCTTTCCTCCCTCAGGACTCGACAAGCGACCAACCGCAAGCCTGTATCGACACCGGTACAACTCTCATCGGCGCGCCTCCATCGACCGTGCAGGCTATCTACGCTCAGATCCCCGGCTCGTCTCCTCTTCCGCCTTGGATCATCGGTGGTGAGGGACTTTGGCAGTACCCTTGCAGTCAGTATGTATCGGCACTCTTCCAGTTCGGCGGACAGCAATACTCGATGAGCAACACGGATATGAACTTGGGTCCTTTTACGTCGGACAGTAGCATGTGCACCGGGGCGTTCTTTGAAATGCAAATGTGAGTACTCTCTTTCCTGTCGCTTATCTGCCGGTGAGCGAAGGCTGACGAGACGTACTTTAGGTCGTCCAGCTCTCCCATCCAATGGATCGTCGGAGCATCCTTCTTGAAGAATGTGTATACGTCGTTCAGGAATACGCCTACCGCCATTGGTTTTGCTCCACTCGTCCTCAATGCCGCTTCCAACTCTACTACCGCATGATTCAGTGCCTCTTTCTCTCTCCGCTGTGCTCAGCTCGACGTTTGATACGCGGCCTCACGTTGTTCCTTGTGTTCTTTTACGATTAGCTTACGTCTTACGACTCTTGCATTTGTTCTTATGATACCATGATACGTATACGACCAAGCAATCAGACATTCATATGCATCATTCTCATTAAACAAACCGTCTCTCGCGTCTTTACAGCAACTCATGATGGACAGCAGCGAGGCTGACGACAGGCGGCGGAGTGATCAGAGCCGGCGTAGTTCGGACAATGAGATAGACAAACTCAAGGGAGACGAGCCAGTACAGTACCTCATGGCAATCACTACCCTTGTTCTCTCCGGCCAACGAAGCACATCTCGCCCTGTTTCGCTGCAACTATGTTCGTGCAAGTGGAGGTGGGTGAATGTAATCAACAAAACAAAGGTCGTTCATCAAACGCCGCAAATGACCTTCATTTTCAAAGTGACTGGCAGGGTGCGCGAATGTTGAGTAGGTACAGAGGGCATACTGTCATTGAAGAGTATGTGGTGAAGTTGACGATATTGAGGCGCTGACGGTCAGGGGCGATGAGAAGAAGTGAAGAAACGGCAGCGACGAAGGCGATGGAAGGAGCCTTCATATACATCTCAGGAGTGGAGGTGGTGTAAAATAGTCTCGCAGCGGATATGAAGTGATAGAAGGCTCGGGAAGCAAGAAAGAACAGAAGCATGGGGTGCATCGGGAAGGAGCAGCGTTGAAAGTGGCGAAAGCCGCATGGACGTTGCATGAACATTCCCGTGGACCACGCCGCGTGGGACCACTTTCCCGCAGTGGGCCACCACGCTTTCCCAGTTCTCCACTTGCATCTCCATCTATCACTCTTATCACCTCGCTATGCCTCCCAGTACTGCCAACACAGACACCTCCTCCCCCAGCACCACACCCCCCCTTTTCCCCGCCGAAGTCGAACACGTCATCTACGACAGCTTTCTCTCTTTCGACCCCTCTTGCACTCTCGCCCGCACGCTCACCCTCGCCAAATTGTCGAAATCGCACCATAAATCGTTCATCCCTCCCCTATACAAACGCATCGTAGTATCAGACAAGGCCATCGAGAGGGGCTTGTTCGAGGGTCTTTCTGCGCGGCCAGCTAGTGGAACAGAGGTCGTGCGGGCGGAAGGCGGGCCTCTGGGCAGCAAACGGGACCTACTCGAGCACTGCGAATCGCTGGTCTTCGCCACCTTGGCCGCCAGAGACGCTACCGCCGAAGTCGTAGAGCTATGGAACGGCGTGATGACGGCCGAGCGCTACGAGGCAGGTGGCCTACCCGACACCCCTGGCATCTTCAACAACGTCGCGCATATAGCCTTCGAGTCCGACTGTCTGGAGCAGTACGCAATAGGCAAGCTGGATCTGCTGTTTCGTCAGCAGGCTCCTGCGATAAAACGACATCCCTGGCCTCTCAAAAATTTGTCCCATATCTGTTTTCGACTGCCTTATCCATCCCTCCCGTCCGAATACGAACAATACCTTGAGTCACTCTACCACCTTGCCTCGTACTTTGCTCCGGGGGTAAATGACACGGTCGGCAATGTGACACGTTTCCAAAACCATGATATGTCTGAGGACAGCATTTCGAGCATCAACTATGTCAATTGGGGGGAGACGATGATTGTCGATATGCTGCCTCTAGAGCATTCAGAGGATAGTGGTGGTGTGGAAGGGTACGGCCGTCACGTGGAACTGATATATACGTACTGTAAAAAATCCTTCTGGATCTGGGGGCAATTCGGAAAGAAGTGAGTCCCACCGTCAAGCCTTTTCAACAGACTTCTAACGTCGATTGCAGATGCCCCGAAGATCTCCCGAAAGCCTTGATCCTCACCAATTTCGGCACAACCGTCTCCCGTGATGGCAATTTCCACTATATCTCTCCCAACAAACAAAAGGCGATTCTTCAAAAAGCTCAAAAAGATATCAGAACACGCCTACAGTCGGTTGCCGCATCCGAAAACTTAGATACTGGAGTGGTGGATAAGATCTTCATACGAGGTCACGAAGAGTGCGAGTTCTGCGGGGACGTCGCTCCCAGGGAGTACGAATTTTGGGATTGGTAGGCTTATTATTGAAGCTCCATTCTTGTTGTGAGTGTCCGTCCAGTCTCGGTCGTCCAAAGCTGATCGGATCCAGTACGATCTCTCCATCACTTTCTTCATATCTTCATTGGCCGGACCCCTATTGTCTATCACGTACGCCCCGCACCCATGTCATTCCAAACCCGTTCAATACTGACTCCCCAAAGGTCGGCTTTCCAACTTTCGGGTCGCCCTTCTCTTTTGTTTCTAGACCATTACCCAGACATCAATGAACATCTCGCCCTGTTGTGCTGCAATTATGTTCGTGCAAGTCGAGGTGGGTGGATGTAATGTCGTTCATCAAAAGCCGTATATGAAATCCATTTTCAAAGAGACTGGAAGATTACAGTACGCAGGAAGAGTCAATTCTGTCATCGCAACAACATTCTTGACGAATGCGTATACTTCATTCAGGCATACATACACCTGCTGCTGTCGGCTTTGCTCCTCTCGTCAGCTGTCTCTCTGCCAAGCCTACTAGCGCATGATCAATACTGTTATTCTCCAGCCTCGCTTTTGTACAATAGACTTCTGATGAGCAGACGTTATGTTAGTCTTCTCAACTTCACCCTTTTCTTACCTTCCTTATAATACAACATTCGTTCTCATCCGACGTACACGGTTGATCGCTTAAGATTTCACGTGCACTTCCCATGGCTCATACTGTCTTCCAGGTTCTCTGGAGATGTGACCGCACAATGTTGAGTCGGGAACCTTCTGGGACGGTCACGAAGAAGAGTGAGTCCCTTGAACATCTTCTCTGCAGATCAGGGCAAGCCTGACCTCGCCTACAGCGCACCCAGAACAAGCCACAGGACATTGATCTTACCAACTATAACAGCCGCGCTCATGGAGATCGGCTTGACTTCATGAGCGCTTCAAGCTCCTCCATTCTGGCTGTAGATATCCATGCGCATGTAAAGATGCCCTTCGGCCTTGGGCACATGCCCTCAAGAGCTACAGCATTCAGGAAGCCCCGTGGATTCGGAGGGCCGACCTGGGTTGAAAGAGAGGACGTTCAATGGGGGGGGGGTGATGACAAAGTGATGACGTGGTAGTTGTAATCGCTCAAAATGCTCCCGCTAATGAACTCCATCACAACTTTCAGTTCGTTTCCGCCGTTGTTCCGCCGTCACTCCCGCTGCTTTCCCATCCAGTTCCCGTCCATTTGCATCTCCATCTATCACTCGTATCATCTCGCCATGCCTCCCAAACACTCGACACGGCACCGTACTGCCAACACCAACACCTCCGCCAGCCCCCCACTCCCCCTTCTCCCCACCGAGGTCCAATACCTCATCTTCAAAAGCTTTCTGTCCTTCGACCCCTCATTCATGCTCGCCCGCACGCTTCTTGCCCGCACGCTCACCCTCGCCAAATTGTCGAAGTCCCACTATGCATCGTTCATCCCTCGCCTATACAAACGCATCGTAGTATCAGACGAGGCCATCGAAAGGGGCTTGTTTGAGGGTCTCTCTGTGCGGCCAGCTGGTGGAACAGAGGTGGTACGAGGGGAAGGCGGGCCTCTGGGCAGCAAGCGGGACCTGCTTGAGCACTGCGAATCGCTGGTCTTCGCCACCTTAGCCGCCAGAGACGCTACCGCCGAAGTCGTAGAGCTTTGGAACGGCATGATGACGGCCGAGCGCTACAAGGCAGGTGGCCTACCCGACCCCCCCCGGCATCTTCAACAACGTCACGCATATAGCCTTCGAGTCCGAATGTCTGAAGCGGTACGCCATAGACAAGCTGAATCTGCTGTTTCCTCGGCTGGCTGCTACTGCGATATATCGAGATCCCTGGCCTCTCAAGAATCTGTCCCATGTCTGTTTTCGACTGCCATATCCTTCCCTCCCGTCCGAATACGAACACTACCTCGAGTCACTCTACGACCTTGCCTCGTTTTTTGGTCAGGGGGTAAGTGACACCGTCGGCAATGTGACACGTTTCCAAAACCATGATATGGCTGAGGACCGCTATTCGAGCATCAACTATGTCAATTGTGGGAAAACGATGATTGTCGACATGCTGCCTCTAGCGCATCCAGAGGACAGGGATGATGCGGAAGGGTGCGACCGTCACGTGGAACTGATATACTCGTACTGTAAGAAATCCTTCTCGATCTGGAAGGAATTCGGAAAGGAGTGAGTCCCACCGTTAAGCCTTTTCAACAGACTGAGGCGGGGCTAACGTCGATTGCAGATTCCCCGAAGATCTCCCAAAAGCCTTGATCTTCACCAACTTCGGCACGACCGTCTCCCGTAACGGCGATTACCACTATATTTCTCCCAACAAAAAAAAGGCTATTCTTCGAAAAGCTCAAAAAGATATCAAAACACGTCTACAGCCGATTGCCGCATCCGAAAACTTAGATACTGGAGTGGTGGATAAGATCTTCATACGAGGACACGAAGAGTGCAAGTTCTGTGGGGACGTCTCTCCTATGGAGTACGAATATTGGGATTGGGAAGATCAATGGGAGAAGCACGATACTTCGGATTAGGAGGCGTAGCGAAGCTCCGTTCTTGTTTGTGAGTGTCCGTCCAGTCTCGGTCGTCCAAAAGCTGATCGGATCCAGTACGATACCTCCACCACTTTCTTCATATCTTCATTGGCCGGGCCCCTTCTGTCTATCACGTACGCCCCGCACCCCCATGTCATTTCAGACCGGTACAATACTGACTCCCCAAAGGTCGGCTTTCCAACTTTTTGGTCGCCCTTCTTTTTGTTTCCAGAACCATGCCGATACCCTTACTGGTGGGAAGAGCGTACCGGGAATTGAGAGCGAAGGAGAGGGAGAGTGTATGAGACGACAGCAGCGGGTCTTGCAGAGGTAAGCAGGGAATGGATCGTAGTCGAGCTGTATTAGTCTCTGCTTTGGGCATTCTGAGTTGTAGGCTGAGTACCACGTTGTCTTTATACAGGATGGATGATGCATTCATATATATCGTATCCTTCACAGATGAATCTACTTGCCATTAGCGCCGTACCATACTTGTACAAGCTTGAGGAACGACTCACCCTGTATTTTACAGAAGGTCCTTATCGATGATGAACCCTGCAAACATACAATCAGCATGCACACAAACATGAGGGAAGACAAGAAACTCACCCCTCGCAAGCTCATAAGCCACAAAAGTCGACCCCGCCGCCGGTACCGCCCTAACCAAACTCGGCCCCAATCCTCTGAACAGCCCCCCCACCCCACCCTCCCTCACGATCGCCCCCAACTCTCTCACCACATACCCCCCAGACAGCCATCCCCCCCGGGTAGGAGGGAAAGGCGCGAGCTGGATACGGGACTTGACAATGTCAAAGGGGTAGCAGGCGAGCCAGTAGGAGATACCGCCGATAGCGCCGGAGGTGAGCAGGGTCCAGATTGGGAGGGGTTGGGAGGGGTAGTGGGATGCGAATTGACGTTTGGTCGTTTCGTAGCCTTGTCACAGTTTGATCAGTCAAAGTCCGAGCAAGGGAAAGGCAAGAAGAGAGAAGAAGACGGACCAACGTAGAATCCGGCGTAGGCGGGGATCTCTCTTATGACTGTCACCTATAGCGCGCGGTGAGTATGGCCCACCAAGAGAAGGAGAGCAAGGGAACGTACCCAATATCCCCGCATGATACCATCACGCAAACCATACTGCCTCCAAGTATCCCCAACAATCTTGCTCAGGCGTTTATCGTCCGCACCGCCGTATTGTCCTTGCATCTTGATCTTGAATTGTTCGACCTATCCTGTTCGTCAGTTAACCCGTCCCCTTCTGGGGATGAAGAGGAGGTGGGGATGGATACGTACGGGAGAGGCGAGGATGGCATTGGCAGCACCGGCGAGCGCACCGGCAGTGGCCACTTGAGGGATGGAAAGATCTGGGTATGGCGAGACGAGTTTCCTAGCAGCGCCATATGCTGTAAACAGCAGAGAGTTGACAGAGGCGATACCAATCAGTGGCGAGAGCTACGCACCATATCAGTACAGCGCGAGAAGAGGGAAAGAAAGACAAACTGTTCCCTTGTACAGAGCGAGCACGCCTTCTTTGCGGACGGTGACTTTGAGGATGTCCCAGGTGTTTTTGAACTGTCCTTTAGGAGCTGTTTGTGCCCGCTTCGAACTTATCAGTACCCCATCAGTGATATCAAACCAGACGCACAGTCTTGAGCGTATCAAGCGGCTAAACAATGTCAGGTCTCCCCTGCATCGGCGTGCCGAACTACGCACCTGGCCGACGAGCACCTGCGCAGCACCTCCAAAGCTGCCCGAGATGAGCTCTATGGCGACGTCATTGCGCTGTTTGGGAGGGACGGGATACTCTGAGATGGGGGTGATTTCTGACATGGCGGATGGAGAACGACAAAGTAAATCTGGGCGGTAGATGTATAAGGGCGATAAGCATGAGCAGTTCTCGCGTCATGGTGGTGATTCCGAAGAGCGGACATCGCCGCGTAGTCTAAGTCGGCAGAGTGACATGCAGACGCAATACGCTGGGCTCCTGATGCAGCTGAAGCAAGGAGATGACATGCAAGGACAACAACGAACAGCTACACCTCATCTCCGCCTATCCCTCTCCCTCTCCCTATCCCTCCTTCCCTCACCATTTTCATATTTGCCCTTGCCAAACACGATCCCCCGCTTCGTTCCCGCTTTCTTCGCTTCTTCCGACTTTTTGTCGCGCTCTTTCTGCTGGGATGTTAAAGCGGAGGGGCCATATTGTGGGATAAGCGATTCGAGGTTCTGTCGGGTGAGCCAGCCGCCGGAGGAGGATGATGATGGGGATGGGGAAGGGAAGGAGGGGGCGCGTTCGTCGATGGATACAAAGTCGACCTGTGAACGAGTCAGTCTCCGCAACAAAAAATGGTCTGGAGGAACGCACGAGCTGAGAGTAGATGTGCGGGTTTGCAAAAGTCGACGATGATAGCAGACGCGTATTGATATGTTCGCCTTGCTCATACTTGAGTTTCAAGAAATGTGCCACTTTTGCCTGTACCACGTTAGCGCAATGACTGGACATAACAAGGAATACAGTACGCACAGAAAGAGCCGGATCGCAATGACCCGGATCTACCTCCGCCGGTAAACCCCACTCTTCATCCCCATCTAACGGTCCCGGCCGGAGTACCAAATCGAGTATCTCATCATCATCCAGTCCCTGTTCCCTCGCTTGGTCGATAATGGAAGGTTTCGCATCTAACGGTGCTAGACCTGGAGCTTGCGCAGAGTCGGGGAGAGAAGATTGGGCGGCCTGAGTCAAGTTGGCATCGGGCGGGAGGATTGATATTGCATCGGCCGGGGCTGGAGACTGACGCCGACGTTTGGTAGGACGGTGGTTCGAAGCAGGCGAGTTTTTGTGGAGGATTATGCCGGCTGGTGTGCTAGGTTTTGAGATCGGTCTGGCATTGTCTACTTTTTTCCATCAGCTTTCATACTTTTTCTTGTGACGACTTTATAACTTGCCTGCAGATTTATCTCTTAGCCGCTGCTCTCCCACAACATAGTGTAAGAAAGGAAATGAAAAGTACAATGGCGCCGTGTGATCAAGTACTCTTCGAGGGAGATTCGGGGCAAACTTACGGATGGGCCCGCTTGGGCTTGCGGTCGAGATTGGGCTTCAGGGGACGAGTCGTCCGAGTAATGTACAAGGCCTGTCGTTCATTAGCACATCTCTCACTAGGACGGAGGTTGCTTACCTTGCATGGCGGTGATGGGGAATGTTTTAGACGTAGATGAATTGTTGTTGCAAGAGGTTATGCACTGGCGGCGCCCCCCGCTCATCCGGTGGAGGCCCAGTGGAGGCACTCCACTACATCATCGCTACATCATTGACTTGAAATTGCATCTCTTTTCTCTTTCACAACATAACATGCTCCGCCTCCCCCCACGCATGCCCCCCATCCATAAAAGAATGTCCTCCACCCTCCCCTCCCTCAAGAACGAACTCGCCTCCTCCAAATCCCCCTACCTCCTCCAACACGCCCAAAATCCCGTGCACTGGCAAGAATTCACACCCCAAACCATCTCCCTCGCCCGTCAGCTCAACAAGCCCATATTTCTCTCTTCCGGCTATTCAGCATGTCACTGGTGCCATGTACTGGCGCACGAGAGTTTCGAGGATGAGGAGACGGCGCGGATGATGAATGAGTGGTTTGTCAATGTAAAGGTTGATAGGGAGGAGAGGCCGGATGTGGATAGGGTTTATATGGGGTATTTGCAAGCTGTGAATGGAGGCGGGGGGTGGCCCATGTCCATCTGTAGGCTTTCTCTTTGGACTTTTAGGATGGTGTGCTGATAAGAGGGATAGTTATGACACCGAATTTGGAACCTTTCTTTGCTGGCACATACTTTCCACGTACGCGCTTTCAAGCGCTTCTCCAGCGGATCAACGAGCTCTGGGAAGAAGACCAAGAAAAGTGCGAACAGATGGGCAAAGGCGTCATCCATGCCCTCAAAGACATGAGTAACGCTGTGCGTCCCTTCAATCCCTACCTTCCCTGGGAGAAGCAAGCGCTCATAGACTTACTAGCCGAGGACGAGCGAATCCCTGACAGAGCTCCTATCAGCATCCCCAGCCTCCAAACTCTTCTCCTCCCTCGCAACACAACACGACCCGCGCTACGGCGGCTTCACCCCCTCCGGCCCACACTCCCGCGGTCCCAAATTCCCATCCATCTCCAACACCCTCGAGCCCTTACTACGTATCGCCACCATCCCCCACTCTTCCCATGCCGAGGGCGGTACGGATAAAGAGATAAGCGAGGAGGCGAGGGAGATGGGGATGGGGATGTTGAGAGGTATGTGGAAGGGTGGTATCAGGGATTGGGTGGGTGGGGGGATGGCGAGGTATAGTGTTGATGAGAAGTGGATGGTGCCGCATTTCGAAAAGATGCTGTATGTCCCTTTCTCTCCTTCTCCCTCCCCCCACCCTCACTTCCCTCAACAGGAGCTGACTTTCATCAGATACGACCAAGCCCAACTAATCTCCGCCTCCCTCGACTTTTCCCTTCTCTTCCCTCCCTCCCACCCTGACCGCAAAATATGCCAAGACCTCGCTGCCGATACACTCAAATACACCCTCCGCGACCTCCAAAGCCCTGAAGGCGGGTTCTGGAGTGCGGAAGATGCTGATAGCGCTGCCGCGCCGGGGGCAAAGAAGACGGAGGGGGCGTTTTATATATGGGATAAGAAGGAGATTGATGAGGTGCTGGGCCCTGATGGGGCAGCTGTGTTTGAAGCCTTCTTCGGCCTGCAAGACGTGGGGAATGTAGATTTGGTACATGACTCCCATGGCGAGATGCGCGGCAAGGTTCGTCTCCCTCTTTCTGTTCTCTGTTCTGCTCAGAAGCCAAAAACAAGAAGCTGACGGGGATAACAGAACATCCTCCACCAACACAAAACATTCGAACAAGTCGGCCTAGAACAAGGCCACTCTCCACAAAAAGTCGAGCAAATCATTGTGGAGGGGTGTGAAAAGCTCAAAGCCGTGCGCGACAAACGCGAAAGGCCGGGGTTGGACGACAAGATTTTGACAGCATGGAACGGTCTCATGGTCCGTCCCCCTCATCTTATTCTTCTTTCCTAATCACAATGCTAATGAGATGTGATGTAACAGTTGACTGCCTTGAGCATAGCATCCACCCTCCTCGATCCCTCATACCCCATCCAACCCCAATGCCTCCCCACCGCCATCCGCCTCGCCTCCTTCCTCAGATCCACCCTCCTCAACCCCACCTCCCACGAACTGTACAGGTCTTACCGCCAAGGCCCGGGGCCTGCAGGGCAGACGGACGATTATGCGTTCTTGGTCCAAGGTTTGCTCGAGTTGTACCAAGCGACGGGGGATGAGGCGCATCTGTTGTGGGCGGAGGAACTGGAGAAGAAGCAGGAAGAGTTGTTCTGGGATGAAGAGGGAGGAGGGTGGTTTGTGAGTAAGGAAGATGAACATGTGCTTGTCCGTATGAAGGATGCTCAAGTACGTCCTCCCTCTCCCTCTCCCCTTTCCCCTTTCCTCACCCAGCTGAGAGAATGAGAACAATAACTAACACAAAAAGCAGGACGGCGCCGAACCCTCAGCAGCATCCACTTCAACCCAAAACCTCTCCCGCCTCTCCCTCCTCCTCTCCTCCAACTACGCCCACTACGAATCCCTCGCCGAATCGACCTTCCTATCCATGGCGCCGCTCATCACCCAAGCCCCCCGCGCAGTAGGCTACGCCGTCGCCGGCCTCGTCGATCTGGAGAAAGGGTGGCGGGAAGTGTTGATTGTAGGGAAGAAGGATGATGACAGGGTGCAGGGCTTTTTGAAAGAGGCGAGGAGGGAGTATAGGAGTAATCAGGTTATCATCCACCTCGATCCTGATCACTTGCCGAGGAGGATGGGGAATGATGTTGTGAAGGCGCTGGTGGAGGGGATAGAGGAAGGGAAGGAGGAGGGGGCGAGTTTGAGGGTATGTGAGGGTGGGGCTTGTGGTATGGCCGTTTATGATCTTGAGGGTGCGAGGGAGTTGTTGGGGTGAGGGGAAAAATGTATTTGTACCGATATACGATATGCCACTTGTCGAACGATACAAACACATCAAGACAAGATGAATAAACCATGATACATGTCCAGGTCCATGTACTATAACCAAAGAGACACAACGAACGCGAAAGAAACCTATGCTACAAGTAATCCAAAATAACGAAACGGTGGGAAGATGCTATTACAAGTGCGTTATATAGTGTATGTAGAGTCGGGGGTACTCGGCGGGTTTTTCTTTGACAAAAGTCTACAGAGTATATGAGGTAGCTGGGAAGTGGGCTATCCGTTGAGTCGAGCGGCGAGAGCTTTTTGTTGAGCCATCCTCTCCACTAAAAAAAAGCTTATCGTCAGCTTTTTGTCCTCGGGTTCTCGGGTCGCTCAAGATACGAAAAGGGAAGAACAGAGACTTACTACCACTCATCTTGCTCCCAAAGCTTCCCGTCTTTTTCCGCTCCCCTTTATTCGACGACGATTTCGATGATGCCGAAGCTGAAGATATCTTTGCTTGTAGATAGAGCGAATGCTGCTTACTCATCAGTTTTTTTTTCTTTCGCTCCCAAAAATGACGCCGCCGGGGGAAGGTAAAGGTGGACTCACGGTATAAGCATAGATGGCTTCACTATACATACTAACAGCGTCCTTCTCCCCCGGCGAAGCAAGCTTGATCTCGACCTGTATACCCGTACGTTCTTTGACAGCAGCTTCCATCTCGCCTGCTACTTTCCGTACTTCATCGCCGTCGCCTTCTCCTCCTCCTCCTTCTTCTCCTTCTTCTCTGAATGACACTTCGTTCCGACTTGGGGATGAGGGAGGGGAGGGCGATTGTGTATGAAGCGCATGTTCAACATGCTCACAATCGGGCGTCTTTCCCCCGAGATCGTGGGAAATGGACAACGACCGCGGATGAAGCTCCCCGCCCCCTCCGCCGTGACCCTGCGAACTCAATGTCCTGATCGACGTCCCAGCCGGCGACGGATGTCCCTGCGACTCGTGCTCCAACATCGGCGGATCATGCTCCTCCTCTTCCCCTTCTTCCTCCTCCGAGTCTGTGAGGGGGGAGCGCACATCGATATGGGCGAGCTGGGCAGCGAGGATATCTTCAGCAGTGGTGATCTTCTTGATGGACGGTAATGCCGCTGGGCGATCAACGTCCTTCGCGCGGTGTTTCGTGCGGGGGATGATGGGGAGGGCGGTGGGGGTGTCGCTGCCGGGGGGCAAGTAGGGCATCTCTGTATACTTTAGTGGTGGAGTATTCCCAGTTGTAGATGGATATAACTTATAAGGGAGATGACGACGCAAATAAACAAGGAATCACAGTGGGGGGCGGTGGGGCTCGCCGGGGACTCAGGGACGGGTGACGTAAGACCCCGGATGGCCCTTAGCCGGCCGCGCGGATCACCGAGCGAATGCCGAACGGGAGTAAACCTGCCACAGCGTGGGATGGAAGCATGCATGACCGTTGATTAATGAGCCAACGCTTACAGGCAGTGGGGTTGCTTTCATAGGCAACTTCTAGATCTGACTGTTGGATCCTGCACCAAGTGTATCCAAGTGCGAGATGCCAGATCTGGCACGTTGAAAGTTGAACCCGCTCAGAAGCAGCTATACGCCAAGTTGATCGATCAATTCGTTCGTCATCTCATATCCACGCTACAGAGATACCGTCAAGCGAGAAGCTAAACCTTACATACCTGGGTAAACGCTGACATGCTGGACTAGCCATAGCAGCGTGCTCGGACACATGCTCGAGTACACTAGCTTCTTTCGTGGCGTTGCGCGGTTCCATATTGCCTCCTTTATGGCGTCACTATTCAAAGGGCATGTCGAAAGAGAACAATGTAGAGTAGTAGATGCAAGAAGAGGTTCGACAATACATGGTGCGCTACAATACATTAATGGGGATTCTCTTCTTTTTCTTTTTCTGGGTAAAAATGGTAGGGTGCTGGGGGGTAGAAAAAACTATAGACATAATGAAAAGGTTTTCGAAAGAAATTGTCCTTTTTGTCCTATTTGGTTATGTGTGGTATGGTGAATGCGGTGGTATAGTATGGCGGATGGAGCGAGAAAGGGGAAAGTGTCCGTTTATTGTAGTACTTCGGGATGAGGGATACAAGATTTTGTCGAGTGGCGGATAACGAGGGTCAAGGTCAAAAGAGAGTATACGGTCGGAAGATGGTCGAGGCTGAGAGTAGTGGAGAGGGGGGGAGAGGGGGGGAGGATGGACGGGAGAAAGTGAGGGCGACTTATGAAGAAGTCCCATTCGCCACAAGCGCCGCAAACCCAATGGCCGTAGGCTCATATCTGAACGCCGTATACACATTCTTCAAGAATGCCGCGCCGACGATCCATTGGACCGGGGATCGTGATGACCTTTTCACATTCCATCAGCCAATGCCCCCGCGAAAAGAAGAGGGGAGAAACTCACATCTGCTGCTCAAAAAACGCCCCCGTACACATACTCTCATCATCCGTAAAACTCCCCAAATTCATATCCTCCCCATCCATCTCATACTCCTGCCCCCCAAACGTAAACTTGACGCTCACAGTAGTATTGCAAGGGAACTGGTAGTACCCCGCGCTGCCGACGACGGAGCTGTCCAAGGGTTCAGAGTTGGGGATCTGGGCGTAGATGGAGGAGATGGTGGAGGAGGGGGCGCCGATGAGGGTTGTGCCGGTGTCGATGGCGGCTTGGGGGGAGGACTGTTTTGTTTTTGTGTTAGGGGGTGCTTGAGAAGGGGGGAGGGGGGGGGGGGGGGGGAGGGGACGTACGATAGAAATGTCATCGCCGTTAACGCTCAAGCCATCCACAGCGATACGCCAGTAATCCTTTGCAGAATCGTCGATCGAGATATAGTTCAGGTCCCCACTATACTTGGACGAATCCACACCCCTACACCCCTATCAGCCTCCCTTCCTTTCCTTATCCCAAACATATGAAAGAGAAGAAAAGGACATACCCAAAAGTAATCTCCCCACCCTCCTTCTCATCACTCGTAGCACTATCCACCCCCCTAAAGCGCGCCATATAAACCCCAAACTCGGGGTCGTCCCACTGCCCCGTAGACGCGAGCGTCTCCCACCACGGGGACGCTTTGGAGGAGGCGAGCGCGGTCCAGCCAAAGCCCATTATACCGGAGAGAGGCTCGTCGATGAGGCCGCTTGTTGCTTGGTCTACCACAGCTTTTTGGACCATCAGCTCTTCTCTCTTCTCTCTACAAAAAGGGCAGAGGGGAAGGGGGAGGGGGGACGTACCGAAAGTAGTATTGGCAAGGGAAAACCCAGCAAGGTCGACGACGTCCGTTCCATAGTCGCCGGCAGCACTGCCAGAACCATAGGTGATACGGAAGGTCCCATCGGCTTTTTGGTAGGATGTGGAAGCGTTCTTGTTGAAGGTTTCGACGTCTTGACAGAAATCGGCAGAACATCCGGATCCAGCGGCCCACCTATGAATCATTAGCATGGTGAAAAAAGAGGAGAGAAAAGCGTACAGGTCGGAAGAACCGGTGTCGAGGACGAGCAAAAGGTCTTGCGCGGGGGTACCGATAGAGACCGTACCAGCATACGTCCCATCATAGTTCAAATCCTCTAACCTACATTCCAATCATCAGCTATGACCCCCCAAAAGCACAATCGAAAGGAACCCACTGCACACTCCCCGAGTCCCTCTTGCTCATCCCAATGAGCTTCTTCCACTCTTCATCCAAGCTCAGCGCGTACTTTGCCTGGAGCGACTTGGCCTGGTGTTTGAGCCATGCCTGGCGCTCGACGAGAGAGTCCGAGTACTGGCGGGAAGCGAGGAGCTTGAGGGGGAGCTTGCTGGTGACGGCTGTACCGGTCGATTCGGGGGCTACGTCCGCGTCGGCAGGGGCGGGGAGGGCGGTGGTGAGTGCGAGGAAGGGGAGGAGTGCGAGGAGGGGGAGCATGGTGGAAATGAGTGACTGAGTATTATAAAACAGGCAGGGTGGGGATGCATTGTCAAAGCTGGAGGGGGTTATATACTGTAGGGGGGCGATGCGGTGAGACGGGATGTTTGTCGCACTAGACACTAGCTCATGTTCCTTATCAGTCTACAGATCGTGCCTGCACTGATTAGCGGAATCCCTTACGGCATTACCACCTCATCATCTGACAATTAGCATCCCCTTCTAATGAATCACGATTTATTCCTCATGCGACCCAAATGGTGTTTCGTGTTCGGGCCCAGTCATCCGAATCCGGCGCATCTTGGCATTCTTGCCTAACTCCAAAAATTATGATGCGGGTATACATTATGGACCATGCACTCGGGACGAGGGTGGATTGCCGGATTCATCTGCAAGGACCGCTTCGAGCGAAAACCGTACGACTGGATACGGACAGCGATGTCGCCAGGATGTCGCCGTGTACTCGGATCGCTCTTCTTCCGTCCGACCCTGGCTCGGCTCGGCGGTCATCAGGGCTGCACGTCAATCCAATTTCAAAGGCCAGATGTCGGTTCCTCCACGTGAAACGAAACAGAGGCCAGAGGCCAGAACCCAGATGGCCTAGAAAGCGTGTATGAACCTTACACCTTACATGACCTTTATGTATCACGTTACTGTCTCATTGCTCCCTTCATACGCGGCGTATTGGAACACTTGTCGTTGTTACAGCGATCGGTAACCGGGTCCGTCTCAGAATTGGTCCCTGTCTAATCTCGGTCGTCACATACGCGACTGATTTCTCGAGAGGTATTTGAATGATCAGAGGGATCACAAATGAGACCGAGGATGGTCATCAAACGAATCTTCGAGGTGCCCGGATCTATGTGCGTTCGTAGCTTCCCTGACGACGCGACGTCGAGTATTTTTTGCATTACCCGTCATCACTTTCCCATTAGACTTCTGTTCAAATCAGCTCAAACGCACAGCGCTTCTCCAGCTTCTCGTTACATCCGGGTACGTATACAAGACCAATAAGAGCACTTGCATGCGTACGAGTATATTCAGCAACACTGAAGAATACTAAAGCGATCTCAAAAATCGAGCGATCGTTATGACCCGACTGAGTCTTGAGCAAGATGCTGCTCTACCCCTCTCTCATCAACCCCTCTTTCCCTGCACACCTCTGTGCGAGACCTTCAGGCAGAACTCGCACTCCTCGTAGCCTCGAATATGAATCCTATCCGCCATCCCAACAAACTCTGGCGCGTTTGCCTCCAATTTCATGCGTAATTGTCGTCTGATCTCGCTCTGAGCTCTGTCGAGAATAGCTTCTTCGTCATCGGGGGGGAGGTAGTGGATAGTGCCGTCAGGGGAGATGGCGGTGTTGAAGTTGGTAAAGATCAATTTGATCCAGTGTCTTTCGGGATCGCTGCAACCCACGTTAGGCTCGCCTTCGTCTTCGAAAACGGTCTGTATGGACTCACCCTTCTTCTAAGGTTTTCCATTCCATAAGGCACCACTAGCAATATTCGATTATTTCAGCCACTTGAGATGAGAAAACATCACTATTCTCCTCATCATCCTTGAGCTCTACCGGTAACATGTCGATAAAGATCGTATCTCGACTGAGGATACAGTCGGGGGGCGGCGCGCCTCGACCAAACTTCCAGTTCTGAAACCGAGTTACATCCCCATGGTTCTCAACGGTCTGGCTCCCAAAGTCCGGGCTTTCTGAGTAGAAGAACGTGACATATTCTTCGAATCTGGTTGGAGAGGGGAAGGGGTGACGAAAACAGGCAGTAGACAGGTTCTCAAGAGGCCAAGGCATCTTGACGTTCGGACCACTCTTTCCTGGGATCCTTGGCTCACAGTACGCTCCGATACAGTCGGGCTCGAAAGCGATGTGCGTGACGCCGCTGAAACGACCGGTGGATACGTAGGGCGTGGCGCCAAACAGGTAGAACTCGTCGAGAGACGTCCTCTCTTCCGGTTCGTGCGCTAAAGCAGCAGTGGCATGCATAGCCGACAAAGACGTGATGATCAGGGATTCGCAGTTGCGAAGCAGCTCGTGCTTGCTGGGCAGTGGCCCTCCTCCCCCTACTTCGAGCACCATCAGCTTACTGGCCTCCAAAGTAGAGGAAGAGAAGAGCATGCGCAGACTTTGTCCACATGCTTTTCATCAAGATTCTTTCAAGAACTTTGGAAGAAGGAGGCGTCAGCATCAGCGTTGGGATGGGATTCTGTAAAGGTCGCAGCTACTCGGCAAGCCGCAAGAGCAAAGCATTACATATCAAGAGTATACATCTACTCCCAAACAGCAACCATCCTGACTTCAATACTCTCCCTCGGCCGCACCAACCCCTCCTCAACCCCCTCCGAATCATCCATCTCCGCCGCCACATGCCCCGCATACAACGCTCCCCCATCCGAGCCTTGCAAACTGTCATAGCATTTCAAGACGACTATCTCGTCGGGCGTCATGTGTCGGAGGTAACACCATTTCTGGGAGGGGGCGTAGTGGATCTGGATACCGGTGCCGAATTGGGATTCTTGTTTGGCGGTGTCGGAGGGGGAGAGGGTGGGGAAGTGGAGCATGCAGAGCGGGGAGCTGGTCACGGGGCCTGCTTGAATGTTCAGTGATGGGAGGGCAAGATGGACGAGGGGGAGACTTGCCTTTGAGAGGCCGCCAGATGTTGATGATCATACTCCGCTTGAACGTTGTAGGATCTTGCTTCGTAGCCATCCTTACAACATTCGGCGCCCATATCTACACCCCTCATCAGCACAGAACACAGCCAATACGGGGGAAAAAACATACTTCATCTTGATCCACGTGAGCATGACTCGCAGGGGGCTGTATGATACTAGTCGGTAAAAAACCTTCTTCGGGCCCTTTTTGTCGGTCAACGATGGTGGATTGTTTTTGGTCAGATTTGCGGACGGTGGAATTCCATTGGTAGACTTTGGTACAGTTCAGATAGCTTCGCATCAACCTGATCACATGTCAGTCTCTGGAGAAAAAAGTTGAGTAGAAGATGGCCGTACTCGCAAGTCTCCTCCCGATACCTCTCAGCGCCCTCCAGACTCCCAATCTCCCGCACAAACCGACTCTCATGCCGCGCAACAGCCCACCCTCTCTCGTGCACTTGATCATAAACTCCCCTGGGACCCTCGTCCATCTCATGGCGGATATCGTGTAGCTGGATGTCGAGCGTCTCTTGGGGGCGAGGGTTCTCGGGCAGGCCGGGGGTGTAGATGAGGAAGGAGGAGGGGTCGAGGTCCGGGGGGAGGCGGGCGTTGGGGATGCCGAAGCGGGCTGTAGCTTTTCTTGTGGGGGGTTCGATGTAGGGCATGGTGGAGGATGTACTGTGGACAGTCGACGAGTGGAGTTAAGGAGTGCGAGATAGTTGAAAGATGAGATGGGAAAGGATGGACGCAGGATGGACGTGGACCGATAAGGTGTTCGGTTTTGTCCGAGAAAATACTTCCGATGGGTTCGGGCAACCGATCAGCAATGCCAAAATGGGCTTTCGTTACTCTGTCCCAAGAAAGATCGCTAGCCTGCTCTCATATCTACTTATACACGATATTCATGGAGATGGATGGATACAGCCAAGAGTACATCGGAAATGTCATAATCTTCTTTTTTGGAGGGATGGCTGTAACCACGACACCCGTCTCAGAATTGGTCCCTGTCTTATCTCGATCGTCACAGACGCGACTGATTTCTCGAGTGGTATGTGAATGATCAGAGGGATCACAAATGAGATTGCAGCGAGAAGATGATGATGGTCTCAAAACGAATCTTCGGGGTGCCCTGATCTATGTGCGTTCGTGTCTTCAAGTCGTCTTCCACTCTCTGACGACGTCGAAAACTCGGCGACGATAGGCGACTATATCATAAGTGCTATCTTTTAGAAACTCACTCGGCGAGGAGCCCCTGCGAGAGCAAGACGATGGATGATACTTTGGCGAAACATGATGATGGTGCGGTGCATATAAGGGCAAAGTGTTTGAGAGTGAATTCATGAACGCATATAAGCATCCATCCCAATGGCGTCACCACATCCTCTCACACCTCCGGCTTCCCCATCGGCGCCTCCCCAACGCTGAGCCACCCCAGCGCAGTACATGGCCACATTTTATTGTCCCCATCCATTCATCAAACTCGAGTCCCTTGTACGTTTTCTGACAATCTTGGGGGAAGAAGACGGTAGCGTCAGGAGCAAAAGCCGACGGTCATGAACGCAAAGCAGCGTGATCGGGCGACGGACGCGGAAGATCTCTTGAAAGCCAACACCGTCTGAAACTGCCCTCTCTCATCAGCCATCCGCTAGCAATCGACAACATGAATGAGAGCCCACTGTCAAAAAAGCCAACCCCACTACGATCCACGCTTGCATCCCAAAATTGCCATCCTCGTATCATACTCGTACAACATGTCATCCTCCAATTTCTCCGGTGCGCCCACATACACATACATTCTCCCTCAAAATGCCTATTCGACACTCCAGCTTCCCCTATTCCCAGCTTCTCCACCATCTCGTTCGCATCTCCTCCAAGGCGCCGCAGAGAGAAATATCCTATTCCTTCCCTCCCCTGACGATCAACTATGCTCTCGAGTCCAGCGCCAGTAACGTATTGATGTCGTTCCAGAGGCAGGCGGGGAGAGCGCAGCGGGGAGAAATGAGAGGAGAGACCGGAGAGATAGCAAGAAGGGCGGTGGGATGAGAAGGCGACGGATGGAGAGTCGACGGCGGAAGGGGAAAAAGGTATGGGTGCGGGGTGTTTGTGATAGATGGCGCCGGCGCTTTTGGTGGATGGGATGTCGTACTTGTACATCCTCTTCTCCTCCTCCTTCTCCGGCGTGCCAATATACACAATACGGATGACCAGTACCCCATCTTGACGCATATCTGGCTTCCCCATCCCGCTCCCCCTGTTTGTCCAAGGTGCCGCAGCGGCTGATATCCTCATCTCTTCTATTCCCTGACAGTCACCTACTTGTACGCTCTCCATCCCCTGTACACTCTGTCCCCCCAGTAAGCCAGTAATAGTATCGACGTAGTCGCAGAAGCAGGCGGTGAAGGCGCAGCTTAAAGAGATGAGAGGGACGGGAGAGATGGAAAGAAGGGCGGTGGGTTGGGAGAGATGGCGGTGCGCGGGGAAGATGATATGGGTGAGGGGTGTTTGTAGGAGATAGCGCCGGCGCTGTCGTTGACGGGAAACAAGGGAAGAAGGAGGTAGCCTGCGAAGTTGGAAAGAGTTGCATCTGACGTACTGGTACTGATCAGCTCCGGATGATGTGAGATGGGACAGCGCACTCACAGACAAGAATGATCCACCACTGAGCAATTTCGTCCTAGTCCCACGGCTGGATCTTCTTCCCGCCGCCGGTGTCCATCAACTGCTCCTTCCCTGCACACCTCTGTGAGAGACCTTCCGGCAGAACTCGCACTCCTCGTAGCCTCGAATATGAATCCTATCCGCCATCCCAACAAACTCTGGCGCGTTTGCCTCCAATTTCATGCGTAATTGTCGTCTGATCTCGCTCTGAGCTCTGTCGAGAATAGCTTCTTCGTCATCGGGGGGGAGGTAGTGGATAGTGCCGTCAGGGGAGATGGTGGTGTTGAAGTTGGTAAAGATCAATTTGATCCAGTGTCTTTCGGGATCGCTGCAACCCACGTTAGGCTCGCCTTCGTCTTCGAAAACGGTCTGTATGGACTCACCCTTCTTCTAAGGTTTTCCATTCCATAAGGCACCACTAGCAATATTCGATTATTTCAGCCACTTGAGATGAGAAAACATCACTATTCTCCTCATCATCCTTGAGCTCTACCGGTAACATGTCGATAAAGATCGTATCTCGACTGAGGATACAGTCGGGGGGCGGCGCGCCTCGACCAAACTTCCAGTTCTGAAACCGAGTTACATCCCCATGGTTCTCAACGGTCTGGCTCCCAAAGTCCGGGCTTTCTGAGTAGAAGAACGTGACATATTCTTCGAATCTGGTTGGAGAGGGGAAGGGGTGACGAAAACAGGCAGTAGACAGGTTCTCAAGAGGCCAAGGCATCTTGACGTTCGGACCACTCTTTCCTGGGATCCTTGGCTCACAGTACGCTCCGATACAGTCGGGCTCGAAAGCGATGTGCGTGACGCCGCTGAAACGACCGGTGGATACGTAGGGCGTGGCGCCAAACAGGTAGAACTCGTCGAGAGACGTCCTCTCTTCCGGTTCGTGCGCTAAAGCAGCAGTGGCATGCATAGCCGACAAAGACGTGATGATCAGGGATTCGCAGTTGCGAAGCAGCTCGTGCTTGCTGGGCAGTGGCCCTCCTCCCCCTACAGCGACCAATTTGGAGCTGCGGGTCTTGCTGTGGGTCTTGCGCGAGTTGCCAGCCCGGGCTGGAGCATCCCGGTACAAGCCCCGCTCGATGGCTTCATCCGTCACCACAATCCGCTTATATAGGCGGGGCGCGAAAGCTGCATAGCAGGACTTGGACAGTTGAGAGAGGGTGATGGTATGGGCGGGAGAGTGATCCGAGATCAGAAAGTCGTAGATGAGAGTCTGCAGTTCGGCGGGGAGAGGGGAGAGGGATGTGATGTCGGGGGCAGAGATGGGCGGTGAGGTATGGGCGTTGGGGCGGTCATCGAGTGGGGGGTGGGTATGGGTCATGGCGGGGGGAAAAGGGGGGGGTAGGATGAAGATTGAAGATTGTTCGATTGTGCTCACAATGATTTTGTTACAACCTCGATTAGGAAATTGGAAGTGCCGATTTCTATTCGCCATTACAACTCTATCATACTCGCACAGTCGGTATGTACGATACTCGGCTCGTACCGTATGAGTCTGGTATTACTATACTGTACTCGAGTTGTACATACAAGTCACAACTGAGCATCTTGGATTATACGCGAAGAATACTATAGGAATGCATCAATATATAGAAAAACAACCAAATACGCAGACTACTACAACTCGTACCACCCATGGGTTGGTCTCATTGCTTCATACGCGGCGCGTTGAAACACTTGTCGTTGTTCGTTGAACGCATCCGTTTGCGTGTGTAATCTTTGCGTTGGGTTATCGGTCCTTGGTCTTGCCTTGCTCGTTGAGCACTTCGAGCACCATCAGCTTACTGGCCTCCAAAGTAGAGGAAGAGAAGAGCATGCGCAGACTTTGTCCACATGCTTTTCATCAAGATTCTTTCAAGAACTTTGGAAGAAGGAGGCGTCAGCATCAGCGTTGGGATGGGATTCTGTAAAGGTCGCAGCTACTCGGCAAGCCGCAAGAGCAAAGCATTACATATCAAGAGTATACATCTACTCCCAAACAGCAACCATCCTGACTTCAATACTCTCCCTCGGCCGCACCAACCCCTCCTCAACCCCCTCCGAATCATCCATCTCCGCCGCCACATGCCCCGCATACAACGCTCCCCCATCCGAGCCTTGCAAACTGTCATAGCATTTCAAGACGACTATCTCGTCGGGCGTCATGTGTCGGAGGTAACACCATTTCTGGGAGGGGGCGTAGTGGATCTGGATACCGGTGCCGAATTGGGATTCTTGTTTGGCGGTGTCGGAGGGGGAGAGGGTGGGGAAGTGGAGCATGCAGAGCGGGGAGCTGGTCACGGGGCCTGCTTGAATGTTCAGTGATGGGAGGGCAAGATGGACGAGGGGGAGACTTGCCTTTGAGAGGCCGCCAGATGTTGATGATCATACTCCGCTTGAACGTTGTAGGATCTTGCTTCGTAGCCATCCTTACAACATTCGGCGCCCATATCTACACCCCTCATCAGCACAGAACACAGCCAATACGGGGGAAAAAACATACTTCATCTTGATCCACGTGAGCATGACTCGCAGGGGGCTGTATGATACTAGTCGGTAAAAAACCTTCTTCGGGCCCTTTTTGTCGGTCAACGATGGTGGATTGTTTTTGGTCAGATTTGCGGACGGTGGAATTCCATTGGTAGACTTTGGTACAGTTCAGATAGCTTCGCATCAACCTGATCACATGTCAGTCTCTGGAGAAAAAAGTTGAGTAGAAGATGGCCGTACTCGCAAGTCTCCTCCCGATACCTCTCAGCGCCCTCCAGACTCCCAATCTCCCGCACAAACCGACTCTCATGCCGCGCAACAGCCCACCCTCTCTCGTGCACTTGATCATAAACTCCCCTGGGACCCTCGTCCATCTCATGGCGGATATCGTGTAGCTGGATGTCGAGCGTCTCTTGGGGGCGAGGGTTCTCGGGCAGGCCGGGGGTGTAGATGAGGAAGGAGGAGGGGTCGAGGTCCGGGGGGAGGCGGGCGTTGGGGATGCCGAAGCGGGCTGTAGCTTTTCTTGTGGGGGGTTCGATGTAGGGCATGGTGGAGGATGTACTGTGGACAGTCGACGAGTGGAGTTAAGGAGTGCGAGATAGTTGAAAGATGAGATGGGAAAGGATGGACGCAGGATGGACGTGGACCGATAAGGTGTTCGGTTTTGTCCGAGAAAATACTTCCGATGGGTTCGGGCAACCGATCAGCAATGCCAAAATGGGCTTTCGTTACTCTGTCCCAAGAAAGATCGCTAGCCTGCTCTCATATCTACTTATACACGATATTCATGGAGATGGATGGATACAGCCAAGAGTACATCGGAAATGTCATAATCTTCTTTTTTGGAGGGATGGCTGTAACCACGACACCCGTCTCAGAATTGGTCCCTGTCTTATCTCGATCGTCACAGACGCGACTGATTTCTCGAGTGGTATGTGAATGATCAGAGGGATCACAAATGAGATTGCAGCGAGAAGATGATGATGGTCTCAAAACGAATCTTCGGGGTGCCCTGATCTATGTGCGTTCGTGTCTTCAAGTCGTCTTCCACTCTCTGACGACGTCGAAAACTCGGCGACGATAGGCGACTATATCATAAGTGCTATCTTTTAGAAACTCACTCGGCGAGGAGCCCCTGCGAGAGCAAGACGATGGATGATACTTTGGCGAAACATGATGATGGTGCGGTGCATATAAGGGCAAAGTGTTTGAGAGTGAATTCATGAACGCATATAAGCATCCATCCCAATGGCGTCACCACATCCTCTCACACCTCCGGCTTCCCCATCGGCGCCTCCCCAACGCTGAGCCACCCCAGCGCAGTACATGGCCACATTTTATTGTCCCCATCCATTCATCAAACTCGAGTCCCTTGTACGTTTTCTGACAATCTTGGGGGAAGAAGACGGTAGCGTCAGGAGCAAAAGCCGACGGTCATGAACGCAAAGCAGCGTGATCGGGCGACGGACGCGGAAGATCTCTTGAAAGCCAACACCGTCTGAAACTGCCCTCTCTCATCAGCCATCCGCTAGCAATCGACAACATGAATGAGAGCCCACTGTCAAAAAAGCCAACCCCACTACGATCCACGCTTGCATCCCAAAATTGCCATCCTCGTATCATACTCGTACAACATGTCATCCTCCAATTTCTCCGGTGCGCCCACATACACATACATTCTCCCTCAAAATGCCTATTCGACACTCCAGCTTCCCCTATTCCCAGCTTCTCCACCATCTCGTTCGCATCTCCTCCAAGGCGCCGCAGAGAGAAATATCCTATTCCTTCCCTCCCCTGACGATCAACTATGCTCTCGAGTCCAGCGCCAGTAACGTATTGATGTCGTTCCAGAGGCAGGCGGGGAGAGCGCAGCGGGGAGAAATGAGAGGAGAGACCGGAGAGATAGCAAGAAGGGCGGTGGGATGAGAAGGCGACGGATGGAGAGTCGACGGCGGAAGGGGAAAAAGGTATGGGTGCGGGGTGTTTGTGATAGATGGCGCCGGCGCTTTTGGTGGATGGGATGTCGTACTTGTACATCCTCTTCTCCTCCTCCTTCTCCGGCGTGCCAATATACACAATACGGATGACCAGTACCCCATCTTGACGCATATCTGGCTTCCCCATCCCGCTCCCCCTGTTTGTCCAAGGTGCCGCAGCGGCTGATATCCTCATCTCTTCTATTCCCTGACAGTCACCTACTTGTACGCTCTCCATCCCCTGTACACTCTGTCCCCCCAGTAAGCCAGTAATAGTATCGACGTAGTCGCAGAAGCAGGCGGTGAAGGCGCAGCTTAAAGAGATGAGAGGGACGGGAGAGATGGAAAGAAGGGCGGTGGGTTGGGAGAGATGGCGGTGCGCGGGGAAGATGATATGGGTGAGGGGTGTTTGTAGGAGATAGCGCCGGCGCTGTCGTTGACGGGAAACAAGGGAAGAAGGAGGTAGCCTGCGAAGTTGGAAAGAGTTGCATCTGACGTACTGGTACTGATCAGCTCCGGATGATGTGAGATGGGACAGCGCACTCACAGACAAGAATGATCCACCACTGAGCAATTTCGTCCTAGTCCCACGGCTGGATCTTCTTCCCGCCGCCGGTGTCCATCAACTGCTCCTTCCCTGCACACCTCTGTGAGAGACCTTCCGGCAGAACTCGCACTCCTCGTAGCCTCGGATATGAATCCTATTCGCCATCCCAACACACTCTGGCGCTTCTTCCACCAACATCATGCGTAAATGCCGTCTGATCACGCTCTGAGCTCTGTCGAGAATAGCTTCTTTGTCATCTGGGGAGAGGTAGTGGATAGTGCCGTCAGGGGAGATGGTGGTGTTGAAGTTGGTAAAGATCAATTTGATCCAGTGTCTTTCGGGACGGCTGCAGCCCACGTTAGGCTCGCCTTCGTCTATGAGAACGGTCTGTATGGACTCACCCTGCTTCTAAATCCCTCCATTCCATAAGGCACCCGAAACAATATTCGGTTATTTCACCCACTTGAGATGAGAAAACATCACTATTCTCCTCATCATCCTCGAGCTCTACCGGTAACATGTCGATAAAGATCGTATCTCGACTGAGGATACAGTCGGGGGGCGGCGCGCCTCGACCGAACTGCCAGTTCTGAAACCGAGTTACATCCCCATGGTTCTCACTGGTCTGGCGCCCAAAGTCCGGGCAACTTGAGTAGAAAAACATGGCGTAATCTTCGAATTCGATGGGACAGGGAAAGGGGTGACGAAAACAGGCAGTAGACAGGTTCTCAAGAGGCCAAGGCATCCGTATGTTGTTCGGACCAAGGAAGCCTTGCTCACAGTACGCTTCCATACAGTCGGGCTCGAGAGCGATGTGCGTGACGCCGTTGAAAAGACCGGTGGGACTCCTCTCTTCCCATTCGTGCGCTAGAGCAGCAGTGGCATACATAGCCGACAAAGACGTGATGATCAGGGATTCGCAGTTGCGGAGCAGCTCGTGCTTGCTGGGCAGTGACCCTCCTTCCCCTACAGCGACCAATTTGGAGCTGCGGGTCTTGCTGTGGGTCTTGCGCGAGTTGCCAGCCCGGGCTGGAGCATCCCGGTACAAGCCCCGCTCGATGGCTTCATCCGTCACCACAATCCGCTTATATAGGCGGGGCGCGAAAGCTGCATAGCAGGACTTGGACAGTTGAGAGAGGGTGATGGTATGGGCGGGAGAGTGATCCGAGATCAGAAAGTCGTAGATGAGAGTCTGCAGTTCGGCGGGGAGAGGGGAGAGGGATGTGATGTCGGGGGCAGAGATGGGCGGTGAGGTATGGGCGTTGGGGCGGTCATCGAGTGGGGGGTGGGTATGGGTCATGGCGGGCGAAAAAGGGTGGGATAGGATGAAGATTGAAGATTGTTCGATTGTGCTCACAATGATTTTGTTACAACCTCGATTAGGAAATTGGAAGTGCCGATTTCTATTCGCCATTACAACTCTATCATACTCGCACAGTCGGTATGTACGATACTCGGCTCGTACCGTATGAGTCTGGTATTACTATACTGTACTCGAGTTGTACATACAAGTCACAACTGAGCATCTTGGATTATACGCGAAGAATACTATAGGAATGCATCAATATATAGAAAAACAACCAAATACGCAGACTACTACAACTCGTACCACCCATGGGAGAAACGCCAAATCACCTATAATATGAGCCCAAACTACACCTCCAAAACCGCCATAGTCGTCCCATACACCTTCTTCTCATCCTCCTCCGGCGTACGCGTATACACATCCCCCCCGCTCATACCTATAATCGGTACCCCATCCTCTCCCATCTCCGGCTTCCCGACCTCTCCCGGTGCATCTCTCCAAGGTGCTCCAGCGACGTACATTTCTACTTCTTCCTCTGTCCATTCCCTAAACTTCAGTCCCCTAAATCTCTTAAAGTTTTCTTGAGGGAACAAGACTGCCGCGAGGAGGTAGTATGTCAGGCCAGATGCACAGCCGGTGGTGATGAACGCAAAGTAGAAAGACCGAACGACAGATGTGGAGAAACCTTCAACGCCCATATTGTTCAAAACTACGCTCTCATTAGCTCTTCCATAACCCACAAGACAGGGGAGATCAACGTACACCCAGCAAAGTTCACCCCCGCCCCAACGACATACGCCGTAATAGCCCTCCAATTGATACCCCACTTGTACCAATACATCCCCTCCTTGTTCGCCGTGTACATCCAGCCCAAGTCGAGGCGGCCTTTAGAGATAATATAGTAGTCGACGAGGCAGACGCTGATGATGGCGAAGAGGAAGATTTGGTAGGAAGAGATGAAGGAGATGAAGATGGAGGCGGAGCCGAGGAGGTACCATGGGCAGATACTGCTCTTTCATCAGCTTTTGCTTCTAATCGAGTTGGCAAGGGAAGCACTTACACGACAGTGACGATCATACAGACTGCAAAAGCCCTCTTCATAGACAGATATTTCGGCGCCAACGAACTGATATCGTTCCCCGCCGGCAACACATTCTCAAACACACAGGAAAACAATGCCGAATACGCAAAGCCGGCAGAGATGATGGCAGCGCCCGCACGGGTCTTGGCGTCGTAGTTGGTAGTAAGGATATGGTCGAGGTATGTGAGGGGGTTCCAGATGAGGGTACCGGTAGCGCGTTCGGAAGAGGCGGCTACGATCATGCCAAAGAGAGTCGTGATGAACTACTTGCCAAGATCAGTCTGAGGGTGCAGTTGGAAGAGAAGACACGTACGTTAGACAAGGGGAATCCGAATATTTGACCGAAGATGGGGTCTCGGCGATGCGTAGCGTTCCTCTGCCAATCGCTTGCGTTACTAGCAAAAGTCGAGCATCCCGCCGCCGAGAGCAAGGTGAAACGAACGATCAACCATGCCCTCTCGCTCCCATGCACCGTCGCCTTGGCGGTGAGCGTATCGCCCACTCCACCGCTGTGCGTCAACGCAAGAGCGAGCATGCCAGCCGAACTGAGGACGTAGGCGACAAGCTTGACATGGATCAAGATTCTCCACTTTGGCACCGACAAAAACAAGGCCATGGCCGTGAATGCCCAGAACAAGAAGAAGCCGATCATGTTTGCCGAGGACAGTGCTGAAGAGGATGGCATCTTGTCGGGAAGACGAGCGATGGAGGGGAAGATGGAGTGAAGGAAGATGTAGATGCACTGCCCGCCGGTGACAGTGTTGACGCCGTTCCAGACACAGGCGGAGAGAGCGCGGTTGAAGACGGGCCAGAAGGATCCGTAGACTCCGAAAGAAGACCGACAGTAGACTGGGAAACCGATCTATGGAGAGTCAGTGACGCCCGGCATGATACAAGTACAAGGTGGGTACGAGACGTACGTGGTAGACGGAGCCGGCACGACCGTTAATGACCATGAAGAAGGAGATCAGGAGGTAGCCGAAGAAGTTGCAGAGGATACCATCCCAGACCGAGATACCGTACTGAAACCAATCAGCTTTAAATGTTACGAGATTCATAGCTACTCACAGACAAGAACGATCCACCACCGAGCCAGTTTGCCACAGTCCCCACGGCGGAGAGAAACGCCAAATCACCTATAATATGAGCCCAAACTACACCTCCAAAACCGCCATAGTCGTCCCATACACCTTCTTCTCATCCTCCTCCGGCGTACGCGTATACACATCCCCCCCGCTCATACCTATAATCGGTACCCCATCCTCTCCCATCTCCGGCTTCCCGACCTCTCCCGGTGCATCTCTCCAAGGTGCTCCAGCGACGTACATTTCTACTTCTTCCTCTGTCCATTCCCTAAACTTCAGTCCCCTAAATCTCTTAAAGTTTTCTTGAGGGAACAAGACTGCCGCGAGGAGGTAGTATGTCAGGCCAGATGCACAGCCGGTGGTGATGAACGCAAAGTAGAAAGACCGAACGACAGATGTGGAGAAACCTTCAACGCCCATATTGTTCAAAACTACGCTCTCATTAGCTCTTCCATAACCCACAAGACAGGGGAGATCAACGTACACCCAGCAAAGTTCACCCCCGCCCCAACGACATACGCCGTAATAGCCCTCCAATTGATACCCCACTTGTACCAATACATCCCCTCCTTGTTCGCCGTGTACATCCAGCCCAAGTCGAGGCGGCCTTTAGAGATAATATAGTAGTCGACGAGGCAGACGCTGATGATGGCGAAGAGGAAGATTTGGTAGGAAGAGATGAAGGAGATGAAGATGGAGGCGGAGCCGAGGAGGTACCATGGGCAGATACTGCTCTTTCATCAGCTTTTGCTTCTAATCGAGTTGGCAAGGGAAGCACTTACACGACAGTGACGATCATACAGACTGCAAAAGCCCTCTTCATAGACAGATATTTCGGCGCCAACGAACTGATATCGTTCCCCGCCGGCAACACATTCTCAAACACACAGGAAAACAATGCCGAATACGCAAAGCCGGCAGAGATGATGGCAGCGCCCGCACGGGTCTTGGCGTCGTAGTTGGTAGTAAGGATATGGTCGAGGTATGTGAGGGGGTTCCAGATGAGGGTACCGGTAGCGCGTTCGGAAGAGGCGGCTACGATCATGCCAAAGAGAGTCGTGATGAACTACTTGCCAAGATCAGTCTGAGGGTGCAGTTGGAAGAGAAGACACGTACGTTAGACAAGGGGAATCCGAATATTTGACCGAAGATGGGGTCTCGGCGATGCGTAGCGTTCCTCTGCCAATCGCTTGCGTTACTAGCAAAAGTCGAGCATCCCGCCGCCGAGAGCAAGGTGAAACGAACGATCAACCATGCCCTCTCGCTCCCATGCACCGTCGCCTTGGCGGTGAGCGTATCGCCCACTCCACCGCTGTGCGTCAACGCAAGAGCGAGCATGCCAGCCGAACTGAGGACGTAGGCGACAAGCTTGACATGGATCAAGATTCTCCACTTTGGCACCGACAAAAACAAGGCCATGGCCGTGAATGCCCAGAACAAGAAGAAGCCGATCATGTTTGCCGAGGACAGTGCTGAAGAGGATGGCATCTTGTCGGGAAGACGAGCGATGGAGGGGAAGATGGAGTGAAGGAAGATGTAGATGCACTGCCCGCCGGTGACAGTGTTGACGCCGTTCCAGACACAGGCGGAGAGAGCGCGGTTGAAGACGGGCCAGAAGGATCCGTAGACTCCGAAAGAAGACCGACAGTAGACTGGGAAACCGATCTATGGAGAGTCAGTGACGCCCGGCATGATACAAGTACAAGGTGGGTACGAGACGTACGTGGTAGACGGAGCCGGCACGACCGTTAATGACCATGAAGAAGGAGATCAGGAGGTAGCCGAAGAAGTTGCAGAGGATACCATCCCAGACCGAGATACCGTACTGAAACCAATCAGCTTTAAATGTTACGAGATTCATAGCTACTCACAGACAAGAACGATCCACCACCGAGCCAGTTTGCCACAGTCCCCACGGCGGAGAACCAGAAGACGCTGAATGTCATAAAGTCCCATGTTCTACGGCACGTCAGCAGATCGTCCGCTTTTCAGACGCAAGACGACTCACCGCCTCTCGATAGGAATAGGAAGCAGGTCATCGTTCTCAAGAGAGGCATCTCGCCCTTTCGACCCCTCCACCACCAGCTTTGGCATACGGAATCGAAGTCCCATTTTGGTGGTGAAAAAGAGCTAGAAGGGATAGGAAATTATGAGAGCAGCACCCTATGGTTATATACGTGATCCAGCCAATGGCGATAGGGATGGCTTGCTCAGAGTCTTATCGGAAGAGGCACGGCGGGTAGTTCTCGGCGAGGGCTGTCACACGAACACGTCCGGCGTCCATCCGGTGGCCGATGGAGTTGGCGTGATATGTATGGCTGGCGATAGTTAATAGGCTCCTCTCTGGAGTCTGGACCCTGGAGGTCTTGATGCCCATCAGAGGAATGCGAGAGATTCTCGAAGGCGGTTAGGGCGGCGGGATGGGTATGGAGACGGAGAAGCGAGCTGCAATGGATGAGTCTTGGCCCACGCAAAAGGCCGACGAACCTGAGCATTTTACACGGACATTTGGATTCGACCCTGGGTAGCACATGGGCAAATGTCTTGCGTTGGTTCTCGGGAGCTGATAAGAGATGGAAGCAACAAAAAGGCAACCCAGGTACGACGCTTTCCCTGAGACCATCGGTGAAGTCCGGCAGCAGAGATAACAGCATTTCATTCTCGGCGTCTTTTTTGGTTGTCTTTACAGGGTCGCCATGATTCCCAGGGGTCTCAGGGAATCCCTCTCTACTCGAGTACGGACTGTGGCTTTTTCGGTCTTGGCTTGGGCTTGTTTGATACGATAAAGTCGGAGCTGCTGTACGAACAGGGACACCTAGCCAGCTATCATTTTTGTCGTACGTCTGGCGGTTCATGGTCGATGAGAATTGACTGATGCAGATTTCCCAGGTATTTACCCTGTCTGCGTTGGAGAAATTCTATCAGCAGCCTTCATCCACTACACATCCCACTCCTCATCGCAATCTACAAAGCTCGGCAGCAGACGTTGTAGTAAGTCTTGTTTCTCTGGGCATGGCAGGGCAATTGGCCACCGTTGGCATCGTTGGCTTGAGACAAGAGGAAGAAAGAACATGGACTTAGTTTTAAGTCTCATCAAATTCGGTCGCCCTCCGGGGTGGTCATGGTCGCAGCCACTACAGAAAATAGGTCACTGACCGTCTCATAGTTTCTGGCCGACTATATAACCGCCGGTCGCTTGCCACAGCTCCTATTCTGCCAACCTCAATAGCCCATCCACCTCTACAGTATGCCGGTCGCAACCGCTTCCCAGCTATACGCCACACTAGGCTTCACTCTCCCGCCGGCTCGTATGAACCACGACGAGTCCATCTATCTCACTTGGGAAGAGGGACGAACCAAGCCGCTCGAACGGTTGCGCATCCCCGTCAGTAATCTCCGAGGGGAGTTGGACATGCCAGAGCAGGAGAGAGTGGATCCAAAGGAGCAGCTTGGAAAGAGAGGGTTTGCTGTCCTGAAACATGAGAGTGCTAGCTTGGGAGGTCTTGGGACGGAGGAAGGGACTGCAAAGTATCTTGACGAGACCGCCGAGTAAGCCAGTCTCCTATCTACGGTTTTATCGGTAGCTAATGTCGTCTATAGCCTTCTCAAACGTATCCTCGACTGTGATAGAGTCATAGCATGGAACAGCGTCGTCCGAAAGAACACCACCGACACCAAAGAGAAGATCATCAACAAACAGCAAGCGCCCGAGAAAGGCTTCGTCCCGACGTCGAGGGTACAGCCGACAGCTGGCTTGGCGCACGTTGACCAGAATGCAGTGAGTTCTTTTCATACCCTCTCCTTGAAGATATGTATACTGATGGCGTGTTCAGGAGTGGGGTTTCGAATTGTGCGGGAAAGCCATCGGCAAACCTGCTGGTGAATTCAAGCGCGTACAGATCATCAACCTCTGGCGTCCTCTCCACGGCAAGTACCATATCTGCCAGCCGGTCCCCCTCCAGAGCTAATCCCATCTACAGGCCCCGTGACAAACGCCCCTCTCTTCATGCTTGACCCCACCACCCTCTCCCCGCAAGATCTTGGCACCCACGCCTCCCAATTCGGCTCGGGCTACGACATCCACCACTCTCCCTCCCAGCGCTGGGCCTACATCCGACATCAGATGCCGGATGAAGCGATCTTGTTGAAGTGTTATGATACGGATCAAGGTAAAGGCGGTGAGGTGCTTTGGTGTGCCCATGGGGCGGGGGAGGTTGATGGGGATGGGCTCGCTGATGAAGGGGAAGAGGAGAGGCCAAGGGAGAGTGTTGAGGTTAGGCTGGTGGCTGTTTGGGAGTAACCTTTGGGGTTTGTGGAAGACGACGGGCAGGAATATGATTTGGTGACCGGTATGTTGTAAACTTACATGTAGATCTTGAGCTTTAATTGTGTACTCTTCGCGATGTGGTTTGTCAGAATCGGCAATTCGATAGAAGTATTCGTCAAAGCTGGTAGTATCATCAACGGCCAGAGGCAGTATTGCTGCAGTTCTGTATTCTATTATAGTACACCCATGCCAAATGCATGATACGAAAGTGAGAGGCGTAGCATAGGGCACCTGACCGGAGAACGCACAGTGCTCGGGACACCGCGTCTTCAATGATTGTTGCTGATGTTTATTGATCGGCGCTGATGTGTAACGATCGGCGACGATGATCAATGAGAGGTGATGATTATCCAGTGATGAACGATGGTATTCCAGGGATCATCTCTGGTATTTCCATGAGCGGTACCCAAACCTCCATGGATGGTTACCTTCATCTGACTGGACAGCTGATGTGTTGATTGTACAGCGGCCTGATACGGGGTGACAGAATGGCCTTCATTGTGGCCAGGCCTTACCAAAAAACCGTCGTTGTCGTAGACTGAATGTCCTTCGTGCCAACAGGCATTGATGGGTTCGTATTATAGTCTTCGAGCGTATGGCGCCTATGTAGACCCATGATGACTAGGAGAGAGACAGCAAATGACCAATGTGTATGGAGAAGCCACCAAAGCCCAGAAGTAGGAAGTGTGCAATGATGAGATGCATCTAGTTAAAGACTTGAATGAACGTGTACATAATGCGTTAGAAGTCCGTGTATGCTACGTGGTATATCTATCGTCAAATATATCAACTTCGCCAAGATCCGAACGTGTATCATGATCGTCATTGAGGCATCAAGCAAGCTTCTCCGAATTCGTTTGAGTGTCCGTGGATAGCGTATCGTAGAGTCGTATATAGGGCAAGAATGCAAAGGAAACGTCCGTCGTTTACTGAGCATTGAGGGGAGCAAAGCCGATAGCTGTAGGGTCGTTCCGGAAAGAGGTATACACATTCTTGAGGAAGGAAGCGCCGACGATCCACTGGATTGGAGAGGAAGAAGACCTAGGACTCAACATCAGCTCCATCCTCCCGGATGGACAGAAGTAAAAACTCACATCTGTTGTTCAAAGAAAGCTCCCGTACACATGCTACTGTCGCTCGTATACGATCCAAGGTTCATGTCTTGATTGCTCATCTCGTACTTTTCCCCGCCGAACTGAAAGACGACCGGGACCGTAGCGTTGCAAGGGTACTGCCAATATCCTGTTCCGGCGATACTGGCGTCGAGAGGCTGAGATCCAGGAATTTGAGCAAAGATGGCTTGGACGGCGGAGGGAGGAGCGCCGATGAGTGTGGTACCGGTGTCGATAGCAGCTTGTGGTTGAGACTGCGGGTGATTAGCCAAATGTTGGTGTTTTGGGGAATAGTGACTCACGATGTTGACAAAGTTGCCGTTGACGGTCAAGTGTTCCACAGGGATGCGCCAGTAGTCTCGGGCTGAAGAGTCGATGGAGACGTAGTTAAGTTCACCTACAAACTTGGTACGATCGACGCCACTTCTCTATGATTAGTCTCGGCGCAGACGTAAGAAGTACGACTCACCCAAAGGTAATGTATCCACCGTCAGTCTCGACTCTAGAAGCGCTATTGTTCCCTCTAAATCTCGCCATGGAGACGCCAAGCTCGGGAGAATCCCATCTGCCGGAGGTCGCAAGGGTTTCCCACCAAGTCGCTTTCTTGGAGGTGGAGACGTTCTGGAAGGCAAGACCCATGATGCCGGAGACGGGGGCGCTGATGAGTCCGTTGCTCGCTTGGTTCGCGATAGCTATACCGTCCTCAGCTTGATCGGTGACTGCGCTCGTCGTGACTTACAAAATGAGATGTTGGGTAGGGAGAAACCAGCGAGCTCTACAACGTCGGTGCCGAGGTTGCCGGAAACACTACCTGAGCCGTAGGCGATAGCGAAGGCGCCGTCGGTCTGTTGGTATGTAGACGAAGCGGTAGGGTCGAACCTCTCTCCGTTACCACACGACCCACAAGCCGCGCCTGCCGCCCAACTGATGATCGTTTATCAGCGCCAATATCGTCGGTGAGAGTCTCACTCACAGATCAGCCGAGCCAGTGTCGAGCACGAGGAGCAGCTCTTGGGGAGGTGTGCCGATGTTGACAGCTCCTAGATACCAGCCATCGTAGTCAACATTCGTGAGTCTGAGACAAGTCAGCTGTCTATACAGACCGCTATCGATGAAAGAGCTTACTGAGCAGTGCCAACATCCCTCTTCTTATTTATGCCGATGTATTTCTTCCATTCTTCGTCGAGCTCGGGAGCATACTTGTGCTGTAGAACAGCCGCTTGGTCCAAGAGCCATGCCTGTTTCTCGGACAGAGAGGGTGAGAACTCGCGAGAGGGCAAGCGCTGGAGTGGCAGTGTGCGTGGCGGCGTATTGGGGCCGGTATGGGGACCAGTGGCTGGACCGTTGTGCGGCACCTTCTTGCCAGAGGGGTGGGCGTCGACGAAGAGGAGGAGAGGAAAGAAAGCGGGGAAGGAGAAGAGCATGGTCACAGAACAAGAGAGATGGAGGGTGTGAAAAAGAGATGTAAAGTCCATTTTTGTCATTTATACTGCTGGCGAGTGAGCTGGCGAGTGTGGTAGGCCCCGCCAGGAACCCATGTGATCGAGTGTCCATGTTGCTCTGAGGCGTGTCCGTGCATGGCTGGTGTACGGACTCAATTGAGGACCGACGGATGTACTGTACTCTAGAACGGTCTTCTACGATGTGGCTTTGCACAAAGTGGCCTGCTGAACCACCACCAAACCGAGGCACCACCCGTCCGGAATGCAACTGGTCATGAAGAACGCGTCGGTGTAAGGGATTGGTACAGACTGCTGGTTAGTAGTAGTACAGTTTAGGAGGAGATGTAGTGACGTGGACATTGGAACGCAGAGTCTAGTAGTATCAGGGTTGCCGCTACGGCCGGGTGTATATACATCGTGCCGCGTTTCCGTAACCTTTTCCCATCGATGTATTCTCGTATAAACCACCTCACCTATATCCAGACTTCACCCATCCAGCCTACCCAAGGTCGACATTTGGCACCCCTAGCCCGATCAAGGTCACACCGCCTATCCGCCCTCTTCCATCCCATCGTTTGTTCTCTCTCCAACCTTCTACGATTAGCATACAATGGGGACTGAGGGCCTCATCGGCTACATCCTCCGAAACAAGCAGCGGAAGGCCATGTATAACCAATGGGACTCTTATCCCCGGGGTCAAGGTTACGCAATAGCCTTATTCATCTCTCGCCTATCTCACGAGCAAGCCAAAGAGATGGCGGACCTGGTTGAGAATATTGAAGCAAGCAATTTCAAAAACAAATGTCAGATTCATTTCTCACAAAACTTGTAGTGGATTGAGGATATGACCGTGGACATCCCCAAAGATATACAGAAACGATATCTAGCCTTTGACGGCATTTGGAAACACAAGCATCCTTACGGTGGACCGGAGCACTGGCATGATGAATGGGCTTGGAACCCAAAGCTGTCAGAGAAGGAAAAGAGCCAAATAATTGAAGAAGAAATAGAGGAGGCGAGAAAAATGTTGGAAGGCCTCCCCTCAAAAGAAGGATACGAGGTTTTGAGAGACAACATGCGAGACGACTACTATGTCGAGAACATTGATAATTGGTTTGGCGTCTTGGCCGGAGCAGATCTTGGACACAGAGCGCTACGGTTCATCCAAGAGGGAAAACTCAAACATCTGATCGATATGAGTGAGCTGATCGCGATACCTGACAACCTTCGTGTGCTGACTGGGGATATAGCTGGCTACACGGAGATGGAGTGCGATTGGTCATACTATATCGACTTTGACCACGAAAAGATGGAAGTTTGGTTGGGTAGTTCGCGCCTGGTGAGAGAGGTGACTTTTGACACGTTGCGAGAGGATCCAGAATATATGTGCAAAGCCGACTTTTCATTGTGGCATGGTGAGAAGACGAAGGAGAAAAGGAGAAGGAAGACAAACAAGCCTCGATCCCACTATTAGCCTTATCGACAAGTAGCATCTCTCCTCTCTTCGATGTATCAACTTGATTTTGTTCATACTTGACGGTAATGCGTGCTTCCGAACGCTGCCGGGGGCGAGCTGAAACGCGGCAACAAGCCGAGTATATCCATCTCACTCGCCAAATCATCTTTCCCAATTCTGATCCCTCTTGAAAACATATAGGATGGGCACACCCGGTCTCTTGGGCTACATTTTCCGCAATAAAGAGCGCAAGGCAATGTACCAACGCTTAACTTTTATCCTGGTTCTCACGGCTACGGAATAGCCTTGTTCATCTTTCGCTTTTCTTGCGAGCAGTGCGCCGAGATGGCTAATCTTGGGGAGGGTATTGAGGTGAGTAGCAGCCGACTCAGTCTTCATATCTTTATCTCACCTTACCGCAGTGGATCCAGGATGAAATTGCGGACATTCCGAGGATCTAAAGAAACGCTACATGGCCTTCGACGGTATTTGGAAACATTACTTTCCTTATGGTGGTCCGGAGCACTGGTTTGAGGAATTCGGACTGGACCCGGATCTTTCAGAGAAGGAAAGGAAAGACATGATTGACCAGTATACGAGGCAAGCTGAAAGGGCTTTGGAAGGCAGCGTCCCAATCGAGGGTTTCCAGGTTCCAAATCCCTACCCCTTCATGGGACGTCGGGAGACTTTGCATACTTGGTATCACATCTTGGTTGGAGCGGAGCTGGGATCAAGGGCTTTGCGCTTCGTCCGACAGGGGAAACTCAATCATCTGATCGATTGTAGTGAGTGCAAGGTGAGATCTAGTCAACCTGCCGGTGCTAATTATTGGCGATGTAGCTGACAATTTGGTTGAATGCGACTGGTCATACTATATCGACTTTGACCATGAGAAAATGGAGGTCTGGCAGTTTGGTAGTTTTGAGGAAGAGGTTGCCTTTGACCAATTGCGAAAGGATCCGGAATACATGTGCGAGGCATTTATGTAGACTTCATGAATTTTGATCAGATCATTCGCAGATCCAAGACAACCTATAATCATATGCATCTCTCAGAGCGCAGCTTCTCATATGGGACAGCCATCTCAAGACTACAATACAAACACACATCTACCAGTTCATCCTGGATCTCTTTCTCCTCGCGCAAGTCTTATGCGCTGCCAACCCGGTCTCGGAAGACGCACCGGTGCCAGTGGCGGTAGAACCAGAATCTGAAGAAGAAGACGAAAGAGAGACGGAAGAACTCTCGATGACAGCAGCTACATTAGTAGCAATCACCTTTGAGGCCGTTTGAGTCGATGAGGCAACTGCGCTGTTGTCGGAAGAGGACAATGGGGCTGCGGTTGTAAAGGCGTCGGAAGAATGGGAGGAGGAAGAAGGGGCGGTATTCGAGATAGAGCCAGTGCCGCTCGCAGCAGCAGCACTTGAGCTGACAACGACAGAGGAAGAGGAGCTAACAGTGCCAGAAACCTCCGCAGATGTAGCCACCTCAGACCCATCGGCGAGAGACACAAGCTTGCCAGTCTCGACATAGCTCGCGTCAGGGGACTTGGGACCGCTGCGTCCCCAGACGGGGTTGTTGCCGGGCAAAGCCGAGAGGATAGTACCGTTCACGCCAACGTCCTACAAGATCCACTTAGCACATACTCATGAAGAGCGCTGATGGAAAGGCTAACCTCGTCGACAATAGCAGCGTCATCATCCGGCACCACAGTCCCAGCGCCATCTTTCAAGAAGTATTGGGCAAGGGGAGGACAGTTTTCAAGTGACAATTCAACGTTGCAGGTAGAGTTGTATGAGAAGATCTCTTCAAAGTAGCCTTCTGGCCAGCCGTTGGTGAAGTCGCCTGCTAGATGGTCAGCCAGAGCTTCAGGTGGAAGAAGCGAATGCGGAAGATAAGCAGAAGGGAGAGGGGAGAGGGGACTTGCCGCGAAGAGAGTACCCGAGATCATCGCCCGTAGCCCACACCCTCGCGCCAGGGGTGTACTCGAAATCATCCTATCGCCTAGCATCAACAAAACATCCTCATATACCAACAGAAGCTCATGCTCACCGAGAAGTGGAATTCGTAGAAGACTATAAGTAGTGTCAGCTATTGATCGAGTTTTGCTTGTATGGGAATATAAACTCACGACTCATGATCCTCTTCGGATGTGTAGTAGGACAAGGACCGCCTTGATCGTGGCCACTGGAAGTGGGGTATGCAACGTGCTTGCTGTTTGAGAGTATCAGTCCTTTTCACATCCAAGAATGTTGCTCGAGCCAACATACCTTCCCTCGAGCCAAGTGTTGATGCCGTCCCTACGCAATGTTAACAGTCAACATGACAAAAGCCGAGTATCGATCGTTGACTCACCAGCAGTTTGGGAAGAATACCTGAGCCCTTAAATCGTCGGGACAGCTCTGCTCCGGGAATGCTACAACATGCCCATCAGCCTCGTCGTTCCCGGGCTTGACAGGAGAGAAGGATACCATTGGTCTGAGGAGAGCCGTCAACGCCAAGGCAGACGCAGCTGATAGCATTGTTGGTGTAATCCGACTCGTTGTAGGTGTTTCGGCTAGCGTCGCCGGCTAGCATGCGAAAGTCTTTGAGGAAGGGAGAAACTTCTTCATCATCACCGGATCTGGTGGACATATCAGCTTCCACAGTGGGGACAGGCTATGAATCTGAATGCTCACCGACGCATCTACCATATTGCAAGACGAAAGAGAGACCGCGCTTTTTTTCGACGCGATGGTCAGCCCAGTAATATCGAAGTCGGGTATGCTTACGAGATAGTACCTAACTGAGTATCAGCATACAGTCATGACAAAAACGAAGCAGTAGGGATGCTCACGTATTGACACGGTTCATCTTGACAAGCTCGAAACCATCCCCGGACTTTCGATACATCTGAGGAACCCAATAGTTGGACAAATCGACTTCAACGTTCGCGGTGGTCGATTTGGCAGCTGTGGAGTGTGCGTAAGAGTATGTAGGGCTGAAAGCGGTACCTCCGATGACCGAGTGGACTATGGTGAGCAGTTAGAGAGGTCGAGAAGAGATGGGCTTAACTGTGGAAACGACTGTACTTACCGTGGCCTGCGACGGCGTCGGGACTGACGATAGGGTCGAGACGACTGGTGAATATGGCGTTACCGTGCATCACAACCCAGAAACTACCATACACATCAGCCTCGTATACCTTCCGCAGATATGGTGTTCACTTACGGGTCGGGCCAAGCGGCGGCGCCACCGAGCAAGGCGAGGATACCAAAGAGAGCAAGCATCGTCACGAGTAAGATCTAGCAGAGCAAGTGCTTTAACAGCGAACAGAGACAACGAACAGAGGCAGCGGGTAGGATTAAGTCTACAAGAAGACGTGAGGAGTGTCGAGGCTAAGGGTATATAGACGCTCGCAGGTAAAGAGCGTGGGGTGAAAGAGGGACTGGAGTAAGAATCAAGAAGATGCCACGAGAGTCGCTTCGAGCGAGAGAGGGTGATAAAAGGAAAGAGCGCCGAGGGAAGAGAGCAAAGTGGGCGAGCTCGAGTATATGAGAGGCTGCGTTTCTACCTTTGGGTAAACAACGATAAGCCGGCGAGGCACGGGGTACAGGGGAGATTGAAGCTTGGACCACCACAGCTTCGAACGTCCAAAAGGCGACTGGAGTCTTGAGTACCGTAAGGATGACGAAGAGAGTTCGCTGTACATGTGGGCTTTTGCGATGTACATCCTGATGATCGCTTCCAAGGAGAACAGCGCAACAGGAGAAACAAAGTGAACAAAGGAAGAAAATTCTTGTTGACACCCGGGGCTGGGCTCAGGGGCTATAGTTATCAAACCAAGGTCCCATATCCGCAGGACAGATTTTTGAATGGAACGCCGAAATGCTCAGAGTTCCCAAAGCCCAGATGGGTTTCAAAAAGGGGAGCACACATCCTGATTGTCTGCTTGACCCTGAAATACCGAGAAGACACCGGACACCGGCAACCGTATCACTTGTTTGAAGGTTCATCTGTGCGATTTGCTTGAAAGCCTATGCACAAGTGTGCGTTGTATGTACTCCACTGTTGCTTGATGGATTAACAGCCAGAAAGCTGCTTCAACATGGCGGATCCAAACGCTGCAGGGAGACCGCTGTGCCGTGCAAACACGCGCAGACCCTGTGGCGTTACAAGTGATCGCGCTTGAGCCATCGTCGTCGTACAGGCCCGCCGCCGATGTTCACGTGTATACACTGCAAGTACTGTACTCGTAGAGTATTGTACATTGGTCAATAGCAGAGCCGCTTCTGTATTCAAAAGGCTCCTTGGTCTTGGTATGTATATGTATGGAGGCAATCGAGGAGCTGTACGAGTACTGATGAGTGGCTGAACTGATCGAACAGATTGAGGCGAGTAGTCCTCGTGCAAAGCCATCCCTATCAGGTCCCTCACTCATGCCGCGCGTTCTCTCTTTCGTTTTGCATCATGGTAGATGTGTCGGTGAACATTCAGATTCATAGCCTGTCCCCACTGTGGAAGCTGATATGTCCACCAGATCCGGTGATGATGAAGAAGTTTCTCCCTTCCTCAAAGACTTTCGCATGCTAGCCGGCGACGCTAGCCGAAACACCTACAACCAGTCGGATTACACCAACAATGCTATCAGCTACGTCTGCCTTGGCGTTGATGGCTCTTCATAGCTTTTAGATCCTCTGTCGATCAAATATTGTTGTTATCTCTCCAGTACGAACACAAGCGTCCATGTCCTCCGGCATTGACTTGGCTACATCTCATGGTCCTCAAGTCATTTTTTGACTCACCCCGACTACTACAAGGGCATTGCTAGAGGTCATGGACCCGTGTGACAGTACTATGCGAGTGGCGCCCTGATGACGTTGCGGCATGGGGTAGCCCATCAGCTTGTCAGTCATGTCACTATTGGGCTGCTACAGAAAGGTCTACCATACAGCAGCCATCTCGTCCTCGGGCGCCTATCAGCCTCCACACCAGCCCCGCCTCCTTGTCCTCTTTCGACAGCAGCGCAGGCGCCGTCTTCAAACACGCGGCCCGCTGCATCATCACCGATTAGCACGTCAGGTGATGGTACGAACGTTGCTCTCACCACCGTAATCAAACGAATGCTTGAGCCTCCCTTGATGGATGAAGCGCAGCGCCCTTGGCCCAAGCTGTGCTTTCCCCAAGACATCCTCCCAGGTGTCCAGCTCGTAGTACCCGCGAAACGGATCCAGCGCCCGGCCCTCTTTGTTCGACAACTCTTTGACCAATTTCCTCTTCTTATCGGTTATGTCCATCGTTTCTTGTTTTGACAATTCTTCAAGCTGATGCTCTTCGAATCCGTGCTTAGGACCTCATGGAGAATGCTATACTTTCAAATGCCGTCCATTGTCAGGTACTATGCACAAGAAGAATACTTGCCATGTTGTGTGAACGTCTTAGCGCTCTTTGAAATCCTCGGGAATGAGCTCTCCATCGTCCTCGATCCACCGCGATTGTCATGAGGGATGGACGATACTGGATTGGGGAAGAACCACTTGCCTCCATTTTCTCAGTAGTTTCTGCCATTTCTCTCCTTTGCTCCGGAGAAAGGTCAGCGATGAATCGCGCAGCTTCGTGGCCTAAGTGCTTGGGATAGGAGTCGTTCAGGTTGTACATTGCCTTGCGCTCTTTGTTGCGGAGAATGTCACCACGACCCCGGATGTGCCCATCCTGTATGTTTTCAAGAGGGATTAGAAGTGGGAAAGATGATGATTTCGCGAGTGAGATGGATATACTCGGCTTGTTGCCGCGTTTCAGGTCGCCCCCGACCGCGTTCGGAAGCACGCAGTACCGTCAAGTATGAACAAATCACAGTTGATACATCAAAGAGAGGGGAGATGCTACTTGTCAATGAGGCTAATAGTGGGATCGAGGCTTGCTCGTCTTCGTCCTCCTTTTGTTCCTCTTCTTCTCACCATGTGGCCTTGAAAAGTCGGCTTTGCACATATATTCTGGGTCCTCTCGCAACGTGTCAAAAGTCACCTCTCTCACCAGGCCTCTAGGGCCCCAAACTTCCATCTTTTCGTGGCCAAAGTCGATATAGTACTCCCATTCGCTTTGTAGCTCCGTGTCGCCCACTATATCCCCAGTCAGCACAGGAAGGTTGTCGGGTATCGCAATCAGCTGACTAAAATCGATTAGATGTTTGAGCTTTCCCTCTTGGATGAAACGTAGCGCTCTGTATCCAAGCTGTGCTTCGACCAAGAGGCCATACCACAGATTAACATCCTCGTAGATGTAGCTCTTTCTTCGCATGTTGTCTCTCACAACCTCGTATCCTTCTTTCGAGGGGAGGCCTTCCAACATTTTTTTCGCCTCCTCTATTTGTTCTTCAATGTGTTCGCTGTTCTCCTTCCCTGACAGGTCCCATTCATGACACCAGTGCTCCGGACCACCGTAAGGATGCTGGTGTCTCCAAATGCCGTCAAAGGCTAGATATCGTTTCTGTATATCTTTGGGGACGTCCTCGGTCACATTTTCAATCCACTGCAAGTCTTGTGAGAAATAAACCTGACATTTGTTGCGAAAGTGCTCGCCTCAATATTCTCAACCAGGTCCGCCATCTCTTTCGCTTGCTCGTGAGATAGGCGAGAGATGAACAAGGCTATTCCGTAGCCTTGACACTTGGGATAAGAGTCAAAGCGGTTATACATGGCCTTCCGCTGCTTGTTTCGGAGGATGTAGCCGATGAGGCCCCTAGTCACCATTGTGTGCTACTTGTCGAAAAATGGAGAGCGACTAAACGATGGGATGACAGGTGGAATGTAGATAACGTTAGAGGGCGGATAGGTGGTGCGACACTGGAGCAGTCACGTGAGGGATCTGGCTAGGGGTGCCAGGTGTCGGTCGACCTTGAATAGGCTGGAGGGATGAAGGATGGATATTGGTGAGGTGGTTTAGACGAGGATACTTCGGTGGGAAAAGGTGACGGAGACGCGGCACGATGTACCCGTCCCTGAGAACATAGCGGCAACCCTGATACCATGCCAGGCCAGTCCGTACCAATGCCTTACAGGCCGATACTCGGCATCACCGACGCGTTCTCATGATCAGTAACATTCCGGACGGGTGGCGCCTCGGGTTGGTGGTGGTTTCAGCTCAGCACTTTTTGCAAAGCACATCGTAGAAGACCGTTCTACAGCACATCGTCCTCAACTGAGTCCATACACCAGCCATGCACGGACACGCCTCAGAGCAACATGGATACTCTATCACATGGGTTCCTGCAGTGGCTGGGCCTGCCACTCCCACTCGCCAGCAGTATGAATGACCAATGGACTTACATCTCTTTCTCTTCACCCTCCATCTCTCTTGTTCCTTTACCATGCTCTTCTCCTTCGCCGCTTTCTTTCCTCTCCTCCTCTTGGTCGACGCCCACCCCTCTGGCACCTCTGGCAGGAAGGTGCTGCACAACGATCCAACAACTGGTCCCCATACCGGTCCCAATACGCCGCCACGCACACTCCCACTTCAGCGCTTACCCTCTCGCGAGTTCTCACCTTCTCTGTCCGAGAAACAGGCATGGCTCTTGGACCGATCAAGACATCCGATCGGGTTCCGAGCGACTGGGGGGACCCGGGCAGTCATGACTATCGAGTCGAGCGAGCGTCTCCTCTATAGCCGCACTGAGATGTCAGAGAAGTCCGTCGTTAACTGTCATTCATTCACACATCTATGAACGGTGGGTATATATATCATGCACGTCCAAGCTCCCGAAAAGACTTCTAGAAGCGGCAAACATGAAAAGACAAAAGATAGTAGAATCTCGAGCGAGTGAAACATAGAATGTGAGAAAAGAGGAAAGAATTGTCCATTGTGAAGATTCCGTTAAAGACTCGGGGGAGGATGGGTAATGAAAAGGCGTATAAAAAGGTCATTTCGATGCAAGATACGAGTCGTTAAATGCAAATGCAAAGAGAGGGAAAAAGAAGTCTTGAGAAGAAACAGAACGCTCAACGTCTAGATGACGCCGCCGAAGGGCACAGAGGTGGGCGTGAGGCCGACGACGTCCTTCAAGATGATGGGCACGACGATCAGGGCGACGAAGATGGCCTGGATGATGATGTACAGGATACCGTCTAGTAAAAGGTCAGCGACGTTCCAAAAAAGAAAGAGAGGTACGCACACTTGGCAACAATCTTCCTTCGCTGACTCCTCTGCCTGAAGCTGTAGATAGGAGGCCTGATCTGCTTGCTGGGGGCGAGCCAGAAGAGCATGGTGGCGTGTATCCTGTCGAAGAAGGGGATCAACATGGGGGGTGTAAGGAGGAAGAGAAGCACTATTGGGTATATCAGCATAGCTCGTCAAGGTCCAGAGAAGTACTCACCATGACAAGCGATAAAGTCGGCAGAGTACAAGCCCATCTCAATAGTCTTGACAACAAACTCTCGAGCAGGCTGCGAGAGAGCGTGCGAGCCAAGACCCCTGTTGAACCACACACCAGTCCACCAAGCCCTGTTGGTCTCGTCGTGCTTGAATTCTCGAGACAAGAAGACGGCGATGAGGAACTTGAAGATACACCTCTGGACACTGATGACGGCGATCACACCGAGCACAGCGTGGGACGGGTCCCAGAGCTCGAGGAACCAGAGCAACTCGAAGAAGACGACCATACCAACGACGGCACCGAAGTGGGCGATGGCTGCCATGGTAGCTCCGAATTGGTGGGTGTAAGAGTTCAACTATGATACGGTCAGCAAACTCCAAATGATTGTGGAAGGATACGCACGCAAGGACCGAGGAAGACAGAGATCAAGAAGAGCGTAAGCAAAAGCGCCATGTTCCAAACGATAGGACCAAGGGCGATGATGGCAATCCTGAGAAGGCCGGGCTGCACAACGCCGTCGACCGCGAAACTCTTGACAAAGAGGTAGCAGATGACAAAGAGGATGGCGAGGCAGATGGGTCCAATGATTTCACCGATAAGGATAGCCTTCCAAGGCGCCCTGGGCACATCACTCGACAGCTTCTCGGAGGGAAGACCCAACCTCTTTCTCTTGAAACCGGTGACCCTAGTTCGCGACAATCGGCAGTACCCGACCCAAGAGTTGGCGTGGGTGCGAGAGTTGCCTCGAGACATCCATCGGAGGAACTCTCGGTAGTCGATGACAAAGTCGGCGATGGCGAACTGGTGGGGGTTGAAGAGGAAGGGAGCGACACAAAGACCAACGACGGTGATCCAGAAGTAGATGATGTGGTTGACCCAGACGGACATGGAAATGTACACGAGGAGGACAAGCGTTCGGATACCGAGGTAGATGGAAGGTCCAGCGAATCGGGAACTAAACGACATCAGCACAAAACCCAAAGACGACGCGCGAAACACTCACTAGAGGATGCTGAAAGAGATACGGGTGGTGGCAAAACCACGACCGGTAGCAATATACCTAGCACCACCGAACGTCAAGTCGTTCAGGATGGAGTGCATGTAGATCTGGGTCGAGAACACTTCAAAGACGGGCGAAAGCGACAAGAAGTGCTTTGCGAGTCGAAGAATAGCTCGGCCAGTACCACGTTCGGTAAGTTCTACGACATGGTCAGCAACTCGAGCGCAGAAGATAGAAAAAGAATCATACCCTGGACGAAGAGAGGAACGAAAGCGATCCAGAACACGATAAAGATCGAGATGATACATCGCTTGATCCACTGGAAGACAGGAACAAGGTTGTAACAACCACTCTGACCGGGTAGGATGGTTCCAGCAGACGAGTAGGTGCAGACCGTAAGCTGCTTGTTGAGAGTACCGAGGAAGACGAGGGCGAGCATAAAGACCTGGACAGACATCATGACGAGAATGTTGTTGATGTGGAAACCGGGGTGACCATAGTAGAATGTCAAGAACCTGTCGATAGGCAATTGCGTACCCAAGTAGTAGTACTCTCGCGAAAGCATCTGTTCGCCCATACCAGTACCAATCTTGGTCTGGAAATTGAGAATGGTACCAAAACCGAGATCACGTCCTTTACCACACTGGTAGTACTCAGAGTGCTTGATACGACCACCTCGGCCAAAGGCGAGCATACCGGCAAAGATATCTTCGTTCAAATGAAGACCCTTTTGCGCCTTGGAGACACCACCTCGAGTGTTCATGTAGATAGCGTTCAAGAAATCGGGCTGCAGTATACGTCAGCGCAGTCAAGATAATCAGAGGAAGAGACTTACGTGACCGTAATGCAGTTTACCACCGATAAAGGACAATGACCTAGCCGCAAGCGTACCGAAAGTCTGTTCCTTACCAGCCGCAATATCACCCAAAATACCAATGTTCTCCGAGAAGATATATTCTCGCGCACCCAAGATCGCCACGGGCGCCTTGGAGAACTCGGCACTGTGGGTAGTCGCGTAAGGGCTCTCGGTAGGGATCTTGAAACCCTCAAACTCGCCGAGCACATTTCGGATCTTGAGACACTCTTCCAAATAATTGTCCTGGTTCGCATCAATAAGCTGAAGGTATTCACCACGGTAAAAGACGATAGCGTGATTCTGGTTATCAGACTTTCCGTCACCCAAGATAGGGTTACCGGGCAGCTCGATCCTAAACTTGGGACGTCTTCGGCCATTCGGCATAATCTCGGAATGACCGTCGATAAGCGCCGAAAAGATCCTGGGCTCGCTCCCGTCCTTCCTGGGCGGCTCCTCATCGAGATAGGCAATCTGCAAGTCGGGGTACGCGCGCAAGAGGAACTCGGCATTCTCGTGCTCCTCCTTGTTGAACTTGGAGTACCTCTGCATCGAGACGACAAACTTGAACTTGCGTCGCGCCATGCGCTCGAGCTCGCGCTCAAGCTGGTCGGTGTTGCCGCCAAAGAGCTGCACAACCTCGGGGTTCTCGACGCGGTAAAGAAGCTTAATGGCCTTGCTGTAGTTCATGAAACCAGACACCGTTCGGTAAAGCGTCTGCGCTCGGAGGGAAGCCCAGATACGGGTTCGCAATGTATACTCGGGCGCAGCCGACTTGAAACCGATAGTGTAGAAGGGAATATCGTCCGCCTTCTTCGCATCCTCCTTTTCGTCAGACGCAAAGGGGTTGCCACCGTTAAACATGTTGGACTCTTCCGCCAAAATCTTGGTATCGCGCACAAAGTTGTCCCACTCGATAGGGTGGAGCTGCTTGAGATACTCGAGCAGCGTCACACGCGTATTCTGGTCTTCCTCCCTGATAATCTCTCGGAGAGAAAGCAAGATCTTTTCAGAGTAGTGCGGCACAAGCACGGTGAACGTAGGCATAGCCTCAATGGGGATAGGCTCGGGGATGGTAGTCGTCAAAGACTGGGCAAAGAACGAAATACGTCGCTCGGCTTCGGAACCCTTGGGGAAGAATTCAGCCTTGCTGCCGCCCTTTTCAGACTGGGTGATGAAGAATGCAGGGGCTCGGAGCGTACGCTTGCCGGGCTGGTCGGACTGGACCTGGTGGTAGAGGAGTTTCTGGACGTGCTCGATGGAGAGGAGGTGTTCGCGGTACATGGAGATGATGACGGCGTTCCAGACTTGCGAGACCAACACCTACTCTTCATCAGCTTCAATCACAATGCGTTTCAGAAAAAGGAGACACACCTTGGGCTTGTACTTGACTTCCATATCATTCGTCGCCAAGATCTTTGCGTAGATCCTCTTGGGCAACCTCGAAAAGATATCCGCCCAGGGCGTCCAAATACTCATCCCCAACGAGAAACTCCTCGCCACAGACAAGATCGTGCTCCAAATGACATACCACAAGAACGTATCCAAAAAGAACAATGTCAAGTCCATGACAAACATGACGGCCAACGCAAAGGCCGGCTGGTTGGTACACAGCGCCGAACCAAAGTACTTGTCGTTACAGTTCTGCACCTTCATACCGTTCATGACCTTGATAGGGTCACGGAACGAGAGGGTGAGGAAATAGTAGGATTCGGTGAATTTACAGCCAAAGATGAGGACCCAGAGGAGGAACGACGTCAGGCGGTTGTTTCGCGGCAAAGAGGGGTACGAGGCGGTGAACGTCTGGTTGGCGAGATACTTTCGGCTCTTGCCGGCTACTCGATCACCAAACATTCTCCCCGAAGGCAGCGTCGAGAACAAGGCGGTGGCAACGACCGAACACCAGAATTGGACGATACCCAAGATAAGAGAAACGCGGCCGGTCTGGTTGAAGAAGGCAATGTAGATGGAGGGACCACCAGTGATGGCGAGGATGATCAGGAGGAATATCAATCGACGGGTGAGGTGGGAGGTGTTGTTCCAGGTGGTGGGGATGTAGGAGAACTCGGCGAGGGTGGCGGCGATCATGATCAAAGTAGCAACGCAACCACCGAGACCGGAGATAGACCAAGCCATAGGCGTAGTAGCCTTGGTGGAGCCAGACTGAGCGTAGATAGAGGGGGCGTTGTAAGCACTACAATAATCAGCATCATCCCATCACAAGACTTGTAGATGCTCACGTGAAGAACCAGAACACAGAAATGTGCAAAACCCAGATACGGTTAAAGTTGACCAAAAGATGGAAGAATGATCGTTTCTCAAGATACGTCTTGAAAAACACCTTGGTCCAATCAATCCTGTCAAACTTCATGAATCGCTGCGCAGGCGGCACATCCACGAGACGGGTATTGTCGGTCAACGAGATCCTCGAAATACCCTCAGGGTACCAGAACAGCTGGTTGACATCGTCATACCCAATAATCTTGTCGTGGTCCCTCTCCCTCCTCAAAAACTTGCCATCCACAACTTCGTAACCCTGGTCTCTCAAAAACTTGTAGAGAGGCTTGATGACAGCCCGCAAGTAGAGACCCTCGGGCACGGCTTCCTGCCTGTTCTGGCACTCGGGCGACCGGTAATAGTCGTCGGCGCACTTGAAGATGAAACAAAGACACTCGGGCATGAATCGCACCTGCGCAGCCTCACCCCAACACAACAAGAACAGCGCAACCTGTCGAAGACGGTCGTACTGCGACATGTTGTTCATGGCCGTCCTCCAGCGGGAGGTGGCAGAGTCGAGCGACTTTGCCTGTGCGGTGACGGGCGACTTGGCCTTGGGGCCGCGACGGGCGACGGAACGGACACGGGAAAGACCGGGGTTCTGGACGGAACCGATAGCGTCGTCGAGGTCGAGCTGGGCGGCAAAGTACCACTTGCGGTAGTTGGCGTGCTCGCCGCCGATATAGTCGGCGTGGAGCGTGAGGAGGGCTTGGTTGGGAGACATGCGGGAGGCTCGAGAGTCGAGCTGGATCATGAGGAAATCGTACACGTTTCGCGAGGAATCTGGTAAAAGTCAGCATTGTCGAGCGGAGGGGTGAAAAAAAACGCACCCTTTTGGAAACCAAACTTGTTGGCGAGGTCGATCAAAACATCCTCAATCTCTTCCTTGGAGAGGGGAATGTTGGCCTCGGCTGTCCAAGCGGGGTACGGCTCACGGGGCTTGTGGCCTTCACGCGATTCAGAGTAGGTAGGCGTGGATGCACGCGACGGCAAGTAACCAGGTCCACCGTGGTAATCAGAAGACGGATAGTTGACATCTACACGTTGTGAGAAGGCTGCGCAAATCACACAAGATACTCACCCTGCTGGCTCCACCCGCTCTCACTCGCCCACGTTTCTCTGCCCATACCACCTCCATCATATCGCCCGCCGATCTCTGGCTCATTGTCATAGTACGGCGCGTACTGGCCGCCCTGTCCGGGCGGGGCGACACCAGCGCCAGCGCCGGCACCGGGGTTGGGCGCGTCGGGGTGGGCGAATGCGCCTGTTTGGTGGGGGAGGGGGAGTTGGGGGTTGGAGTCGTATGGGAGTTGGTTTGTGTGGTTGAAGGGGTCGGAGGAGGATGAGGAAAAGGAGGCGGTGCCTGTGGGGCCGGGAGGGGGCTTGTTGTAATCCATATTGCTGGGAAAAGTCAGCGCGGGTCGGGGGTGGGCGCGGCCGGCGCGAGGGGAAAGGGGCTGGGGAGGGTGGGAAAGTATCAAACAGATAGGGAGGAGGGAGAAAAGTAAAAGAGAAAGGAGAGGGCGCCGCGTCGTCCAAGCCACACGGCAACAACTCCCACGCCGCCGCTGAAAACAACCCGGTAACCACCCCGGCCAGCGCTATGACTCACCTACAAAAGGTATCCTCTTGCTACACTTGCTCTGCGCCGGTGTGTGGCGTACTGGCACGGATGAAAATTCCCAGCTGGCCGTGGTATCCTCTGGGGAGCGGGCGGGGCGGGGGCGGGGTGTCGTGAGCGGGGGCGTCGGTGCGCCGGTCGTGGATGAGAAAAGAGGGTGGGGGAGTGGGGGAGGGGGGTGGTAGGGTGGGAAGAAGAAAGACAAAAGCACCAAGAGATGAGGAAGGCGATGTTGCTTGGATGCCTGCGTTAGACTGTGCTTCGCGTGCATCCCCTGAGACTACAAAACGGGCTAATTACTACAAATTTTGTAATCCTACGGGACCGCATCTGTAATCCCGCACGGTCCTCGGAAAAAGCATCACCCTCGATTAACGGCAATTACGCCCCTGATTTTGGGCCAAACAACCAACAAGCGCGTTTTTGCCCTTGCCCTCGCGTTTTACGGGATCGCGATAGACTAATAACCTGGGAATCCCGGCGCGAAACAGAGCGCTTTGGGCCAAGCCACACAGACGTCATCGAACAGCTTTTGGGGTGGCACGTGGCGGGATTGGCGGGGATTGAGGGCACTGTGGCACTTGCCTCCACTTTCCCTTCACGCGCCTTGCTTTTGTTTGGTCCTCTCTCCTGATACACTGCAGCAAAATGGCGCTGACCGCTGCCATGTCGGCCTGGGAGCCCAGGTTCTCTACCCACAACGACGACCACGACATCGCTTCAGTGAGCCACAAGTAACTGAAGCTGGGAGACGCTGACAAGAGCAGGCCGTGGCTCTGGCTCGTGCCCATATTTCACCGCGCAACCTCAACGTTTCCGGTACTGCGCGACCTGTCGTCACGCCCGAAATCGCAGCAGCATTCCAACTGATACAGCGGAGAGGACTGTCCAAGGCTGTGTTTAACGACTTTCTCGGTAAGCTTGGGTCTTCAATTGGCGACACCTTTGCCATCTACATCGGTCCGCTCCCAGCGCCTATACGGGATACCAAGCTCCTTCCGATCTTGACATACGGTAAATAACCCCGAACGCAAGCTAACAAAACCACAGACGACGTCGAATCAAACTTTACCCTCATCAAAGACGAGATCACCCACGCCATCGCCGCCATCGAAACACCCTCTTCAAACGACGATGAGCAAGACCAACGCGTCCTCCGCGTCATCGCCCACCTCTTCGAACGTCTCGCCTCCTGGCAACGTACATGGGGCGTTCCCCTCCGCGCTTTCCAAGAGTACGCCCCATTCCCTTCCTCCCTTCTTCCTTTTCTTCAGACACCTGCTGACGGTATGGGTGTAGTAACGGCTACATAAGCGCATTCACCCGAACATTCCACTTCCTCCTCCACTCCACCCTCCCCCCCTCATTCCCCGCCCACCTCATCCACTTCCTCTCCACCTCCCTCTCTTCCCTCCCTTCCAACTCCTCGTCTCCCCCTTCCCCCTCCCCTCCCTCTCCTTCCTTCCCTTCAACCTCTTTCCCCTCTTCCTCCACCCAAAGTACTTACCAACAAAACCCCCGCCCCAAAATCCCACCCCCAACGCCTCACTTGAGCCGCTTAGGTATATTCCCCCGCTACTCTGGAAGCTTGAGCCATGTAGCGCACGAAGAGATCCGCCGGATCGCTTTGGAGGAGGCTGACAAGGGGTGGGGGGAGAGAAGGTTGGGGAGGGCGAGGCAGAGGATCGGGGATGGGGTTGCTAATTGGCTTGCTGGGATGTTTGAAGGTGCGTCTCCTTCCCCATTCTCTTTCTCCTCTCTCTCTATCTCAATTCAAGAGAATGAAAGCTAATGTGAGGTGGACAGGCAATGACTCTGTCCAAGCTTCCCTCCGCCCAATGTTCTCCCGCTTTGACTATTTCCTCTGTAAATGCTTCTTCGACATCCGCACCGACGAGCTTTTCGACATTATCATCGATTTCCCGGATTCCATGGCTGCGCTTGAAGACCTGAAAGAATGTTTGTTCAAAGTGGATCAGAGGGTCGAGTTGGTCAACAAATTGAAAGCTGCGTGAGTTTCTTACACCTCAGCAAGAGACCAGCGGGAGAAGAAGGCAAGGATCTGATGAACATGACGTAGAAACGTGAAGCGCCTCCTCCACCCCGGCGCCGAAACCCACCTCATCCTAAACATCTACATCTCCACCATCCGCTCTCTCCGCATCCTCGACCCCCCCGGCGTCCTCCTCCACTCCATCGCCCTCCCCATCCGCGCCCACCTCCTCCAACGGCCCGATACCATCAAGTGCATCGTCGAGACCCTGGTGAACGGGGAGGAACTGCAGGATGAGAATGAAGGCGGGCTGATAGGGGAGGGTGAGGCGGGGGCGGAGGATTTTGCGGATCCGAGGTGGGAGCCTGAACCTATTGACGCTGCCCCGGAATTCAGGTCGTCAAAGTCCCCAGACATCCTCTCAACCCTCACTTCCATCTATCCCTCCACGGCATCCATCATTGAAGCCCTCCAAGCATTCCTCGCAAACCGGCTACTGCTCCTGACAGATTATGACGCCGTCCAAGAAGTGCGCACGATAGAGCTGTTGAAATTGCGGTTCGGAGAAGGCGCGTTGGCGGGGTGTGATGTGATGGTGAAGGATGTGGCGGATTCGAAACGGATTGATGCACGAGTTCAGGGAGAGAAAGAAGTGAGGACCCCTTACTTTTACACGATTTGAAAGAAAAGCTGATAGGGTGGAAAGTCTGTGGTACACCCGATGGTACTGTCCAAGATGTTTTGGCCCGACATGCCGAGATCATCTTTGGTTCTACCCCCAAAGATGCAAAAGTAAGCCCCACCCCCTTCTCCTTGCCCACCACCCCACTAACGTATATCCACAGAATCCACACGTCCTACGAACAATCCTACCACTCCCTAAATCCCGCCAAACACCTCTCCTTCCTCCCCTCCCACGGCTCCCTAACCCTAACTATCGCCCTCTCCGACCGTACCCTCCACCTCACCTGCACCCCGCTCCAAGCGGCCATGATGGAGTTCTTTGAGAAGAAGGAGGTGTGGGGGGTGGAAGAGTTGAGTGGGCATTTGGGGGTGGGGAAGGTGGAGGTTGGGAGGGCGTTGGGGTGGTGGGGCGAGCAGGGGGTTGTGAGGGAGGAGGGGAAGGGGAGGTGGAGGTTGGTGGAGGTTTTGGATGGGGATGAGTAGGTTATTCTAGAGAGGTCTGGGTGTCTATGACGAAACTGTTGTATATGTATAACGAAAGCATGATCCTCTGCGTTTGGCACATTCTGGTCGGACAATGCCATGATTACGAGACCAGAGATGTAAATGTTGGAATGTGTGGGTGTCGTGTCACTGACGAGCAGTCATGGGGGACACGCTTGTAAGAGAAGGTGTTAGAGAATGTGTTACATCCCTTCTCCGTATATATATCGTACACGCCATCAACCAAGAAGGATGAGCAAAAGTCCCTGAGTTACCAAAATTGAGTCAAGTCAGGATGGAGACCATCCCTTGCCCTCAGCAGGACAATATTAGACGAGGTCATCGAAAACTACCCACACATCAGTGAAAAATCGCCCCGAACCCAACAACACTTACCCCATTCCCGACAAACACCCCCGCCCGTCTCGCAACCTCCATATCAACCGCCACCCCCACTTCCTTCTCCTCCCACCCACCCCACACATCATCCTTCCCAATCCAAACATGATCCCACCCCTCCGACTCGAGCCACTTTTTCATCTCCCCCAGCCACGCCGCGTCATCCGTATCTGTCAGGATATACACTGATTTGAGCAGGGGATGGTTTTTGCGCATGCGACGGGCGCGGCCGATGATGTCGAGTGTTTCGGGGAGGCATTTGGCGCGGTAGAGACCCATGCGGGTCGCTTCGACCATGTCGGTGGAAGGAGGGACGTTTTCGTTTCCGGGGAGAGAAGGGAGTTTGTTGAAGGATACCATGTTGCTGCAGTCGGGTGAGCGAGTCCCACGCAGCAGATATACGACTTACGCAGAAGTCTCGCCCTTCTCTTCACAAACCCTTTCCCAATCTTCTCCCCTCCTGATATGCATCGCCAGCACATGTTTCCAGATAGGCGTCGAAATGTCACTCTTTCCCTTGCCTTCAGCAGCCGCCTCCAGACTGTAGAGAGGTGTCGTCGGCGAGAGGATGTATAAGTGGTCGTTGAGGATGGACAGGACGCGAGGAGAGAAGGAAAAGTGTTCCATGGCAGGAGACTTTACGAACGAGTCGTAAAGGTCCAAAGGCGCGTGCGAGTTGAAAAAGCTGTAGTAATGTCAGTATGGCTGTGAGAGAGGATGTAAAAGTTGAACATACTTGTTGTCAAAAGGTTCTCCCTGGATCCTGATACAAGGGTCATCGCTTCCGCCCAAAAGCACCTGCAGCTGGTGTATTCTATCCTGCCCATTACTCTCCAGGTCGATCTTTCCATCTGGGTTCGATGGTGACTGAATAGTGTAGACTACTTGTTTGTGAGAAGGGCAGTGGGCGCGGTAGTACCATGATCTGCAGACTATCGTCAGCTTTGACGCCTCAAGAGCAAAGACGGCTTACGGGACGGCGCGAGGAGAGTCATACAACGTCTCGAATCCGGACACTACGGTCGAGATGAATGCTGAGAGAGGTATCTTTGCTGAACGCCAAGGCCAGCTGTTGGGGTTGAACGGCAGTATCTGCTGAAGGTTAGCGAGATCAGGTATGGAAAGCGATAATGACGTACTGTTGTGTCTTCGACATAGGGCTCATATGATAATGAACGGTTTCCGAGGACAGCCAGGTGATGCTGAAGCCTACAACGAATTAGTATGACTTAAGAGATGAGTTGGGTCCACATACAATATTCGTTGCAACTGGAAGATGGGATTAGCATGACACAAGATTGCTTGAGTGACGGCTCACTTGATGGTTGAACCCTACGCATATCATTCCAAACATGAGCAAAACGTTCTACCTCTATTATTGAAAACCAAACGTACCAGTCCCCTTCGGGATATCAAACCTGAATGCTATCAGCAACGCTCAAGACACGTCTCACCCCACTTCGACCACTCACTGAATCATCCTCGCCGGCTGCCCCTGCTCCTTGGCCACGCGTTTCTCCCAGTTCCATTCATCATCATAGCTCGGCGGAAAAGGTGGACTCGGATGCCATGTGATCAGCACTGCAAAACCAAACAGCAAGAGCAGTAATTTGAGCTGGGAGCGACGCGCCAGGCGCGTGACCGCGGTCGGGAGGATCGCAGAGGGGCGGGGGATGCGGTCAGAGTCGAGGGTGACGGGCTCGCCGAGGGGGTTGGGAAGCGTGACCCTCATGGCTGTTGTAAAGAGAATGCTGGGGAATGCAAAGAAAGCTGCAATTGAACCTTCCCAAGAACCTTGAACGCCAAACGTAAATCACGGTAAAACTCTCCCCGCTTTCCGGTTCCGGACCTCGCCGCCCCGGCTGTTCCTAGATCAAAGAACCGTTGAGATCAAGTTGAGATATACAGGATCTGATGCTAAGGCAGGGGAGGGAGGCTGGGAGAGGTTCACGGGACAACGTAAGAAGTGCAAGTGGCCGTTGAAACGACCAAGGTGTTCCTACAAGGCGGGGTAGAGATATTCAGCAGGAGGCGGAGGAGCTGAATACGCATTGGCTCGGTGGCATAAGTGTAGCATATGCACAAATACTGCTGCTGACAACCGCTCAAAGATCCCAATACACCCTCTTTACCTAGTCTTCTTGATCTTTGCTCCAGTAAGGTCCGAAAGACTGTCTATGTCTTGTCTATATGCTTCGGATCCTCTCGCAATAACTCAAAGGCCACCTCTCTTATGAGTCGACCGTAACCCCAGACTTTCATCTTTTCGTGTTCGTCGATAAAGTGTGCCCATTCGCATTCGTCTTCCCATTAAATAAAGGCAGCTGTAGCGTCAGTCAGCACAGCATCATGAGCGACTGGAGACGCAAATCACCCACTGCTATTGACCATATGGGCGAGTTTTCTCCTTTTCCGACAGTCCTTCGAGATCGTCTTCGTTGAATCAGTTTTCCGGACCCCCATAAGGAAAGTAGTGGTACCAAACACCGTCATAGGCCATGTAGCGCTTCCTGATATCCTCGGAGATCTTCTCATGTTCGTCCTCAATCCACTACAATAATGATCTTCAGCGGCAACCAGCTAGACTGGGATGGGGAGCTACTTACCACAAGCTGTTCGACCAAATCCGCCATTCTCTCACATTGCTCGGCAGATAAGCGAGCGATGAATTTGGCGATTTGTCAGGATGACAGCCTCCACGGTTGTATATGGCCTTGCGCTCTTTGTTGCGGACAACGAAGCCGATGAGACCTTTGGAGGCCATAGTGACTGTGGCTCTCACAGAGGAGATATGAGCGGGAGAGACGATGGAATGTACGAGGGGATTGAGATATTCGGCGTCCCGCATGTTGCTCTTCTTGCTTCGGCGTGTGACAGCCGGCCATTGCATGTCGGCTCGACCCCCAACACGTAATCATGTACAGCAGCAATATACGTAGTTGAAGTCGCCAGTTTCCCAGCTCAAGAAGTACCTGCTGTTGTTGGACCAAAGAGATGATGGTGCACGACAATCCTTGCTTGATTGAACGACGGAGGGGGATACGGGTGTGCTCTGCCTGCTGCGTAATTCAACCGGCTCTGGCAGGACGTTGCTGCTTCACCATTACGCTCAGAGAATCTTGCATCTACATCTGTTTATCTACATTGAGCGCCACCAATGCCTGCATCACAGGCCCGTCCTCGTCGCTGGTTGATATCACCACTCCTCCACCCTGAAATTGGTTTTCATATAGTCTGGGTTTTCTCGGAAAAAGGCAAACGATAACTCTTTGAGAAAGTCTCCAGAGCGCCAAATCTCCATTTTCTCGTGGTGAAAGTCGATGAAGTATGCCCAATCGTTCAAACCATCACTAGCTAACCCCCCATCAGTATGTACTAGAGTGTCTAGACGCCAGACTGGACTCACCAATGGAATCAATCAGATGTACGAGCTTTCCCTGCTGGATCATTGGCAGCCCGCTTGCTCCGCTTGCTCCTCTCAAAAACTCGCCCCATATTGCACAAAAATGGCCATTCTCATCTCTCCACAATGCTGTGATACTGTCGTACTTGCACCGCTCAATGCTGTCCTTGCCCAACAACTCTTCAGCCTTCTTTGTTCTCTCTTTAATTATGTCGTCCTTTTCCTGTTCAGAAATGCCCTCCAGATCCTTCTCCTTGAACCAATTCTCAGGACCGCCATAAGGGAAACTGTCTTGCCAGATTCCCTCGCAGGCTTCATAGTACTCCTGAGTATCATCATCCATAACATCATTCTCATCGTCTACCCACTGCATTTTCGTATGAGACATGTGACGTTTTACAGAGAGGCGATATCGTCGGAGATGCTCACCTCAATCTTGTCAATAAGATCTGCCATCTCCTTGCATTGCTCGGGAGAAAGGGCGAGGATGAATCGCACGACATTGTCACCTAGCCATTCCGGATAGGAGGAATTGTTGTTGTACATGCCCCTACGCTCATAATTGCCGAGAATGTAGCCGAGAATACCCTTAATGCCCATTGGGGATGATATTCGAGAGGATAGTTGGCGGAAGAGACGATGGAATGCAATGTGAGATGCATACAATAGACGACTGCACTCACTGGCAGACGAAGCCAGTCGTCAGGCTTGTAGCGGCTCTCTCCGATCAAGCCCAATTATGATAATAGAGTACAATTTCATGTCGCTCGTTCGACTGTTTATTTTGTTCTCCGTCACAAAGTGCAGACCTGTCTCTATGTATCATTGACCCTGGCCTCTAGCCGCAAGGAAATAGTGCGGCTTGATCTTCCAGCAACGTGCCTCTTTCCACAATGGAGGCGGCCTCAGCTGACCAAAGGTGTCATAAATGTGCTCGCTCATTGGAGAGGTACAGTCATGTACAGTCGACTATATACAGTTAGGTACAGATCGTCTTTTAGCATGTTGGCTAGCAGCCTTTGACAGAATCTTCTCACGTCTTCGCCCTGCATTCTGTAAGCTTGACATGCATGAATCTGCGACTGCGGTGCGGAAAAATATTCACAGCGACGCTACCGCCAAGATGCAAGGGGGGGAGTACGTACTGTACTCTAGTACGGCAGACGGCACAGCTCCTTAACATCATGCCGACGCCCCGAGAGCGGCGGCTATAGACGCGGCTGGGAGGTGTTCAGCTAGATCTGCCCACCTGCCTGGGGCAACAAGATGACTTGCTCTCTCGGCTGCCAGAGATAGTATATCATACATTGGGCTGCTCTCTCTGGGGCTGCAGAACCACACAATGGGGCAGTGGCAGGGCGATAGGCGGCGATTGGAACAGGGACCTGGTGCCTTGAAAGCCGGCGGCCTTGGCCGGGGCTCCAACCGAACTCCATCGATGGTTGTCGGACACTCCAACGTAAGCGAAGCTGGATTTTTTCGCTTCAACAATTTCGACCGACGATGTGGTTCCGTCAGCCCGCTCGACTCCGACATCAATTTCGTCTTCATTTCTCCTCCTTACAGCAACAATCATGTCCTCAACACCAAGCTCAGACACAACAAAAAAGGCCAGCATTGAAGGCCTCGCGCTCGAGGAGAACGACCCTGATGTCACGTCGGCTGTGCCAATCAAAAAGTACGATGAAGTCTTTGGAGCCATCAGGGCGGATGGTCCAGATTACCGAAATGTAAGTAGTCACCTAGATCGCTGAGTGGCAACTGACAGTGCTGCAGGTCGGGTGGATGGGGGCGGTTGTCCTCCTGCTCAAAAGTCAAATAGGTCTTGGTGTACTCAGTCTACCGTCAGCACTCCAAGTGCTGGGTATTGTCCCAGGTATCTTGGTGCTCGTGGGTGTGGCCGCTATCATGACCTGGTCAGGTTACTGCGTTGGCCAGTTTAAGCTGCGCCATCGACAAGTCTGTGAGTATCCCGTCTCTTTCGGCAATTGCTCCCAATGCTGACTCCTTCAAAGACAGTGTGGTTGACGTTGGAGAGATCATGTTCGGACCTATTGGAAAGGAGATATTCGCCGCCATCTACTGCACATGTGAGCACTTGAATATGAGAGTGAGGACCGCCGCTGACATGATCGTCTAGTCATGATCTTTGTTGCCGGGTCTGCCATCGTTGGCGCTTCCATCGCCCTCAACGCCATCTCTCTGCACGCCACTTGTACCGCAGTTTTCGTCATCGTCTCCACCATCGTTACATTCTCTCTCGCCAGTATCCGAACCTTGGGCAACATCTCCTGGCTGGGATGGGTCGGACTTACCTCCATTGTCGCTTCCATCATTACCCTCACCATCGCCGTCGGTGTTCAGGACCGCCCTGCCCTTGCTCCCTCGACGGGCGATTGGGACAAAGGATTCCACGTGATTGGTAACCCCAGCTTTACCGAAGCCTCGTCCGCGGTCGCCACCCTCGTTGTGGGTTACGCCGGTGTCCCCACCTAGTACGCCCTTTTGACGGACATGTGAGGTGAGGAGCTGATACTTTCATAGCTTTTCCATCGCCGCTGAGATGCGTGACCCCCGTCTCTTCAACCGTGCCATGCTCTGCAGCCATGTCATTATCACAGCCATCTACATCGTGAGTACTTGTTCTCCTCCAAAAGCTCATTCAAGCTTACAATTTGACAGGCCATTGGCACCGTCGTCTACTACTACTGCGGACAATACGTGGCCAGCCCCGCCCTTGGTTCTGCCGGTGTCCTGATGAAGCGAATTTGCTACGGTCTCGCTCTTCCCGGGCTCTACGTCACAGGTACCCTCTATCTTCATGTGAGTGTTAATGATAATACGCCAGAAGCCGCAAAGCTCATTCGTATCTCCCCAATAGCTCCCCGCTAAATATATATTCCTTCGTATCATGCGCGGCAGCAAACATCTCACCTCTAACTCTCCCATTCACTGGGCCGTCTGGCTCTCTTGCGTCTTCACCAGCGTCACCATCGCCTACATCATCGCCAGCGCTATCCCCGTGTTCGGCAGTTTGGTCGGTCTTATTGGTGCGCTGTTTGGATCCTTCTTCTGTATCATGGTCATGGGTGCCACTTGGATCTTTGACCACCAGGACAAGATCCGGGCGAAGCCTTCGATGAAGGTCAAGCTCCTTACAGCGTTCAACTGTTTCATCATCCTTTTGGGTCTTTACTTTATGATCTCAGGAGTGAGTCTCTTTTTTGTCCCCGCACAGAGATTGGAAGCTGACAGTTGTATGTAGACATGGGGTGCTGCCAAAGATATTTCTGACAGTTATGCTTCTGACGGAGGATCATCACCTTGGTCTTGCAAGGACAACTCTAACACCGTAGAGTAGAGTTTATGTTTCCATTTCAGTCTAGTTTCTCCGGGATGCAAGCATTGTACGATACCAATATTCGCAGCTCAGAGTTTCGAAGCCAAGGGGATTACATCGAAAAGCATCAAGGTCCAGCTACACTCCAAACAACGAAGAAACCCGCTCTCCTCTATGTGTCTAGATAAACTCAAATCTCCCATCTCCGCTCTTCAATAACTTTCTCGCATTCTCAGTTCCAATCACCCTCTCCAACTTCAGCACATCAAACCTCGAGAATAGCACCCTACTCGACACCTCCGCCTCATCCACATCCACCTCCTCCCCGCTCTTATTCTTGGACACCTGGAACGGCGTGTCCATGAACTCCGAGTAAAACTGCGCATGGTCAGGGAGAGAGTAAAAGACGATTGTCTTGGCTCCTCGAAGCTTGTACCGACGGTAGAAGTGGAATCGCTCCGTGACGATCAGGAAGGCCTTCTTGCCCTTGAAGAAGAGGGTACGCGCTCGGCTGATTTCGGAGCCGGAGGAGTATTCGGAGATGGCGGCGAAGGAGACCTTGTCTTCTTTGCGGAGATAGTTGGTGAGGCGGACAAAGTCAAAGTATGAGGGGACGACGATGAGGGTGTTTTGGCGGGAGATGGCGGCACGCAGAAGGGCGGGGAGAGTCTACAGTCCAGTCAGCGGGTGCAAGGCAGCACAGGAGATGAAGACGTACGTTTTCGGTGAAGAAAGTCAATCGCTTCTCCACTTCGTCCACAGCAGCCTCGCCCTCCATACCCTTCGGCCCTTCCAAGTCGATCCTCTCAAACACTTGCTTCACACCAGGTCGCACACGGTCCATCACGCCTCCAAAGTCGTTCTTCTCCAATCGGATCTTGCCTTGCAGGTTGCGGCAGTGGCGGTTGAAGAGGCCTCGGGATTCGGGAGTGTCATATCGACTGAGGATGATGGTTTGGCGCAGGTATTGAGCTCTGAGAAGAGGTAAGCGTGATTCCCAAGAGACAAGGATAGACATACTGGGACTCGAGATACCAAGGCTTGACTCTGGAAAAGTCACAGCCATGAGGACTAGCCGGGATCTTGTTGATGTTGTTGAAGATGAACTGCACATGCTCCCAGTTCTGCATCTGCATCACATCCGCCCCATCCACCACAGTAATCTCCAAACTGCTCAACAAATCCGTACTGTCTTCCCTCTCTGAAGTCATCTTGAAACCAAGAGGACTCGTAAAGAGGATGTCGCACTCCATCAACTTGGCTTCGTTGGCCGGCATCATGACGACTCGCCAGGCTTTACGCGTGAGCTTCAGGCCGAAACGGAAGTTGTCGTCAGTGTTGCCGCGAAAGTTGGCGAGGTGGTCGATGGGAAACTCTGAAGCAGCAGAGGAAGATGCGAGGGGGTCTTGCTCGTCTTCGGGGAGGGAGAAGGAGGTGGTGAAGGGGCGTTGGTTCTCAATCTGGGTCCCGGCAGGGGCGAGAGGGAAGAGGTGGTTTTTGAGATAGTGAAGAGCGATGGCTCGGGTGGGGAGGAGGAACAGGACCTTGGGTCGGGTGAAAGATTGGTCTCGAGGAGGTTCGGGAACGGAAGTGGGGTTCTCGGCGGCAGCAGCGTGAGCGAGCTTTTCGTTGTTTCGGATAATCTTGCGTCGGGTTCTAAGAGGAGTCAGGTCAAATGTATCATATACGAGTAGAGAGCTCACTTGAGTACGTGGTTGAGAGCATGGATAGCGGAAGCCTTCCTCATAGCCTCCTTGTGCTCGCTCATCAACTGGATTTCAGACCCGTCGGCCTCGCCGTCGAGGGAATGCAGGTAGAAGTCCTTGTAGGAGCCGAGGTGAGACAGTGATGTGGAGAGAAGAGGGTTGGATGATGAAGCTTCCTTGATGGCAGGTAGTAACGAAGGGGTGATCTACTCAAGCATTAGATTGTTTCATCTCCATAGCTCACATGACTTACTCTTGTCTTGACATCTCCAAATGCAACGGCACCCTCGGGCGTGAACTCTACAGCCCTCCCGAATCCCTTCATTGTCTTTCTTTCAGACTTCCACTGATTAGCCTCCGCCGCCTTCACCGACTCGGGGGTCAAGACTGAAGGTTCGGCACCAAAGTGAAGGTTGAAAAGGTCGGCTATCGCACACGACCACTCAGATCACGCTCCATCAAATTATTGGTATGATGTACGTACCAGATGTTGATGCTTGGGATTCATCATCAGACTCCTCTTCATCCACTTCCAGCTCCTCTTCAGGTCCACTCTGCACTTCGTCGATCACGGCACCCTTGCCATTGACAGCAGATTTTCCGTTGGCTTCAGCCTTAGCCTTGCCCTTGCCCTTTCCCTTGCCACTTTTGTTGAATTGGCTTCCACTGGGTCCAATCTCGCCACCCCAGATCACACTCTTCCTCTTCTTCGCGGGCTGCTCGCCGGCATCGGAGCCTTGCGCAACAGACTGGTCTCGGACGGAGGGCGAGCGGTGGCCGCCTGGGAGGTCTCTGTCCCTGGGTCGCTTGACGGCGCTGACGTTGAGGAGGGTGAGAAGCTTGACTTGGATTGCTGTTTCGGGGTCGACGGTCATTTTGGTGGTGTCTTGGGTCAATATCAGTTGCGTCAAGTCCTTGTCAAAACATTTTTGAGAAAGTGCGAGGAGTGAAGCCAATCACGTTACGTAACTCGCAAAGATCTCGTTCTTCGGCGGCCGGTGGTCAAGACATGAGATGGTTTGTCGGCAAAACGAAGTTGAGCGTAATGAACGTTGTTATATGCATGCAGGCCAAGATTGTAATTCAGATATGAGACCCGATTCTCGGCTTTTTAGTGAGATTTTCACAGATAAATACAGTAGCGAGATATACCGGGAAGCGTTCTACTCCTCGTCGTCCTCGTCTGAATCCTCGGGAGGCAGGAAAGGCGCGATGGGCGTCTTCTTGACGGAAGGATTCAGTTGTGGGGCAATCCTGCTGACCTTGCGGGGAGCCGGTCTTTTGGTCCTTTGGGTGCCTGTTGCCTCCTGCCCTTGCTCTCGCTCTTCACTCTCTTCCTCCTCATCCTCCTCTTTTTCCTCCTCCGAATCATCGGCAGGAAGAGACGCCAGAAGGGCCTTCCGAACCTCCGGGTTCGGCTGATTCACAATCTGCAACAGCTCTTGCCAGAAGCACCACGCAAAAGACATAAGAGGCCTACAGTCCCATCAGCGGCCGAACAAGACGACGTCCGGGGGTACTCACTTGGGCCTCAACATCTCCTCGTCATCATCATCCACCTTCTGGCCGCCCCACGCTCCCTGCTGCTGCTGCTGTTCCCACTGCTTGACGTACTTCTCCTCGAACGTCAAGGCATAGCAGTGACGGGCGATGACTTGCATGGGGGTGAGGGTCGTTTTGAAGGAAAAGTCGCGGAGAATCTTGGCGGCGGCGTCGCGGACGTTGTTGACGATGATGGAATAGGCTTCTCGGAGAGGTTCCTGCATTTTACTTCAGCATTGGGCGATGGGTGGAATTGGAGAACGCTCACGTTCAGATTTTGGTCACGAACTCTCTTTCTTCGCTTGTTACGGATCGCGATACCTGTAGGAATCTCCGGTTCATACACTCGATACCTGTCACACAGTCAGCACGAGTACACTAACGGCACTACCCAGCTCACCTCCTCATATCATACTGCAGATCCCTCTCATAGCTCGCTTTGAGCGGCTTCAACCTCTCCAGAAGACTATCGTGCAAGGGGTATCTCGATATTCGCGGGTCGGACGGGTAACCCATACGTTCTAGGTCGCTAGGAGAGAAGTGGGGGTCGGATTGAACCTATAACATGTGCTCAGTCGACAGTATCGGGCGGTATGAGATAAGAATGCTCACCAGTCGGAAGATCTTGCCGAGTATCCCTTTACTTTCGTAGGTGATTTTGGCATCGTCCTTGACATCCCAGATCAGCACGGCTTACAGATGGCAATAATTTGCACGTACCTTGTCCATAAAGTCGGGCCATTCTTGGGGACGGAGAGAAGGGTCGAGCACGGCAGCTTGTCCAGTCTTGGCGAAATCAACACTACAGACTATCAGCGCCACTTAATAGGGGCATACTTCCGAATAACGTACGCCGTCTATGGCGGAATGTCAGCATCCACACAAGAGGTCATAACGTTCAACTTACAGAGTGAACTTCAGAAAGATGCAAGCACCTGGGATCGAACGGTGTAAAATAGTCCGACAGCGCAAGGTGGCAATTGTCGACCTGTCCCAGCACGTCGTTCTGTAAACCAATCAGCTACATCTTTTACGGCCGTAAATGATAACTTACAAGGACATATTGGACAAAATTCTCATTCAGATGCTTCTGAGTCACCTCCTCCACGCTGATCGGGTCTGGGGCGGTGTACTCCATGGGGTCATAGACTTTGAGCGTCTGGACGAAACGTTGGTCCCAGATCAGAGTATAGTCGTCCCCGTCGAGGTCACCTCCTCCGAGCCTATAGTATAGGGTCAGAAGCTGATGGTGAGGGACAAAGGGCAACTCACATAGATGGAAGATCGCGCTCGCCTTGAGTGCTAAAAACGATGACGTTCTTGAGATGTCGCAGTTCGGGAACGTCCACAGCCCGTACACGTCGAACATCACCCGGGTGCACTATTCAAGCATCAGCACGACACGCCAATCTCGCGATCAAGACTAGACATACAAGCAGGCGCCCGACAAATTAGGACCTCATTCACAACAACCTTCGCCGGCGTCTCATCATTCTCCTGAAACTGACAAAACACGTCCCCTTCTTTCAAGATCCCCGTCTCATCCGAAATCCCAATCAAATAGACTCCATTCGACAACTTGACGCGAGCACGCCATCTGAGATCTTGGAGAGCCCTGCATTCGAGGATGGCGGCGACGTCGAGGATAAGGGGGTTGGTGTTGAAGCCAGCGCGGACGAGTTGCATGAACGGGAACTATTGCCAGGGTGTCAGCTTGCTCGAACAGGTAAAGAGTTGGACGTACGTCATTGCACAGCTCAACAAGCTGCTGATCAGCCTTACTCAACCTACCCTGCTTCACCCTATCCCTGAACCCCTTGATATCCGCCACAGCATCTTGGAAGATCTCAATGATCAAATCATGCGGTACACCGTTCGCACACATGATGTTGATAAACTGCCGGTTGAGGAAGGCTACTTGGTACTTGGCAATACGGATGACATTCAAGTCGTCGAGGTCGGAAGTGAATTTGATAAGCGAGGGACGGAGGCGGATCTCTTCGTCCCTGACGAGCTGGGGCCAGTTGGCCAGGACGCCCTTGGCACCGCTGCTGGGAGTAAGCAAGGGGTGCGACAGGTGAAGAGTGGACGTACCCGAGACGGAATTGAATGCAAGAAGGATTCGAGTTCAGACCCTGCCTCTCACCAAGTGCCAGCGCAGCTTGGTGCAACACCAGCTTCCCCGCAATTCCCACGCCGTCTGTAAAGATACGACCGTTTCTTTCGATATCAGGAAGTTCTTCGGCAATGTTGATCTTCATATTGACGATACGACTCGTGGAGAAGGGCTAGACCTTTGTCAGTGGTGTAACGGATGTACGGTGGAGGATTTACCAGACCCATTCGCGCGGCATGCTTGGCGACGACAGTCTCGAGTACAGTACCCATCCAATTTCGCAGGCTCAAGCCATCAATCACACGCGTGTCGATAAACCACATGGAATGTTCTCTGAACAACAAGTAAGCACCCCACAACTCAAGACACGGTTAGACCTACTTTTGCTGGGACGCAGACGACGCGACGGGATAGAATGTCTGCCCGCCGATGATGAGACCATACTGGAGCGTGCGACGGATCCGGGCCATGAGACCCACTGCAGGGTCAATGTTGTCGGCGTCTTTTAGGTAATCAACAACCTGCACCCGTGTCAGCTTGTCGTCACGCGCTCAAAGATGAACAAGACGCACGTATAGACGATCTTCTTCGTCGGTAAACTGAACTCGGATGATACCATCAAGCCTGTCAGAGTATCTACGAGTGACACTGTTGGAAGGTTCATATTGAGGGGGGCCGACTAAAACACGGGTGGGAGTGACGAGGACGGTCCGGATAAGGACAAGATGAGGTTGGATACAGGGTGGTCGTCTACGCAGGAAAGCAGCAAGTTCTGGGTCTTTGTCAGCATAGCACCATCTCTCAAGATACCACTCACTCGGGACGAGAGCTTTGATATCCTTGATGATCTCCTGACTGAACAACGCCTCCAAAATACGGTCATGAAACGCCCTCGAAGTCGAGGCCTTTCTCAGCGTTGCGATCAGCTCTGACGTATTTGCTGGTTTGAGCACTCCATGTCCTATTAGACCCTCCAGCAACGTCCGTGTCGAAAAGGCGAGTTTCGACATGTCCGGAGGGGTGTAGAGCTGCTTGAACTCTTCACCCGTCAGGACCCGGACAGACCATCGTGCGCGCTCGCTGGAAAGAGACATGAGGTCCATTTCCGGGTCGGCTTGGGCGAGGGCTCGAATCTTGTTGGCGCACGCTGTGATTCTGTCGTACTTTTTTCTGTCCATGCGAAAGACCCATCGGTAGGTGTTCCAGAACGTAGGCTGGGCATGGGGTAAGCCACCGTATCACCGACATCAGACACTCACATAAGCACAAGGTCCTTCTGGGATGGCGGGTATAGAGCCAGCTTCTCGTTCTCTCTTAGCGACATCAGCTACATGACCACTATCAAGCCAGCATACTCACCACGCCCGACGTTGTAAAGTCCATAGCAGTCGCCCTTCTCCTGTACAGCGAGTACTTCGTCCCCTGAAGATATTGGGGAACATCGTCTCCAGGATCGAACGCCGTAAAAAACTTGGGAGGTCGCCGACAACTGACAGTCACCGTCACCTCCAGCAAGTCTGGATTGCCTATAGCGTCTGAAAGCGGCTTCTTGGTGATATGGATACCTTGATGCGTGATGTCGTCGAAAGACAGCTCAGCGGAGAGAGGATTGAGAGCCGGAGGGAGGATACGAGGGTCGAGTTTGGTAGTCGCCTTGATGACGAGAATTTCGCGCTTGAGGTCGAAACTGATGAAGGACCTGCCCAGCCCTCGCTCATCCTGGCCTTTGATACAGGCGGCGCCGAATACCTACACCAGTCAAACATCTCCGAGTTACTTGTGGTGCAGACTCGCCTGAGTGAATTGTCTTCCCTGAAGACTTCCCATAGCTATGGCGTCAGGCCAGAATGCGAACCTGTCGTAATCGCTGGTGGTATCTGGGGCATTGGCGGGTGCTCTGCCTGGGCGAGGCTGACTACGCTGCCCATAATTGTTGAGAAGCTCCTTCTGAAACGCGGGGTCGTTGTACTTGGAGGGCCAGGCGTTGATGCCGTACCTTGTGGATGTCATGGATGACGAGATGGCAACGAAAACGCCGACAAAAGAAGAACACAATACGAGTACGCGAAAGAACGAGGAGACGGTGATTTGCGTGCCTGGAAGGTGGAGGCTGGAACGCTCGGTTTGCCGGTGATAACACCGACGTAAATAAAGAGTGTCCTCAGGCATCTCCATGCATGAAACAGCTCAGATGCCGGCTTGCTGGTCTTCGATGGGAATGCTGACTAAGAGTCGACATATGAGAGCCATCAGTCATGCTTCAAGGGGCCGTGGCCGAGGGTTGGAACTCTGGGAATTCGAGTACTCAAAGAGGAAAATTTCCCCGCGGATCGTACGCGAAATGTTACTCATCTCTTTGGTCAGCATTCTCATCATCGTTCCGTCAGCTTTCCCTTTATGCACCCCATCAAGGTATAAATGAGACGCGGATCAGCACGATCCACCCCCATCCCAAAGACTTCGCCACCATATCCTTCCTACACAGAAAACCAAAGCTTCCACAGCTCAGCCGCAAACTGACGACCAACACGTATCCAAGTTCTAACCTTATCGACAAGATGAAGTTCCAGCATCGACCCTCCGAGGCCAGGGGTGGGGCAGACCATGGTTGGCTCAAGGTGAGTCTCTCACAGCTCCCTAGATACACATGCACTGACGCGTTATTGCCAGACGTTCCACACCTTTTCTTTCGCCGACTACTATGACCCGCAATTTCAAAACTTTGGGCACCTGAGAGTCATCAACGAAGACCGTGTTGCCGTGAGTACTGATCATACTACTGCCATGTTCCAAGCTGACTCTATTCTAAGCCAGGACAAGGCTTCCCGACCCACCCTCACAGAGAGGCCGAAATCTTCTCCTACATCATCAGTACGCCCCACACATCTCCATGCTTCATCTGTATTGACACTGACACTTGATCCAGGCGGCCAGCTTTCCCACAAAGATACCATGGGCAACGTCGAAACCATGTCCCGCGGCGACATCCAAATGACATCTGGCGGCACCGGCATCGCCCACTCTGAATTCAACGCCCACCCCGTCCTCCCCGCGCACTTTCTTCAAATCTGGGCTCTCCCCTCCCAGCGCGGCTTGAAGCCTGCGTATTATACGAGGCACTTTACGGATGAGGAGAAGAAGGATAAGCTGGTAAAGATTGTAGCGCCGATGGGAACGGAGGGGGTGGTGGAGGAGAGGGAGGTCAAGGGGACGACTCCGGTGAGTACTTTCGCTCAGGTCCTATATCATTGCTGATGATTCTATAGATCCACTCTCCGGTATACTTTTACGCCTCCCTCCTATCCCCTTCCAAATCCGTCACCCACACCCTCCTCCCTCCCGTCCTCAAACCCACATTCAAAGACAAACTCATTTACATCCAGCTCATCCAGTCATCGGGCTACAACACCGGCGCTGCTAGTGTCAAGAACGGCGCTGCAGTCAAGGTTATTGGTGGTGGGCTAGACCAGGTTATCGGGGAGGGAGATGGGGTGTTTATAAGGGGCGGGCAAGTTGGGGAAGAGGTTGTGCTTGAGAATGTGGGGCAAAAGGTTGGGGAGGTTGTGCTTTTTGAGATGGACGCGTAGATAGCAAGACTCGTTTGAAGGTTCTGTAGGCTGAATGTATTCAATGTGTTTGTACAATGGTCCCTTCAAAGACAGTACACAGGTTACATATCGATCGACTTTCTCTCCAATTTCACTTCAAAGCTACTTTACATATCACATCTTCCAACGCAGAAGTACAAGGCTCTTGTCCAGGTCTTGTGCCGAGCCGAGACGATCAACGGGTAGTGTATCCACCGTTGGCTACCATCAAGTCAGCCCACAGCCCCATAGTAATGCGAAAGATCTTCAACTTACAGAAGATGATCTGCCCAGTGATCCACTTGTCCTTGACCAAAAAGTCGACAAGAGGCGCGATATCCTCAATTTTGGTCAAGCGGCCGTTAAGAGCCTGGGACTTGTGGAACTCGACGGCGGCGTCCTCTTCCTCGGGGTAGAAGAAGGGGGTGTCTACAGACAATGTTAGTTAAACTGAAGTGAGAGCGATAGCATCGGAGAAGGCGTACCCATGGGACCGGGAGCGACGGCGTTGACTCGAATGCCTCGGGACTGCAACCTGTCCAATTCAATTAGTCATTTCCCAAGACACAAGGATAGAGAGAAGACTCACTCCTTGGAAGCACTCTTGGTAAACCACTCCAATGCCGCCTTGCTCCCCTGATAAGTAGAGTAACCAGGCGCAAACGCGCCCAACAAGCTCGTCACAACACCAAGAATAGTACCGCCATCTTCCACATTCTTGCCGGCATGCTTGAGGAAGAAGAAGGCGCTCTTGGAGTTGACGAGGAACATAGAGTCAAACTCTTCCTCGCTGGTCTCGAGGAGAGGCTTTTTGAGGACTTTGCCGATGGTGTTGATGGCAATGTTGAACTTGGAGACGCCGAGGGCAGAGGCGGCGTCTTTGAAGAACCTATAGGGAGTGTCAGTGGAAAGGCGGAAGGAGATATGAACTCAGGGGCAGGGAACGTACTTTGCCACGGCGGCTTCGGTGGTCAAGTCGCCCTGAAGAGCAGCAGCCTTGACGCCAGTCTTCTTGAGCTTCTCGAGGGTCGCATCGGCCTCCTTCTTGGAGCTAGGCATACCCATCAGCACAAAAACAGAACATGGATGGGAGAGGAAGCGCACCCGGGAGAGTTGTAGTGGATGACAACATTGACGCCCTGGGAAGCGAGGGTCTGGGCAATCTACGGGTGGGTCAGCCTTTGTGCGTATGATGTGATGGGCAATAATAGTGAAGACTTACGAGAGCACCGAGATTCTTACCACCACCAGTGATGACTGCCCGTCGTCAGTAACGAGACCCAGACAGTAACCTCAGTATTTACCAGCGTTCTGGCCTTTGAGGTTGGAAGACATATCGATTGATATTTGTCAATTGTTCTGTAATAGATATGAAGCGCAAAGAGATATGACAGGGGGATGGGTAGCCAAGTGCACCTGACCCGCCCGTTCATATATCTTTTGTCTCATTCACCGTCCACATTGCGACATGCCTCCACTTGAACGATCCCGCACCTCCACCCCACCACTACCCGCTTCGGTGACCGACCCGGCGCGCACAGATAAGATAACGTTGTTCACCACGTGACCGACTTTTATGCCGTATGTAAAGCCTCCATAATGGAGGCACTTGGTGCGTTTGTTGTGGTCTGTAGCTCAGCTTTTCGTCTATGGTTGGTGCATGGTCATTCTCACACAGGTCCATATCAGCATCTGCGTCAGCGCCATCATTATCCAGCACCAGTAGCACCACCGGGCGCAATGTCTACCTAAAGTATGTGACTGACACCTCCCTCCAAACCCTCAGATCTGCTCGTACATTGCTACTACGTACTCGTATCCTTCATCCCGGCACGGACATCCTCGCATGCTCATGTAGATGAGGATGATGGACTTGAAGAGGAAGCTGGCACGATCAATCAATTATCAAACTACCGTTATTTCACACGCAGTATTTTACGTCGACGACAGTCCCCGTACAAGGTATCTCAACAGCAGCGTCTGTCGTCGTCGGCGAGGATGCTGACGGTTACGAGTTCGTTGATGCACCTGCAACACCCCTCGAGTCTGACGTCAACTCCGCTGCAGCATTCTCCCACCAGGAAAATGTCAGCAGAGAAAGCGAAGGCCGCTCGCCGCGAGAGCAACCGAATGGGTCGAGGCGGATCAGGGCGAGAAGGGAAAATAGGGCAGCCATTTCCTCCCACAACACCTTCATCGACATGCAGTCATTTGACCAAGCAGTACAGATCAACCGCGATGTCAACCCAAACACTGATGCTCGCGGATCCATATTCATTGGGTCAAGAGCATATGACAACTCTATGATGCTCAGCGATAAGCCAGGGCAATTTGATCTTTATCGCAGAGGACGATGTACTGATGATCTAAATCCCTTTTTCGTCATGACAGGTAGCTTCTCGTCGGAAGAGATAATGAGTATGATGAGACATCGTAGAAGAAGTAGGCGGGAGGAATAAGGAGTGATACTCGCGATAGCCTGGATGAAGGGATAGTGGGAGTACGAAACGTGGGAAGTATTCGTCGTGCAGCTGTCTAGACGTAATCAGCGGTGGACTGGCAGCAACAAAGCAAGGCCTGTATTCGTACAACAAAGTGTTGAGAGAGGTCTTTGAATGTCAAAAGACCCGATTATCATATATGATAGCTTGCCTCTTGCCCCGTCTATATATCACTTGGCAATCAACTCGAACCAGATGTTGACCTATGACATACCTCCGTATTCTGATATGTGTCGCGATGGTCAGTTCTCCAGGAACGAACGACGGAGAAGAGGCTACTACATATGTCAGTATGCTGGAGGTCCAGCATCCTTAGGCGCCCCAGAATGCAGGAGGATCTGAACAGAAGTGAGACATACTCTGGTTAGTTGCGTTGTTGAGATGTTTGCCTGAAATTGGAGGACTCCCGCGCGGTTTATCGAGGTACATATGTACCTAGCCAAGACCTGTTCAGTAGTATGGAGATGAAACGAGCGTGACTGATGTCTGAGAATGAGAGGCACTTCTGTGACTTCTGCTTGGTTGGGACGTTGCGAGGTTAAGCGGGAAGGCGGATGGCCAGTAGCAGATACTGAAGAAGTGGTAATGTTTGTCCGAGACTTTACAAGCGAACAAACATTGCGATCTAGTCTCCACTTGAAACAAGCAAGGGGAAGAAGGAGCAGAGACGCGACTCGGGAGGGCGAAGAGGGATTCTCTTCCATCGAGACCACCTAGGCCTAGCAGCCAAAGCCAGCTCCCCCGCCAAGGCAGCAACGATGTCGAACCACACAATGGAGTAATAAACATAAACCGGGCATCGGAGTCGACGAGATCGGACGCCGTCAGGGCTGATTCCAGAGGGAAAGAGCTTCCGAACCCTTGACAATTCCTTCTGGGGGCGGATGACACCCCGGAAAAGCCCGGGTCTTCCACCCGCAGCAGCAAACTCTAACCTACATAAGCCGAAACTCTGTTTATCAATCGCCCCGGAATTATTCTCTCGCGTTTGTTTACCCCTTTTCCTGGTGCCTGAAGTGGCTTCGCGTCGACATTGTCAACCTTGTCCGTTGTTGCCTCTTCCGTCGTCTTTTAGAGCGAAACTTTCCTCCAACAAAGTGAACCTTCTCTGAAATAGTGGTATAGAGCCCCCGGTTTGCGCCTCACGATGTCATAGAACAATTGTATAGCGATGCGGTCATGGAAGCACACTCGTACTCGTCAGCCTCATGCTCAAAGCTGGACCGCGTCCTGGCCAGTGACATGCGCGATAAGATGGTCGTAGCTATATGCCGGCCATTCAGGGGCAGAGAACACAATCGACTGTGCCTTGTCCGACATATTCTTCGGCTCCTCCTCTCGCTGGCTCCTGGCTCTCCCGGTGGCGCCAGATCTCTTTCAGCTCAGCTTTGCATCACAACAACTCTTCAGCTCCAAAACACGTATAAACTTCGTCAGGCTGGTCTTGACCTTTTTCACTCTTTTCCACTTCCTATAATCATTGGTGCATAGTCGGCAACAGCGACCAAATTCGCCCAACGCGACTGCGGCTCAAATCTTCTCCACCCCACTGGCATTCGACCACCTGAAAAATGCTCCTCCAGTCCTTCATCCTGGCCCTCGCCCTTTTCGGCTCTGTCGATGCTCGACCTAGCCGAACTCCCAACCACCGTCGTTCTTCCCGCCACCTCCAAAAACGACTCACCAACCCCTCGGTTTCTGGCTGGTCATATTCCGGCTGTGTCCGCGATGGCAGCGCCCGAGCTCTGACAGGGCAGAATAAAGGGGACGCCAGCATGACTCCTGCTCTCTGTACCTCTTGGTGCGCTGCATCCAACTATATCTATGCTGGTCTTGAGGGTGAGTCTTGGGTTGAATGTCATGTCGAGCGTAGCTGACCACCTCATTTCAGCCAACAACCAATGTTATGTAAGCTCGGCTTCCGCTCTTCGCTCTTCGTCGCCGATCGCAAACTGATATCTCTGTTACTAGTGCGGCAACTCTCTCGATAACAGTCTCGGATACTCTGTCTCAGAATCAGAATGCAGCGATACCTGCGTGGGCAACACCGCCTACGCCTGCGGTGGATCATGGAGGCTCAGTTGTGAGTCTTCTCTTCTCTTTTCTACGACGAGTGCTAAAAGGGTGGACAGTGTACAAGAGCACCACCGCATCCACTACCTCCAAAGCCTCGAGCACGTCCTCAGCCGCAACCAGCATTTCTTCAGTGGCCGCTGCTAGTACCAGTGGCATCACCGTTGTCTTTGGATCAACATGGATTGGATGTTACACCAATAGCGGTATTGAGAGCGCTGTCAGTGCTACAAAGTATTCCTCGAGCAGCATGACCGTTAGTATGTGTATCAGCCACTGCTCTGGCCTTGGGTACTCTTTTGCCGAGTTGGAGTATTACAGCGAGGTGAGTTTCCACTCTGAAATTGATGGAAGAGTCACTGACGGCTAGACTAGTGCTATTGCGGCAGTTCCGCTCCTGCGACCTCTCGAAAGAACTCGGACAATTCCAAGTGTCTCTATACCTGCAAGGGAGATTCTTCGCAGACATGTGGCGGAGCCGGCAACCTCGGCGTCTATTCTATTGGAACGGCTTCTACCTCCTCTTCAGCCTCTTCCACCTCTACTTCCAAAGCTACCACTGCTACTTCGACCACAGCTTCGACCACTTCTGTGGCTGCTGCCAGTACCAGTGGTATCACCGTTGTCTCTGGATCAACATGGATTGGATGTTACACCAATAGCGGTATTGAGAGCGCTGTCAGTGCTACAAAGTATTCCTCGAGCAGCATGACCGTTAGTATGTGTATCAGCCACTGCTCTGGCCTTGGGTACTCTTTTGCCGAATTGGAGTATTACAGCGAGGTGAGTTTCCACTCTGAAATTGATGGAAGAGTCACTGACGGCTAGACTAGTGCTATTGCGGCAGTTCCGCTCCTGCGACCTCTCGAAAGAACTCGGACAATTCCAAGTGTCTTTATGCCTGCAAGGGAGATTCTTCGCAGACATGTGGCGGCGCCGGGAACCTCGGCGTCTACTCTATCGCAACGGCCAGTACCTCCTCTTCAGCCTCTTCCACCTCTACCACTTCCAAAGCTACGTCTGCTACTTCGACCACGGCTTCCAGTACTTCTTCGGCAGCTGTCTCCACTAGCACGAGCGGTATCACTCTCGTTTCCGGCACGACCTATTTGGGGTGCTACACCAATAGCGGTATTGACAGTGCTGTCACCGCCACGAAGTACTCTACGACCAGTATGACTGTCAGTCTGTGTATGAGCCACTGTACTAGCCTGGGCTACACTTATGCCGGTCTTGAATATTACAGCGAGGTGAGTACCTTCGATCCGTTGCAATGAGGAGGTGCTGACAATTGATAACAGTGCTATTGCGGCAGTACAGGCCCTGCTTCTTCTCGAAAGAACTCGGATGACTCCAAATGTCTGTACGCCTGCAAGGGTGATTCTACGCAGAAATGTGGTGGTGCTGGAAACATTGCCATCTACTCCCTCTCCGCCTCGACCACATCTACGGCTACCACATCTGCATCCACGTCTACCACCGTCTCCACCACGTCCACTGGTACCGCCCCTTCATCCTCCTCCACCTCCGGCGTCGGCTCCAACCCCGCATGCTCGAGCACCAAATACGTCTACGCCCACCACATGGTCGGCAACACCTACTCCTACACCCAATCCATCTGGGCTTCCGACATTTCCCAGGCTTATGCCGCGGGTATTGACGGGTTCGCGTTGAACTATGGGTCGGATAGCTGGCAAACGTCGAGGATTGCCGATGCCTACGCTGCTGCCAAGGCGCAGGGGTCTTTCAAGCTGTTCTTGTCGATGGACGTCTCCTCTTTGAGCTGTTCGTCCGCTGCAGACGCCGCCACGCTCGTCAGTACCGTCACAACCTATGCCTCCCACTCTGCCGCCGCCAAGTATGAGAACAAGACGCTTCTCTCGACTTTTTCTGGCGAGTCTTGTACTTTCGGACAAGGATCGTATCAGGCTGGCTGGACGTACTTCCGCACGTTGCTCTCCAAAGCCGGTGTCTCTGTCTACTTTATGCCCGCCACCTTCGCCGATACTTCTACCTTCTCCAGTAGTTCGTGGATGGACGGAGAGTTCAACTGGAACTCTGGCTGGCCTATAGGCAGTACCGCTCTCGACACCTCCTCCGATACTACCTACTTGGCAGCATTGGGCAACAAGGAGTATATGGCGGCTGCTTCTCCTGCGTTCTTCACCTACTATGGCCCGACTAGTTACAACAAGAACTGGATCTACAGGTCTGATGACTGGTTGTTGGCCAGGAGGTTTGAGCAGATCATTTCTCAGAGGGTCTCGATCGATCTGATTGAGCTCATTTCCTGGAATGGTGAGTCTCTTTCTTATGCCTGTTTACAATCACTGACGACGTTTCAGACTACGGAGAGTCCCACTACCTCGGTCCCATCCGAACTGACCAACCCAACTCTCAAGGCTGGACAGACGGCATGCCCCACACCGCCTGGCTCACCGTCGTCTCCTACTACGCATCCGCCTTTAAGACCGGCTCTTACAGCGCCGGCAGCGACCAGCTCGTCCTCTGGTCCCGACCTCACCCCAAAGCCGCCACTCCCTCCGCAGCTACCAATTCTCGACCGACCAACTGGAACTATACCGACGACAACCTTTATGTCTGGGTGGCGCTCAAGTCGGCTGCGACGGTGTCGATTACGAGTGGTAGCAATACGGTGTCTTGGAGCTTGGCTGCTGGTGTGAGCAAGCTGAGTGTCGCCAGCTCGGCTGGTACGATTGGAGCGAGTATTGTGAGGAGTGGCTCAACCATCAAGAGTTACAGCTCTTCTGGCTCGTTCAACTACACTACGTGAGTATCTTTTCTGCTTCTGGTGCCCATCGCTGACTTTCAAACCAGTACCCCAACCGACTACAACTACAACTATTTTGTCGCTTCGGCTTGATCTGAATGTGGACGATTTGTATTTGTGCTCTTCCGTGAAGGACATTTTTTTTCTATTTATACCCTTTTTTGGTGTTACCCTTGCTTGCTTTATCTTTTATGTGCTTTCTTTTTTTGCTTGCTCCTCTCGACATGGAATGTTTCTTGATGGTGTCTGGTCACACTGTATCCCTTAGGTATAACGAGGTTAATGGACTGATACATGCATAGAGCATCATATATATGGTCGTATAAGCCATTATGTTATTTCTATACTTTCCCTACTGTCACAGAAGCACGCTACTCGTACTCAACGTCGTTCAACATTCGGCCAGATTTCATGCCAACGCTGATAACCGACTTACGTAATTTGTCCTTGACTCGTTGTTTCTGCGCCTGCTCGAACTTTGACAAATCGCCGATATTGTTCTCTATCTCTCACTTTCCCATCTATTCCGCCCCATAAACCGGCACACCCTCCAAGATGGCCGAGTCACCCGCCCATACCGCCCTGCTCACGCAAAATCCAGCTCAAAATCCCAAGCCAAAGCCCCAACAAAAACCTCAGCAGCCTGGAGAGCCCAAGCCGAAGAGCGCCAAAGATCTCAAGAAGGAAAAGCGAGCTGCTGCTGTCGCCGCCCGAGCTGTTGAGGACGGTGCTCAAGGTGGGCCCTCTGGCCGACCTGCCGCTGGTACCCAGGGCGAAGGCCGCAGCTCGCCTGTGGTGTCTCTGAGCGGCCAGTCGAGCAGCACGGCTCCCGCCTCTGCCGGACACTCTGCCGGCTCTTCTGCGCTCCGCCGGCCTCCCAATGCTTCTGAACCCTCCGCTCCGACGATATCCACCATACAACAAAACCTCTTCTTCTCCCATCTTCCCCGCACCATGCCGACCGACACTGTGGCCGCCCTCGACAGCGGCAAGATCCACCCCATGATCATGCGTGTGGGTGTATTGATGAGCAGTGGGCAGCTGAGAGGCGCCAACGCAAGGACTATTGGCATGATGTCGGCGTTTAGAGAGGTGATCAGAGATTACGAGTGTCCCGAGGAGGCAGTCTTGTGGAAGGACTTGCCGGTGCACCTGAGTCCGATGATTGCCTGGTTGGAGACGTGTCGGCCAAAGGGTGTCGGGGGTGGTAATGCTATCCGATGGCTCAAGAGCGAGATCAACAAATTGACGGAAGCCGAGGATAGGTCGGAAGCCGAGGTCAGTCATGCTCTACTCGTTCTCGCGGTGTCGTTAACGGTCCCGTAGCAAAAAGCTCACTTGGTAGATGCTATTGGGCTCTACCTGCGTGACAGGATAGAATTTGCCGACCAAGTCATTGCGGACAGCGCAAAGGAGAAGATCAAGCCTGGAGACACTGTCGTGACCTTTGCTAGGTGAGTACGGTGTACTGCGGCACGTCCATGTCTGACTTCTCACAGATCGTCAGTCGTAGAGACTACTCTCCTCGAGGCTTGGACCAGTATGAGGGAGCAAGATCCCAAGGCCAGCTTCAACGTTGTCGTAGTCGACTGCCGACCATTTTTGGAAGGCGAACGTCTCCTGCAGACTCTCCGCGCCTCGGGCCTTCCCTGCACCTACATCCTCCTCCCTCTCCTTTCCTCCTACCTCCCCCAAGCCGACCTCGTCCTCCTCGGCGCCTCTGCCCTTCACTCTGACGGTGCCTTGTACTCTCGTGCTGGTACTGCCGTCGTCGCCATGCTCGCCAAAGAGCACCGTGTCCCAGTGGTCGCTTGTGTGGAGACGTACAAGTTTGGCGAAAAGGTTGTTCTGGATGGTGTGGCGACGAATGAGCTGGGAGACGTGGAGGGGTTGTTGGAGCTGCCGACAAACAAACCGTTTGCGTTGAAGAAAAATGGGAAGGCTTTGCCGAGCAATTTGACGCCGCTTCATGTGGTGTATGATGTGACGCCGCCTTCGTTGGTGACTGCTGTGTGTACAGAGGCAAGCACAATCACTAATCTCTAGAGAAGCAAGCTGACAAAGCACAGATTGGATTCATCCCTCCCTCTTCCGTCCCCACCGTGTTGGGCAAGTCTTCGGGCGTTGTGTAATAATCATTCATAGTCATTATATGTCCGTCTTGCGCATAGTATGGATATCGTTACCAAAAACCCAGTGGGAGAGCAACCAAAACTCAAGAAAGAGCAGTTGATCACTTAGAAATACAAAAAGAGCCCCATCTTACGCCAATGGCATCTCCCGCTCCTTCCTTCGCAAACTCCCATGCCTCGCTACACTCGCCCCGGGCACAGGGGAAACATTCTCTTCACCATCCCTCCTCAACACCCGAGTCGGCATCTTGGTGCTAGGATAGAGCTGAACACCGTGGCGATTGGAGCCTTGAAGCGCAAGAGGTGTTTCGAGCGAGTTGCGTTTGGAAGCACGAACACCACCGGGAAGAGGGGTCTGCATCATGAGGGACGAGCGTCGGCGATTGGTAGTGGCGGTAGATGTGCCGAGGCCCTTGGGAGTGGCATTCTCGGAGAGCATGTTGGTGCGTTGAGAGGCGGTGAGTGCGGAACTGCCAGCAACACCTCGGACTCCAAACTTGCGCTTCATCTGTCATCCCGTTAGCCCCCGCCATACGAACGTCGTAAACTTACCAATTCAACCTCTTGTTGCTTTGAATCCAGAGCAATGTTGAGCATCTCCCTATCTTCCTTCAACTCCAGCTTTCTCCGCGTCAGATTGTGGATTTCGAGGTCTTTGGAGGCGGATTGGGCTCGAAGACGATTGATCTCGGCTTGGAGGGAAGCTTCCAGTGATGGGTCGGTGGTGGGGGCGGATTGAGCGTGGACGAGTTGTTCTCGAGTAGTCTGAAGGGATTTGCGGAGCTGTGAAAGTGTCAGTTCATTGTCACACAAAGTGTGTCCAAACGCACCTCGCGATTCTCTGCTTCAACCTTCCTGCTCATCTCTCGGTGCTCCTCCAACAACTCCCCAACCTCTGCCTTCCTTCCGCTCTCAATCTCAATCCTCCTCTTCATATCATCCATCTCTCTCTTCCACCCCTCCGTTTCTCTTCTCTCCTCTCTCAGCTTGTCGACCTGCCCAACCAGATGCTCAATCTCCTCCTCGTCCGCCGCCTTGACCTCTTTCATCTCGGCGAGGTGCGTGCGCAGAGTCTGGATCTCGGCCTGGAGTTCCGACAGTTCGGATGATTGTGATTCGAGATCGTCGAGCTGATGGTGGGCACTTGAAAGCTCGGCGCGGAGTGCTTGAGCTTCTTCAGTATGCTCGGTGGCCTGGTCGAGTTGGTCTCGAAGGAGGTCGACTTCTTCCCTCAACCTCTGTACTTCCTCGCTCGCTTCCTTAGCTTCCTCAAGCTCGGCCCCGAGTTGTTCAGCCTCTTTTCGCAAAAGAGCCAACTCTTCCTCTTTCTCTTCCATCTCCTCCACCTTCTGCTGCAACTCTTCCATCCCCTGCCTCAACTTCCCCATCTCCCCCTCCTCCTCTCGCTCACCTTCAAATCTTGGCGCTTTGACCATCCGGCTCTTCTCGCGGTCTTCGGCGTCCCTCGCCTCTGCCCTGGCTTCTTCCAGCTCGGCAGCTTGTTGATCTCTTACTTGCTTTACTTCTTCCAGCTGACGAGACATGTGCGCAGAATCGCTGACCGCTTTGGCGAGCCGTATCTCCAGATCCCTTATCTCACTCGCTCCTTCCGAGCTGTGCGTCCTCGTCATAGGCGACGGCGAGCCCATCCCGGGTAACGCCTCACCACCCCCCGCCTTGACCTTTGCTTCCGCCACCTCCGCCCTAACCCTCACCTCCCTGAACGCCTCCCTCAAATCACCCAATTGCGCACAAACAACCTCCATATCGAGCATTCTCAGATTCATCTTGCCCAGCACTTCATCCCGCTCGACGACTTCTGCTTGGAGACGGTCGGCGAGGGAGCGGTAGAGGGCGAGTTCGTTGGTGAGTGCCTGGGTGTGGGCTGTTTGGGCTGCGATGAGCTTTTCGGTGGGGTGGGCTAAGAGGGTGGGAAGGCTGGGGAAAGGGGCTGAGGTAGATCGGTGTGCGAGTGGGGAGGCGGGAGGAGGGGACTGCATGGTGCAGTCGAAGAATTGGGTGACGTCGCCAGCTTTGGGTGTCTCCATCTGGAGCACAGATTGGTTTGGCGAAGCGACTGGTGAAGCGAGTCTGGCCGGCGAATGCATGCTCGACAGTGTATCATCTTCATTTGCCCTCCTCGTCAGTGGCCAAGTCAGCTCGGCCTGCTCAGCAGACATGTCGGCGAAGATTGAGCTGGTCAAAAACGCTTGTCCTGATGGTGCAGGGGCAACAGGCGAGGGGAGAGTGGGTGTCTTGGTTTCGTGTAATGGCAAGGGCTCCTTGAGGGGAGAGAGTTGAAGGTCTGCGCGGATAGTGGGGTTGCTGTCCTCTCGGCTCAAAGCCGACATGGTCGACTCGTCGTGCTGGACGCCCCAAAAGTCGGCTTCGGCTCTCGCCTCTTGCCGTACACTTCTCGAAGAAGCAGTGAGGGAAGGAGCAGCCTGCTGTTGCGCTGAAGTTTGCGCAGCTGACTCGGAGTCGGGAGACTCGATCGTCGAGTCTGTAGGGTGATCGTTCATAGAGAAAGATCCCTTCTCCGAGAACCGCGTAGACAGCAGATTCGACATGTCGGCAGGAAGACTCCACTCGGCTGATGGGAGTTCGAGCTCGCCATAAGACATATCCTTGGACGTGTTGCCGTCGGGCACTATCGGTAGCCCAAGCGGCGAGCAGTGCACTTCTGGCTGCCCGTCCCACGTCTCTTCGTCTACTTGATCTTCATCCTCTTCTTCTTCATCAGAGTTGATGATCATACTCGTCCCAGAGCCTGTCGAATGAACCAACGAAATCTCGCCCTCCTCTCCTGGCTTCTCCCAGCTCCCATCCGCGTCCACTTCGACAGACTCATCTTCGACCGTTTCAGGTTGCGGTTCGGGCTCTTTCCGGCGGGGAGACATGGTGACGGCGAGGAGCTGGGAGAAGAACGAGCTGGATGCGGGGCTTGGGTTGGGGGCGGGTTTGGCGGGGGCTTCGGAAATGATGGATGCGTTTGGGGTGATCACTCTGAACTTGTTTTTGGGGAAGAAGCGTACTGTCTCGTTATAAGCAAGTTGACAGTGTATATTCGGAGTGATACTGACCTCCATTTCCTGATCCAGGAGTTCCAGAAGACCTCAAAATACCCTTCTTCGCCCCGTTTGGGGTGCCAAACGACGAGGGCGAGTGTTGCAGCTGGCTCAGACGTGGGAGGATGGGAAATGGTGGAGACGCCTTCTCCTTTTGGGACAGCTGGATACTTTGTGGTGGAGATCTGTTGGGAGATCCAGTAGGGGATGTACTTTGTTGTGAGAATTCTTGGGGGTCTAAACCGACTGCTGGTGAGCATGGCCCTGGTCAGAAAGACAGAGAGTGCGCACCGGCGGGGTTTACAAGATTCAAGACACGTTTCTTTGGACGAGCCGGGGTGGGGGGTTGAGGCGAGGACATGGCCAATAGACTTGGTGGACAAGAAATAAAGATTTATGGAAGACAATAATGTGAAAGTCAAAGCAAGTCGCCCTTCGTTGTTGACGTCTGTTGTTTGTGTCAATCAGGCACAGATCGGGACACCTCATTCAACTGCTGGTGAGTGGGTGATCTTCAAGGCGTGAAGCAGTGTATGCAGGTTGAAAAGTGTAGGCATAAGGCATCCCAAAGTCTTAAGTCTTGATACGCTACCAAGCAATAGATCATTATAATGTGCTTTGGTGTAGCCGAGAGTAACAAAAGTCGGTCAAAGAGGGACACATCTCGACACATCTTTACGCGGGCACAGTTCCGCCTGCAGTGGTAATGCACCGAAGATCCGATAGCATGTATATTGAAGAGCACCTAAGAAGACAAGGAACATAGAATGAACGCTACTTCGACAGAGGGCAATGCAAACGACAACGCACAGTGAAGGAGGCCGCCTCGAGAGACGGGATCAAATATCCAGTACGGACTACGAGTACTGAACGCCGCCGGCACCGCAGGCCCTTTCGCGCTCATTTCCTCTTTCATCTCACCAAATAACAAAAACCCCTTACCCCCACCCATTGCAAACGCCCCGAACCATATAAAGATGTCTGTAATCCGCCCATTCGACCCCACCGACGTTCTACGCTTTAACAATATCAACCAAGACCCCTGGACAGCTACTGTGCGTCTCGCATCAAGCACTCAAAAGCCCATCTGATCATTTTCAAAATATAGTACCACAATGGCTATTACGCTACCTACGCGCTCCAATGGCCAGACTGGTGCGTCTCTGTAGAAGACGCATACGACCCATCCCTCAAAGCCTACAGTCCGTCCCACCATGCACCCAAGTATGACATCGCTGACTTTTACTTTTGGTATAGTGATCGCGAAGAACGAACCGCCTGCACCCGATCCCCAACATCACGGCCACCTCACAGCGCTTTCCATCACCCCTTCTCATCGCGGTCTTGGACTTGCGAGGGTGCTTATGGATATATTGGAGAGGCTGTCGGCGCCGGGGGAGATGGCGGGGCCTTGTGATCATGGGCATGGGCACGATCACGGGAATGAGCATGTGCACGAGCACCATGACCATGAAGGGGATTGCGGGCATGACCACTCCCATTCCCACTCCCACGAACAAGAAGAACACCACCACGAAATGATCCCCATTAACGCCGGCAAAGATTCCGTCGACGCCTATTTCGTGGACCTCTTTGTGCGATGTAACAATAAGCGGGCGACGGAGATGTACGAGAAGATGGGGTATAGTGTTTATCGGAGAGTTGTCGAGTGAGTCGGACCCTCTGAAGGGGCTAAGTGCGAGGCAGGGCGAGGCAGGGTACTGATGAGTGGTGTAGCTATTATCAAGGGATGGAAGGCGTTGGGTCGAATAGAGATGAATTAGACGGGTTCGGTACGTCTCTCATCTCTCCCACCTCTATCCGTCATGATATCGACGCTGACTACTTTTCAGATATGAGGAAATCAATGCCCAAAGATATCGTACGTCCTCTCCCACTCGGCTGGGCAGCGAGCATCACATGCTAATCAATAAAACAGAACAATCGCTACACAAGACCGAACGGCAGAGATATTCTAGTATCCCCGGATCAGGTCTGGTCATAATCACATATTGACAAATGCATGTTGTACGAGTACAGTACAACAGTATCATCCTTAGATCCGCCCATCGACTCCACCCTGTGCATCCTTAGACAACTTCCGTCGTATCATGCTGGATCTTTAGCCCAGCCTGCGCTTTAAATTTCTAACTTCGAGCAACAAACCACACCGAGCCCACAACGGCGACCAGCAGAACCGCTCTCGTACTGGCCAAAGCCGCCAGTCCACGCAGACGCGTACAAGTCCCCCTCCCTCTTCGTGCAGAGCCTGCGGACAATGGCATTGGCGCGACATCTGCCCTCTCCCCAGCCAGCGTCCTTTCGACAGCTCGCCTTCAGACTCTTATGGTCGTCAGCAAAATGGCTCATATGGTCACCAGCGCCAAGACAAGCAAAGACGTACTTTCGCTGGTTCAGGAAGTAACAACATCTCTCCGTCCTTCCAACATTTGCTACCAAGACCACCAGCAGTCAGCAAACTCGTCAGCGAGGAGTCGGTTGTTGTTGCACCACTTTGGACGGGTGGAGGGGGAGGACCTGATCGGGTGTTGGGAGTCATTATGGTGGATGGTGCGTCGGGGTTGATGGACAAGGGTTTACTTGACCGCCTTGTGGTGGTTGGAGCAAGGGTCGCTTGACCGCCTTGCGAGCGCTGGTGGGTGGTGGGTGGGTCGGCCGGAGCACTGATCAGGAACTCAACAAAGGAGACGAAAAGGGGAAGATCCAAGGGTAGCTAAGCCTTGGACGGGGAGAGAGCGAGAGAGATGGAGACAAGACTGTTTGAAGTTGGTGATGCAAAAACCAGACCGTAGGAGGGCGAGAGTGAGACTCAGGCCGACGATCGTCTATGAAACTTGGCAGAAGGAGGGCTAGAGTGTTACTCAGGCCGACGAACGTCTACAAGCTAAGTACTCAAACGCGGGACGAGACCCCAGATGTAAGGGTTTGACCGTCCTAAGAAGTCCCAGAGGAGGGCTCAATAGGCGAGAGTCGACCGATACGATACGATGTTTCCAGTGCGCTCAGTTGTTGTAGGCTTGCGATTAGCTCGGAAAGTCTGGGATATGATATGCGTAGACGATCTAGAAGAGGCAAGCTCGACGTATGTTGAAGTAGGAAAGAGAAGATGAAGAAGGGGATTCCCCCAAGCCTCTATCTCAAATGCATTCAGAGTGGTAAGCAATAAACAAGAGAAAATTAGGGAGAACGGGGAAGCAAGCGTCTATCGGGACGGCTCTAGCGACTTTCAATCTTCAAAGATACCTCAAGAGGTAAAGCTCTCGAGCTATTACCAGCTCGGAACACGAAATTGCCCTCTGGGATTCGCCATAGATGCTTTTCCACATCCCATACCGACAGGTCTTTCTTCGTCTGCGTCAACCATCAGCCCAGCCGCTAACAGAGGTCAAATGGTCTTGATCAAGGCAGCATAACTCACAAGCGGAAACTCGACGGTCTCCGTCTGGCCTGGTACAAGGTCAGGCTTGCTATACCCTCGAAGATGTTTGGGCGGCTGGTCGGCTTCCGTAGGTGGGAAGGTCATATACTGCCTGCCATGAGCATGCAGCACATGATGGCAGTATTGGAATGGGTTACTCACTAGCTGAGCGACTTCGGCGCCGGGTACTCGACCGGTGTTGGTAACGTTCACCCTCGCCACATACTGTCAAATCCATCAGCAACCAGTGCAGTACCATTCGTCTAGCTCACCAGAACATCATAAAGCCAACCCTCCCCTTCGCTCCCCTCCCTCATCTTCTTTCCCTTGCCCCCTACCTCTTCCTCCCTAAACTCCTCCCTCAACTCCAGCCCCGCCATCTCGAATGACGTGTAACTCAAGCCAAACCCGAATTGAAACCGGGGCGAGATCTTGTGGGTGTCAAAGTACTTGTAGTCAATGGCCAAGCCTTCGGGGAAAGTGGAAACGGGGTAGGGAGCGGTCTTGTCGATGTCCTTCTAGGCGATCAGTATTAGGAGCAAAGCCAATATCGGTAGATCATACCTTCTTGCGGATAATACCTGCCGGCGGCCAGTCAGATGCTGCTCGACCCATCGTAAATGGCAGCTATCAATCACCCGTCAGTCAGCTCCCGCTTGCGCCCTCTAACACGAAGATAGAAACCAACCTTGGCAGAGGGGTTGACATCTCCCCATAGTATATCAACCAACGCGTTTCCCGTCTCTTGTCCGGGATACCCAGCAAACAAGACGGCTCCTATCTTGGGTAGATCGATCTATCGCGCTATCAGCCGGCTTCCCATTACTTGAAAACAGACTCACCCAATCTTCGACGAGCACCTGGCCTCCGCTGTGCATGACCACCACCACCTCCCCTTTACACACCTTCTCCACCCTCTTGATCAACTCTTCTCCACCTTTATCGAGTCTCAAATCGTCTCTGTCCCAGGCTTCGACCAGGTAGACAGACACGAATACGAGGCATACGTCTGACTGTGCGGCGATGGTATCGACAGCAGGAAAGTGGGAAGGATCGTCTTGGAGGATGTGGTCGGTTCGGAAATGAGAGCGTCGCGCGCGGAGGGATATGGCTTCGATAGGCGCTGCCTGTGGTCGTCCGTAAGCTCCAGACTCTTCCTTTCGTGCTTCACTTACAATATAGTCCGCATAGGCCGCCCCAGACCCACCTCCAATCGTGACAGTCCCATTCCAATATCGCCTTCCATCCTTCGCATTGACCACACAAAACAAATCCGGACCGCAGCCTGTGAGGGTGGAGGGATAGTCCGCGTCGGAGCCAAAGATGCCGAGGGATTTGAGAGATGGCTTGGGCCCTTGGGGAAGGGGTAGGATACCGGTGTTCTTGAGGAGACTATAGAATATGTCAGCTCTTGAAGTTGTGGGCTGAATGAAGTCTTGGTGGATACTCACACTGTCGACTCTGCTGCGACTTCCCTCGCCCAAAGATGGTTGTCACCCTTGACATCGACTTGCTCGTTCCGAAAGACATGTCCGTCGACCTCGATTTGGTTTTGAAGATTGTAACTTTGATAATTGACTTTGGGATAGGAGCTGTTATGCTGGAGGGCCAGATACGGAGTGAGAATGCTACACCTTTGGGTCAATACTTGGGTTCTACCAAAGCTCGAGTCATACCGTCGCGCCATATCATCCAGTCTTTCGGACGACACATCTCCCCGCTTGACAGCTTTCAACAATTTCTTCCCGTCTGAATCCCAATGAGCCATCCTGATCTGCACGGCGCTAGATTGAAAGCTCACAGAATTGCTCTGTAGGAAGCTCCATGTCCATACCGTGTGTCGCCGACTCTACAGTCGAATGCGCTGCCCCAAAATCACTCTAACGAGGGTCAGCGCTTCCTTCACTTATGCCCTGTGGGAATGGCAGCTCACGAGAACACTATACAGGCGTCATCAGTAAAAGTTTCCAGCAGCCTCTATAATTGGTACTCACAATCCTTCAAAGTTCAGTTCTTCTTTGAGTACACGATTGAGAGCGCTATCAGATTCGCATGCCGGGGTCCCGTTGATTTGGTTGTAAGAGCTGAGGCCGATCGTCAGCCAGTGAATACCAGTGGGGGGTCGCCGAGGACAGGCATACCACATGATAGACCCAGTCCCTGCCCGAACGGCTTCCGAAAAGCTAGGCAGATACACCTCTCTGAAGACCTTTTCTGCCCGGATCATCAGCTCCGTAACAAATGACACGTCGACGCCAAGACTTACCGCCGATATCGCTACTAACATCCACGCACCCTGTCGTGCCTCCATTAGGATCGGGCGGGCCATCACAAGTGGGTTCTTGCTCGTATAGAATATAATGTTTGGCGGAGGTTATGAGTCCTGTCGATTGAAGTGCGCGGGTGGTGAGGTAAGAGAGCGTCGATGAGAGATATGTGTCTGGGGAGAATGCTGCCAAATCCGTCAGGTACCCTGTCAGATAGATAAGTAGCAAGAGTGCTCGCCTTCCCAGTTTCGTCCGGTGAAGGGGCTATACTTATACGTCAGTCAAGATGTAGTATACGAAAGGCAGCCTTACGATCTGCCCAAAGGTCCGCCCGTAACCTGATTGATCGCTCATCAGTACTCTGGCCCGTGAATTCCTTGGAGCCAGCTCACCGGTCCCAACATGACGTTCGCGCCCTTCCCTCTGAACTCTTGCCCTATCCTGACCGCCCTCTCCCACATCAAGTCTCGGTCAAAGGAAGCCGCAGATATAAACTCGGAAGGCCACTGGGTAATGTAGTCTGTGTATCTTAGGCCAGCAGCTATACGCCCCTTCAGTCAGCTGGGTATGGCAAAACTGGACAAAGGCTGGTGCTCACGACCATCATTGAAGCAAAGCCCAGGTATGCCGAGACGAGGGACGCCGCCTGAATTGGCTTGACAGGGCCCAGTAACGGCGGTGGTGAGGTTTACCTGACTCGTGGCTTAGCATACTGTGCACTATCAGACGAGCCAGGGTATATGATCTCACCTTCTCTTGGACGGTCATGTTGCCGATCAGCACGCGCGCTTGCTCAGACGCAGCACCCCATGTTCCACTACCACTTTCAGCCAGCGAGACCTTTGTCGTTGTCACTCTGTGTGAGCTGCCATCTTCTGCGCTATGAGGGACCTGGAGGGTGAGACTAGACAGAAGAACAGCAGCGCTCTGGATGAAGGACCACATGGAGCAAAGACAGTGGGCGCAGCAAGTTGAGCTTGAGGTTTAGTTGGATAGTATTGAGTCCTGTTGTCCAGTCTTCAGCTCCTATCGCCTGGTAAGATGAAGAGGCATGAGAAAGCGCAACAGGCTCCATGATATACCCCGCTGCTAGTCCCTGCTGGCCACCACATTGTGTTACGGCCCGGCCGCTACATTACGGCCCGGCATTGGGCATGTGATCCCGCTACGTCTTGACTATTCGTATACGTACGTCTATACTCGCAGCGTCCCGGGTACTGAATTCCCTAATCCAATAGATAGCAGCACTGGGGATACTCGTACGTCTAGCTTGAGAGGCGAAGAGAGTAGTGCCGAGAGTGGGGTCATGTCGATGGTTGCATAACGGCACTATGTGGGGGGTCAGATCCGGGCCGAACACCGGAAGGCCGAGGACCAAAGAACAAGCCGAATGAAAAATCGCTCGACATGAACGACAGACGGCCGGCGTCGGAAAGCGATATGGTTGACCTACTGAGTCATTTTCGGTACATGGCAGTTGAGCTGTATACTCACCACATGCTGTCAGATCTCATGGATCCGCGAAGTCGACCCGCCCATAGCAATCACTGTCGACTGCAACGCCAAGTCGCGGCGGTGAGTACCGCGAGGACTGTTGGCATGGCAGTGGTAGGCCGAATGCATACATAGGCCATTGCCTGTTCCTATCTCAATCTTTCTCGGTTTAGATATATATGGCAAACTTCTGAGGTCCGAGATCCGACTTCTACCTCAACACCAAACCCTCAAGCAAGAAGGCAGCATGTCGCTCCTCCCATGGCCGTTAACACTCATCATCACCTTCCTCACCTGCTTCCTGCCATATACACAAGTTCAAGAAGCGACATCTTCCGTCAATCCCGCTCCCTTGGGGTCATCATGCATCCCAGGAGAGGCAGGATACTACGACTTGGGCTTGCACGTCGCGAGCGTATTCGTCCTACTCGTCGCTACTGCACTAGGCGTTTTCTCGCCCGTAGTCTTGGGAGATATGGGTAATAGGAACGGATGGTTCGGGACTACATTCTTTACACTCAACTACTTTGGTACGGGTATCATTATCAGTCCAGCGTAAGTTTTCCCTTGCATTCCAGTTTGTTGCGAAGAAGAAGAGCAGTACACTGACAATTGCTCATGCTGTAGATTCTGTCATCTACTGCACAACGCGATTGTGGCTTTCTTCATGTGAAAAAAACTGAACTATTATGTCTGCTCGGATTCTGACATCCATCACAGCCCCTGCATTGGCGAGCTGTCTTATTTGCCCACAGCACCGTCGATCGTCATGGCATCCATGCTTGTCATTTGGTTCGTGGATTTCTTCGGAGCTCACTCTCGACAACACCACCCACCCCCCGAGGACGTCTCTCTACTGACGCATCATCAGATAATCATGAAAGATGCTGAAACCGCTCAATACACACCACGACATGCGAATCCCCTCTCGCAAAGCGAGAGCGTTGGTGGCGGGGATGATTGATATGGGTGTTATGGGGAAATGGACGTGAGCTTGTGTGTGGTTGGGGTTGTGAGATGAAGGCATGTCTTCTTTTATAGAGAGACACAACTTGTTGGTATATCGAGATGCATATAAGGTTTAAGCATAGTTATCCATGTGGACATTCAACAATTCGTCGCGTTTGGCGATTGCCACCAACACGTTCAAGCTGTGATCTGTTGCCTTCGTCGCTCCAATTTCCAAACAGGATATGTGTACGTGGGGGGTAACCAGATAAGACTCATTCTTTTGACACATGTCATCGCATCGATGGCAGGGGCGGGTATATCAAAGGATGGACAAGGGGAGCAACAAGCGAACGTGTCGAAACAGTGTGTGCCATGCATGCTGTTGGTACTGATAAGACAGGTCAGGTGGGTCGTTGATGTTCATACCCCACCTATTCACGCCACTTCTTTTCCATTCTATAAATCCCACATCACCTTCACCTTCGCAAATCCCGCCGATAACCAACAACTTCACTAGAGTCTTCTCCGCAATGTCTTCAACAATCCAACAGCCCTCAAATATCATTCAACCTCCTCCAGCAAACGCATGCCGTACTCAAGATGGAGACGATCTCCTCTGGTAAGCCTCTACTGCTCCTCTTCTGACCCTCCATATCTTCTTCTCGCTGACCGTTCGATTGGGTGGCATAGGCTCGGCGCATAACCATCCTTCCACCCCATCCCCATAACATTTCACCCAAGCCCCCTCACCCTCCCTCCCATCCACCTCCTCCAAACTACCCCCACACCCCACTCCCCCGCCGCTGAAAAACGCGCTATCCTTCCGATCCCTATCAGCCAAGATGGATGGTGGGAGTCTCCGACAGACATTCTTTTCGACCACCACCACCCCTCTCTGTCTTATTCGTCTTGTGCTTCCATGCAGGAGGACCGTTCGTTGGGTGAATCGATGAGGTCGTACCCTACCAAAGCCGTTTTGCAGATGGCAAATAAGCATAAGCAGGGGGGGAGGATGGAGAAGCCAAAGTTGTTGAGGATTGACGTTGAAGCCGGAAAGGGAGAAACAGAAGAAGAGGTGAAGATTCTGCCGTTCACGCCGATCACCCCGGAAAACTTGAAGAGATTGGGGGATCAGCCCACTCGTCTGGCCGATACGCCCCAGACACCTCAGAAGCCTCAGACTTCTCGACCTATGGTCATGAACTGCCACGCCTTGCCCTCTACTCCCACACCCACCCCCCACCCCCAACAGCCCTCGCACCATTTCATCACCACCACCAAAGAACCCGACACCGACGAAAGTCCCATCGACCTGGATGCCAGTCAGCTTCAACTCCAAACAGCAGGTTCCAGAAAATTCGAAGAGATGGAGATCGATGAGGGTACGTTCGGGCAAAAGGATTCTCAAGACGAGTTGGTAGAACGTACGGGGTGGGTTGCCAAGCGCGCTCGTATGAGTAGTCCTTGATACCTTGATCAAAATCGCAAGTGTGTGCTTGTCGTCTGGTGAAAGGATGATCGATTGTATGCACTTTGTGATCATCCCCATATCGTACAACGCCCCTTCAATCCACCTTGAAGTAACCGCATCACCTCAAAACGTACATGTGCATGGCATGGCATCTGATCTGTTCATCAGACAGACTCATCATCTTTCCGATACCTCAAAACCTTCCCACCCTCAATAACCTCTTCAAACCCATCCCCCAGCTGCTCTCCACTTTCACCTTCCACAAGTTCGCCCTTCTCTACGTCTTTCTCCGTTATCGCTAGTTCTCCATCTTCTCCTCCTCCCTCTCCATTTTCTCCTGTCTTTGCCTTTTTGGCTGTATGCGAGTCAGAGCCGGGGTCGGAGGAAGGGCGAGGTTGAGGGTGGGCATGCGCGATTTGGGAGGCACGACGGCGACTTCGTTCGTGTGCTTGTTGGGCTTTTGACGGGGTCTGGGTTTGCTCTGGTTTCGGACCGGATGCGGGTGCGGGGGAGGTGGTGGTGGTGGTGGTGGTGGTGGTGGATGTGGTGGTGGATGTGGGAGGCTCGGCAGGTTTTGAGATGGACGCGGCTTTGGCTTTGGAAAGCCTGAGAGACGCTTGGGTAGCCACTGATCCGGGATTATACTATAAGGTTCAATTGAGCAAGACCCCTCGTACGGGTTTATCCACTATGGCTTACCTTTTTGAACCGTTCAAAATCTTCCAAAACCGTCACCCCTAGGTTATTCTTCGCCACTGTTAACGATAGATCGAGCGATCAGACACGTAGAAGGACTTACTTTGTAAACCTCAACGATAACACTCTTCTCCGGCTTTTTCAGATCCACCACATGCCCTTGCCCCAGGTTTGTGACTTGCTCAGCGACAGTCTTGATCATGTCTAGTCTCTCGAGTTTTTCAGAGTGGCGCGAGTTTGTGTCTATTGCAAACTTTTTTGAATGTTGTTAGTAAGTGTGACCATGAGGGTAGGTCACCTGGGGTAGGGAGGGGAGGGGATGGGAACGTACTTTGAATGGCCTATGGTCTGGCGTGTCGAATGCTGGTTTGACGACTTTGGCAGCGAGGTCGGATAGTTGTTTGAGCGTTGCGCCGGAGGTTTCTGGGATGGGTACTAGTCTCTTGCAATGCCTGTTCCACATCAGCTTTGTTAACAAGAGAAGAGCTTTCTATAAGGCTTACTTGAGAGGGTATTTTCCTGTAGACTCGGCTTGTTCTAGGATATATCGGACTATCCTATGAGGATCTAGCGGCGGGAGGACATTCACATAGAGTACTTTCCCAAAACATCAGTATCTACCCGAAACAAAACAGCCACAGGCTTTTCACTCACAACAAAACCCTTCCCTCAAACACAGCCTAAACCTCTTCGACTTTTCCCCATCCTCCTTCATCGAATCCAAATCCCTTTTCAACATCTCTTCAAAATCCATCTCCTCATCTGGCTTGACGGCTGCTGCATCCGCCGTCTCGGGATAGAGCTCGTCGGCTATGGTTTCGAGGTATTGCAAGAGCTCGAGCTCGGCGGCTTTTTCGCGGTCTTTCGTGGTGGAGATGAATATTCCGGGGGAGGTGATCATCTCTGGCTATTACGGACGATAGGCTGTCAGCGATAAAGGGCGAGGCGGATGTGGGAGAGGATCATACATACGAGAGGCTTTTCGCGGTACTTTGTCAAAACAAAGACCTTCTCCGGGGCTGCCACATGACTTTTGTCCTTGTCTTCTGATGGTTCACGTCCTGGACCACTTGGCTTTCCTCCACGCCCCCCTCGTCCGCCACGCCCGCCACCACGGCCCCGACCGGCACTGTCGAATTTGTAGTATTTGTTTCTTTGGGCTGAGCGGCCGTTGTCGGTTCCTTCTGATTTTGCCATATTGCGATGAGGCCGAGATAGTTGAAGGGGCTTGAGTTTGTTCGAGGATAGCTTTGCGTATCGTATGCATGAAGACGATCGCAAGAAGATCATGCCTGCTGCTCGCTGCTGCTGCTGCTGAAAGAAGTGCGCATAGCTTATGTAATGCGGGGCTCCTTTGTGCTGCCGCCGCCTGGCAGCAAGACTTTACTATGGTCAAACGAGTGACCCAACCCATCTCTACTCTCGAATCCCGACGCCCGATGGACGGTGAGAGCGTCCCCGAGAGCACCTCCCAGCCCATCCAGACGCCCTACGCCACCCCACGCAGATCACAGCCATCGTCCACCGGCACAGTCCGCCGCGCACCCTCCTCCTACTTCTCCCTCCCCTACAGCTACGCCTCCCCAGCCGGGCCGTCCAACTGGAGGAACCGCATCCAAGATGGGGGCCAATCTTTCCGCCAGAGAGCCGCCTTGCGGAGTCCCGTCTTGAGGGGCTCTCTTGCCGGCAGTGTCCGGTCGGGTGGCCGAGCGGACGACTTGGATAATTGGCAGTCGCTGCATGAGATGGTCACGGAGGATGATGACGAGGATGAAGGACCGCTTTCGACTCTGCGTACCCCAGGGGGGCGTAGTATGCGCTCGTACTTTACTACGTCGTCCCCGCAAACCGCTACCAGACCCGTCACTGCCGCCAGCGATAGACAAGACGGACAACTTATATCTAATCAACTTTCTTCATCACCTGGGATTCTCGGAGGTCGACTCCACTCAAACCCATTTGACACTGCCAGCGGAGAAACGACTCCTAGAACAGAGGGAATTACCTTTCTCCGGTCACCCACCCGTCTTGGGGAAGCGACGGAACCTCTCTTGTCCGGGCATGATCCCATGTCTGCTTCCAAATTTTCCATCAAGTCTACCAAGTCGGCAGCTCTGCCTCAACTCACTTGCAGGTCGTTTTCCCCATCCCCTAGAGGCCCGAGCTGACATATTGGCATAGTCAGAGAAAAGTACTGGCCGCCGCCTATATGGGTCACCAACGTCCTCAAATGCTCTCTAGCCTACCTGATCGCTTCCCTATTCACATTCGTCCCTCAACTAGCTGCGCTCCTGTCTACGGCTTCAGAGACAGATGCTCATGGCCGGGTTACAGCCAAGCCGGCTTACTCTGCGCATATGGTCGCCACCATCGTCGTCTACGTGCGTACCTACACTCTGACACGCAAAGCCATCTCATTAACCGGATCTACAGTTCAACCCAGCTAAATCCCTAGGCAACATGCTCCTCTCCACCCGCTACTGCTTCCTCCTCGCCATCCTCTCCACCCTCATCTCCCTCCTCGCCACTTTGACGATCCACATATTCGACCACTACTCCCCGTCCCACGGGGAATCTTGGGACTGGATCAGCGAGGCGGGAGATTGGGTGGTTTGTATTCTGTGGATCGGGGGGACGATGGGCGCGTTGGCGTGGTCAAAGTTGTGGGTTGGGAATCCGGCTTTTAATTCTGGTACGTTTCATCGGACTGGTACGCTCGTGGGATGGGATTGGAGCTGATGCAAGTGCAGGATGTTCGATGGCGGCTATGATCTTGTACAACGTCGTCATCAAAGAAGGCGCTTTCCCCAAACTCATCGAAATCCTCCTGATCGTCTTCACCGGAGGTACGTTCCCCCCTCACCCCACGCCACTCCAGTAAGCGACAATAGCTAAAGAAGTGTAACAGTGTGCATCACAAACATCATCTGCTTTACGATATTTCCCGTCTCCGCCACCTCCAACCTCCAATCTTCCATCTCCAAATCCCTTACATCCTTCTCCACTCTCCTCGACCTCCTCACCTCCACCTTCCTCCTCGAACGCAGCACCACCCTCCAAACCAAAACCAATACCAAAACCAACACCACCCGGCCCAAGTTGCAAGACGCCATCAAAGCCCACTCTGCAGCGTTCAAAACGCTCGAGAAGGACCTGGCCGAGGCGAAATTCGAGCGGGTAGTGGATGGACGCGTGAGGGGGAGAAAGTTGGAGCTTTATGATGCTGCGATAGGCTCAATGGGCAGGTTGGCGCAGCATCTCAGCAGTCTCCGGAGTAGCACCAGACTGCAAGAGGGGCTTATAAGGGCCAGTCGGGAGGGGCGTGTCAATCTTGACTTTGGGCATGAGAGGGGTCATTCAAAGATCTCCATGTCGGATTTGAGGCGTGATATGAACGGGGATGGGGAGGGGGAGGGGGAAGGGAGGGAGGTGCCGGGGGGAGAGGATATAGCTGGGAGTGTGCATCTGTTTATGGTTTTTCGGGAGATGGCTGGTGCGCAGATGGACGCTTTGAACGTAAGCATTACACCCCACTCTCCCCTCTCCCCTCTCCGTCTCCCTCTTGCGGTTCTCTTCAGTACTAACCTTCTGAATATTTTGATCTCATAGGACCAATGCGATAAAGCCCTCGAAGCAGTCCAAGCCCTCGCCCGCGTCGACCAAACACCCCAAATCAACCTCTCCGCCATCCGCGCCGACTTGGTCAAGGCGCTGAATGATTTCAGTAGGTACTCGTCGAAAGCGATCAAGAGGATCTATGCGGGGCCTAGGAGGGAGAGGGAAGTTTGGGAAAAGTCTAGTTCTTCGGGGAGCGAGGAGAGTACGGGCTCTAGCGAGGGGGATGATTGGGGTAGTGGGGAGGGTGAAGGTGAGGACAACCATGCTCGAGAGGGAGGGGGAGGGTGTGGGAAGGGAGAGAAGAAGAGGTTGTTGGTCGAGGGTCAGGAGCATTTGGATGATGGTCCGAACGAGACGATCTTTTGGATCTATTAGTGAGTCTCGACCCTCTTCCAAACCTATGGGGACGTCTGCTGACTATATCTGCCAGCTCCTTGTTTACATTCGAAGAGTTTGCAAGGGAAATGGTCTTTTTGGTGGATACTATGGAGGAGGTACGTCTCTCGTCTCTTCAACGTTTGAGTATACGTGCTTATTTTCCACCTGTAGATCGTCACGGCGGATAGGGTGTCTGCTTGGGACCACATCAGATCCGTGATTGCCATGAAACGGGGAAGGAAAAAAGGACGCGGAAAGTATCTCTACAAACAACTTCGTACGTCTCCCCTTCCTCATAATTTCCA